TTAAATTGTATACTCGTATACATAAATGTAAGATAGAATGCCGAGGTTTTCGTTTTTGGAGTTACATGAAATCAGTTGTTTATGGAGAAACTATAAACACTTGAGAAGAACTTTAGTAGCAGGTTTTAAATGCTGCAAAGTCATTTCGCATTAAGGATTTATACTTTAAAATAAGACAATCTTTTAATAAACGTGTTGATAAATGTATTGAAGTTAGAGGTGGATATTTTAAGCAATTATTGTCAAAATATTTTTTTACTAATGTTTACTATTTTACTGTTCATTACAATTTTTAATTCTAAATAAACCCTTGTTTTTGACATTTCTAAATTATTTTAATTATATCAACTATTAGCATTGGAAGTTTCAAAGCCAAATATCTCGGAAACGGTGCGAGACAGCTACTTTCATAAAGTCTACCTTTTTTGTGTAAAAAAAGTTGAAAAATAAGAATTTGATACCAAAGACGAGATACCTTTAAGTACAAAAAAGTTATGTTGTTTCCAACACCTTCAATCTACGGCAGCTGCGCCCTCTATGAACTATAACCAAAATGTGAACAAATTTCAATTCCTCTATCCAAAGAACCCCGAACACCAAAATTTTGTGTAGATATTTGCACTTATTAAGAAATAAATGGAAGTAAACTAAAATAATATTTTACATTTAACACCCTGTACCTCTTTAACTATCAACTTTTGGACTAAGGTAAGTTCGGCTAAATCGCAATATTTTTGCTTCGGAAATCTACCCATGAATTTTGGCCCATTACCTCGGGACCACCCTGTATATATTATGCTAGTAAACAGCAATACGCGTTGTCGTACCAGAAATAGGCTAAATCTGTGATCAAGCCTATGCTCACAATACACAATGCTACTGACTGCCATAAAAACACGTGCCATATACATACGCACAAATGACAATGATATGCACGGTCAACGTCCTGGCAAAAAATCTGGATTGTTCACCGGCACGCCAGGTCGACAGAGCAGGCATTAGGGTGCCGCTAGATACGTATCGAATAAATTGATCGATGCGAAGCTTCGTACAATATATTGATTAGTAAACTTTATCAAAAGTATGTGAAGAAAAATAGAAACTGTCTTTAAAACATTAACTTGTTTAGGGCGATTTAAAAAACTCTATTCCTGTAATTCTGAGCGTCGTTCGTGTGCTCAAATCCTTCTCTCCATGTTTCTGCTGCAAGCTGTCCATTTTTTAACGATCGACCCAGTTCCCCACGTTTTTGTTGTATTCATTGGGCCACCCCGTACCACCCGAATAATCCATCTCCCCTTTGAAGAGCCCGAAGGTGGAACAAATTATATTGAATTGCAAATTAAAGTCGACGAGAGGGGATTAGTCCACGGATATTCTGCATAAAAAGTCCGCCATTCGTCAAAGTCAACAAATACACCGAATGGGTTCAGTGCTGTCGGGAAAATAAGTTTGCGAACCGAATCAATTCAGATGCTAAATTCGAATTGGCTCGGATTTACTTGGATATATTTAAAAGCGGATTGTTGGCTAGACGGCATCGGATCCTATTAACAAAGATCTGTACGGATTGTGTTATTATAAGGACGGAACGATTAACTTCCCGTATTAATACAGAAGTTTGCTTGAATTTTTTGTTAATCAAATTTTGACATTTGAACAAAGAAATTGCGGCTTTTTATTACTGCCTCGAACCAATGAACTTGAAAATGTCCGATAATAATTTTCTGTATTAGCTGTTAAATTCCAAAATTGTTGACAAGATCATATAGTTTCAGTCGAATACGTCTATTAAATTCTATAACTTTTATATCCATGATTTTCTCATGAAAAATTAGTTTAACCTTCAATTAACCTTCAAGGACATCTTAAAAAAAGCTTTGATCCTAGATTCCGACATAAAATTTGGTGCTGTATCGGTTGCTAGCATATTAAGTTGACCTTAGTTCGACCTTGGAAATTTTTAGTGAAGGTCAAATCCAAGGTCACAATCTAATTTGTCAAAATCTTACCAATTTTGCTTGAAACATTTTCCTCTAATTCTAATCGAATTTGCCGAGATATTCAAAGCAAAATTAATCTGTCGGAAAAATTTTCTGATCTATAAATTAGACGTAAAATTTGGCGATCTATCGATTACTTGCATAAAAAATTCTATCTTCAAGTCAATATTTTCAAGTTAACCCTTGAAACTTAAGATTAAATACAAGATCACCAACATATTGGTTTCTTAATGTTTTACAACTTTTACCTAAAAAGTTATCAGAGGGTTCAACTCCTTTGAGATACTATACAGTCATAATGTCATTAATTTTAACCGCGTATTCGGAAGGCCTAATAAAGACAGAAAATCGAAAAAAATGCGCTGCGCAGGCGGACAGAGTACACGGCAATCGGACGTTGTAGCGAAACAGCTAATTTCCTAGTCGTCGTCTCGTCCAGTTTTGCAATTGCTTTCAAAATCAAAATGCAACGAATCTCAACTTATTTTAGGCATATTTGTCATTTTAAATAAGTAGGTACCATACAACTCTGAAAAGTAATAAGTTACACAATGAAGTATACATACTACAAACTGAATAATTACCTTATTGAACATATTACTCAATACTAAAACTCATATCAATTATAAAACAGTAAATAAAGTTAATAATAAGTATTAAAGTTAGGTCCTCGATGTAGGTCAGTCAAAAGGGGTTTAAATAATGATTTGAATTTTTTTTTTTTTCAGCGTAAATATATGCATCAAAAATTTTTTAATGGCGTATTCATGTTCTACTCATTTTTCCTATCTTCCCTTAAAATTAATGACATTATGACTGCAACACCCTATACATATAATGAAATTGAATTAAATGAATAATCTTTTGTGGTCGTTTTTAAATTTCAACACTTGCATCTCAAAAACTATCGATCTATGTACCTATATTTATTAGGGTGGCCCAAAAAAACGAATATTTTTTTTTCGTGTCTCTTGTGAAAATATGTTACTTTATTATGTTTTAAGAGCCCTCTCAAAAAATCAGCTCAAAAAAAATTTTTTAGAGGTAAAAATTTCCAAAATCGTAAAAAATTTCTTTTTTTTTAATTTTTTCTCGTTATTTTATCATTTTCTAGGTTGAAAAAGTCTCAATTCTGAAAATTTCAAATCGACATTTTAATTTCTAAAGGCCACTCATAATTATTTTAACTTTAAAAGTAGTGTACCTAAAATGTTTTCGAGTGACCTCTAAAAATAAATATCAACGAATTAATATGTTTTTTATTGAATTTGTTGAACAAAAGAATAGAAATAAATCACGAGACACTTAAAAAATTTCTCGGGGCAAAATTTACTACCGCAATGTGAGTATCAAAAATTTAAGTGTCTCGTGATTTATTTCTATTCCTTTGTTCATAGGATTCAATAAAAAAAATTATTACTTCGCTGATATTTATTTTTTAGAGGTCGTTCGAAAACATAGGTACACTACTTTGAAAGTTAAAATAATTATGACTGACCTTTAGAAATTAAAATATCGATTTGAAATTTTCAGAATCAAGATTTTTTTCAACCTAGAAAATTATAAAATAACGAGAAATAAAATTTTAAACAAAAATTCAATTTTTGACGATTTTGGAAATTTTGAAAAATCTTAAGCGACCTCTAAAAAAATTTATTTTGAGCTGATTTTTTGAGAGGGCTCTTAAAACATAATAAACTAACATATTTTCACAAGAGACACGGAAAAAAAATTCGGCCACCCTAATATTTATGTTACATTTTTAGTTTAAAATCACTCAAATAATCTTACTTTGTCAACGTACTTAATTAAAGCCAAGTATAGGTAATTTTCTGTAATACAGAATGTTCTCTCAATATCTATCTAAATAGAAATAAATTCTTGAAATACAAATCAGTGTAAGCCTTTTTAGACAACTTATTTGTTTTTGCTCTGAGCATCAGTCATTGTCTTAAATTTGTGAATGTACTTTTCTTCTAGGAAAGGACTATTTCGTCTTTTCATATGGTTTTCTTATACTTTTCGACAGTAATTGGTTATGAGTCATTCTCTTAAACCTAGAAATGTACTTTACGTTATTTTTTTCGGGACTACAGTTAGTTCAACTCTTTAGAGACTTTACTCCCATAATTTGTTTTCGTATGACTTCTAGAAAATGATAGTCATTTTCGTATTTTCATATGGTTTTCTTATGGTTTTAGACATTAATTGATTGTGAAATTTACCAAACTACCCCTGAAGCTACCGGTGACACCACCACTAAAGAATTTCTCTTTTCCAGTGCCACTATTTTGACTTCGAGGAGGAAATTGATTTCCCAACCGGAAGCGAGTGCCTCGTCGACGTGGATCACAGCTCGTCGTGCTCCATCCAATAACCAACAAAGGCTGATAGTAGTGTTTCTCTGAACTGTTGACACGTTAGGGGTAATCCGTGTACTCTGATGGAAGACACCTTGTTTTTTATTCTCCATAAACTAAGTGATTAGACGATAAGGATGTTTCACAAGATGACTTATTAATGTTAAACGATTAAAAGAATTTGTACATAAAATTATTAATACGCAACGTGGTGCATGTGGACACACAAAGCTAGAGCTAGCTGGGCGTAGCTGAGAGATGTTCGTTAGCTTGTTAGCTGAAATGAATGTAATTGTTTCCATGTTTCTATCTACACAGTCGGTTAGGTAAGATATAGAGGAATAGCGAAATTCACAAAAAATTGAGATATCATATTAAACGATATTTTTGTACAAAAAGGGACATCTTAAAGTTCTAGACGTTTTAGATCAAGGGTCGGCAACTGGCGGACCGCGGTCCAGGTCCGGACCGCGGAAGGTAAAATACTGGACCGCCAAAAATGTTTTGAAAGTATAAATTACTCAAATAAATTATTTAAAAAATGTTTTTTTTTACGTTTGAGTGCCATCCTTATCATTTTTTCTAGTATTTTACAATTGTGTGAGTGCTTTGAGTTCTTAATGGTTAGTAAGCAGATTAAATTTGAGTTTAAATGAAAATTTGTAAGGAATATAAATTTTTTTCTGGACCTCGTTAAAAATTTTTAAAATTATCCGGACCGCACCTAAAATTATTTGCCGACCCTTGTTTTAGATCATCACTTTAAAATTTTATTGTTTTTACTTTTATATTAACTGTTTCAAAATTTATAAACTAGAGCGTTGTTTTTAAGTTTTAATCATAACATCAGGAGGTTGCCTTTTGAATCATTTTCAACCAAAAAGCGTTAATGAACAACTATTTTTCGATATACACAGTGTTTACGCTTTAAAAAAATGTTTCCAAACTTGTAAAGAATATTTAAAATGTAAAAATTTAAAATGGGAAAACTCGCTTGGTAGAAACATTTTTTGCAATTATAATATTCTTTTTGATACCTACAGACTTAGCACATTGATACGTTGAAAACTTTTTTGGGACCACTGACTCCAGCAACAGGTCTGCCTTTGTTTGTACGTATTGGTGCAAAATTTCTGTATATCGCCACCGTAAATTCATTCTTACTGTTTTGACGGGCTGCTCAAGTTTGCTCAAATATCTTTTTTTTTTCGTTGAGATATCACATGTTAAATTTTTAAGTTTTTCAGTTTTTTAATAGACGAAAATCTACTAAGGATCCCTTAGACATCAAGCAGTCGATTGCAATTCAGAAACTTCATACCCATACGGTTTGTGAGTTTGGAGTTAGTGGGCTTGGGGTTTGTAAGCTTGGAGTTTGTAGGTTCGGGTCTTATGGGATTGGGGTTCGTGGGTTTAGGGATTATGGGTTTGGGGTTTGTGAGTTTGTGGTTTTGGAGTTTGTGAGTTTGAGTTCGTATGTATTGAAAGTTTCTGAGTATGAAGTTTCTGAACTGCAATCAACTGTTTGACGTCTAAGGGATCCTTAGTAGATTTTCGCATATTAAGAAACTGATAAACTTAGAAATTTCAACATGTGATATCTCAACGAAAAAAAAAAAAGATATTTGAGCAAACTCAGCGGCATTCGAAAGAGGGAGCCTTGTACTTTTAAATTATATGTATTTTTTTTTAATAATAGATGACATTACTACATAACCTCAAATATGACGAAAAACAATGTTTTTTGCACTTTTAGGTTAGGATATCTCAAAAATTTGACATGATAGAGCAATTCTGCTGCCAGATTCAGATTCAGCACACCAAAATCCTTCGGGAATGCATATTAGTGTGTATGCTTCTTGACCCTTGTTGACCTGTGAATCAAAAATACAAAATAATAATTCATAAAAAATTGTATTTTATTTTATCTTTAGAGCTATACCTTATCGCTATATCTACTAAAAGTTTACAAGACTATCATTTTTTGAAATTTTGATGGTTACAGTGTGCAGAATATGAATATATCAATGAAAAAGTCCTATTTTTTGTATGAAATTATTAAATAACACTCAAAAACAATTTATAGCAGAAATTTGTATATATTTTTTAAAGCTGCGTCTTCTCACTATCAGTCTTTGTCAAGGATGATAGAATTATACAAAAAGTACAAGACATTTCTTTAAATAACTACATTTTTTAACATTTTCAGTATATCTGTGTATCAGATATGTGTTTTTATATTAATTATGTCTAGATATATCATTTTTGGTTTATTTTAGATAATAATTAATATTAACTAGCTGAAGTTAGTGATCTTATCTGTGAGATTAGATATCTTTTGTATACCAAGATTTGTGGTATCGAGGAACATTGACATTATTTGATACATTTTTTTAGAAGAAAATTCACTGAACTTGTTTGAATTTTAATTAATTCTTTTAAAATATAGTAAAAAAAATACAAAAGCCGATAATAAAATACAAGTTTTTAAAAAATGGTATTAGGGTAATTCCATATTTGTTTAACCCTATACAACAAGCTTATGTTAGCTTTAAAATATAATAATAAGTAGGAAAATATGTGTTATTTTCATCACCCTAGACCCCATTAGAACGTTCTGGTTTAAAAGGGGTCTCGAGCAACAACCCCCTGAAGTTACGACACATACTTAAAAACACCCTGTAGAATGGCGTTGCTAAGTTTCACTAAATCTCGCTTTGTATGCCCACACACCTTAAGCTGCTCTTTAATTTATTTTTCCGTCTATCTCTCCCAATTCCACATCATCAACATTTTTTTGTACTTATATTTTATTTCAATAAATTTTTGTCCTGTTTCATTTTTTTAGCGCAAATTATTTTAATCTAACTGAAATTATCCTTGAAAAAACGGTTTTTAATACAATTTAGTTTTAGTTGACAAAAATGATAGTTTATAAGTAGCGTATTTTTAGGTCTCACAGACATCGTGGTGTTTCACATGGCCTATTTTTAAATTTACACTGGCATAACTCTTGATTAAAGCAATAAAATTGAAAAATTATCATTTATATTATAACGATTTATTAGTTCTAGTCTCAGAAAATATTATTTAGATATATGTGTGTAGATAATATTCCTAAACCATTCATATGTTTCATTGTCCATTCAAATGTGTTATCAACCAATAAATTTTATTTTTTTATTTTTGTACCAACAATGTACTATTATTTATGACTTTCCAAACTCGAGCATTATCTGAAAAATGGCTCCCTGTTTCTTCATTCTATTTACTCTTTCCTCTTAAATTTTTCATAAACCAGCTTCCCGAACCCAATTTATTATGTGTAATGTATCCCATTTTTCTTGGCTTCTATCTAGGTTAATCTATATATTTTAGTTTTACACGTATCCTATTAAAGAAGATGTAGGATGTCGTTAAATTTCTTTAACGTTATTCTCTGTTTGTAATCTGGGTTAGAAACTGGTGTAGAGATTTCCTAGAAAATACGAGGTTTGCATTATTTATATACCTATACCTTATCTATTTCTTACTATTTTTGTAATAGACAACGTTGATATATAAAAATAACTTTGGTCAAATTTTATATCCAAAATGATGAATCATTTGGAATTTTTTATTGTTCTGATAATATTCTTCAAAAGACCAAATTAGGCATCTATTGAGCATATTGCAAAATTTAATAGGCCTTATTAATCATATTTTTAATTTGTACCTCATATCCACAAATCTTTCACAAAAAAAATTCAGAAAAGTATTTCATGAGGACATATTCACATGTATTTACAATAATATCTTGTTTTCATTTCATAATTTCCAGAAACTTACACATTCAATCGAGCTTTTTCAGATATGTAATTAGTCGTAAGGAGTATTATTTAATGTTAAAGATTCACATGTGTATATAAACAAACTGTTAAGCACCATGTTTGTAACAAATTTTTGTTTTTCATTACATTTATTAAAAGTCTTGTAAATTCTATACTATTATTTCCATTTAATAAATCTGTAATTTAAATAAACAATGAAATATTATATATTAAAGTATTCAATAAAAGTATTTTTAATGAAACCTGTTTTAATATTTGGTAGTAGTTATATAGTTATAAAGTCAAAGTTATCGAAACATGTCACTTCAAAATTTTGCAACGTTTATCTGACACATTTTTCGCTAAACCTTAATTTTGCGGGGTCATTTTGGTGGAGATTCAGAAATAAAACAGTAACCTTCATGTGACCTTGAGGGTTAAATGGACCCCCACACATGATACATCAGCTGAACGTAGATTTTCCGCTCTCCGAATCCGGAGTAGAAAATAAGGTTTTCCATTTAAAAAAAATAAGTTGATCTTGAAATGACCTTGAAAATGACATTCAAGGTCACAGACAAGGTCACGACAATTTGTGCTCCTTGGGGACCAGTAACGTTCATCTTAACCATTTTTCACATAATCATGTCCCATGGATTTTAGAAGGGGTGGACGGGTGGTCTGGGACACCCGGTATATGTAAGTATTTGCATAATAGTATAAAACAAAAAGGGGCAGTGTCTATTTTTTACACTAAACGCTTCAGAGGGAACTTACTGTAAAATATATAAAGCCCGTACAATATTTGTTGAAATAAAAGTCCAAGAAAAAAATAAGCCAATAAAGTTCTGTTATCGAAAATACTGTAACAATTTACCGCGGCTTGGCATACCTTGAAATTTTGCGCGTTATTTGTGGAATATTAATACCTATATAAACACGATATTCTTAGAATGGGAATTAAATTCCTTTCTTTGTTTGGTTAAATCCAAGATTTTAGTGTGTAGAATCCACAATAATTATTCCATATACTTACCATTACTTATGAACACCCTACATAAAAAAAAACAAAGAGACTGTGCCTTTGATTTAAAAACAAATGGCAATTGTATGCCCGTTTAAATAATATTTTCAGCACCAATTATCCGTGAATTTAAAAATGTTTTATAGGTAAATGTAATACAGCAATAAATAAATCAAAGTTTCTAAATTACACTTTACACCTGGTACTTTTTTTAGGTGAGATAAAGTCTTACTTGTTTCTTGTCGTTAGCCTCTTTTATTCAGAACTTATCTCGTTCCTAAAAGTTTCAGAAACGTTATCAAGATAAGGTCCAAATTACGCGTTAAAAGTTACCTTCACGCAAAAGACGAATATTTTTCTTTAGATCCTTTAGATACTAATAAAGGCAAGTTTTCTGTATACACTTTATTTCTTACGATTACATCCTATACTCGTACACATTTAAAATATCACACAGGTATTTGCAATTTTATAATATACAAAATATAAGTGCTGAAGGTATTCTTTGGTGCGTTTCATAATTACAAGTACTTATCAGTAACGTTAATAGGCCTATCGTACATTAACCTCCCATTTCTCTGCAAATCTAATAATTAAGGTTAGTTCTGCCTCAGTTTTGGCTACTTTAGAACGAATATGTAAGGAGGGTATGACTAGGTTCTTAATCTATCGATAATAATCAGTTCGTAGACACCCTGTCTTATTAGGATTGTAAGGGACACGTGAATTTACGAAAATATACAGTGTTGTTACATTATACTTAGGTATATGGTAGTTGTTATTTCTACACTCTTTGTTACATTTTGGGTAATTAAAAATAATAAGTTCATCCGTGTCGCTCTAAAAATATTTGTCAAGTATGGAAACAACTTTGGGAATCTCGATCGCTTTCTAATCGAAATTTTCAAAGTGATTCCTACAACTGATATATTGAACATACTACAATGGTCAAAATAAATGCGTCATTTGGACTTTTCTATACCTAATTCTCAATCATTCTAACAGCTTGCTAAGAGTATGAAAATATTATATTGGGTTACACCACTCGTATATGTTATTTAGTTCATTGCACTAACTAATTTTAAAGTTTTACTCACTATTTCTAACATATTTACATACAGAGAGTATCGACACTGAGATATACTCTTACATGTAGTAAAAGTGTCGCATAATAGAATTTCGATAGTTTTGTACGAAGATAGTGGAATTGGTCTTAATACTCGTTACACAAATGAAACTGACTGTAAAATTGTTTACCATTTTGCGCTTCATTATACAGGATGTCTTAGGGTGAAGGCCCATTAGAATATTACAGAGACCACTTCGTTTTGAATTTTGAAAATTTGGGCCCTGGGGTTTTCGGGGGAGCTCTCTTTAAATAAGATAATGCCACTGTTGTAGCACTTCCGGTTATACCGGAAGTTACCATGTACTTGCTTATTTTAACTGGAACGCCCTGTATATTTTTGCATATTTCAGAAATGATTATTTTTCACACCGTGCAAGCTTAAGTATCGATATTTGAAAGGGAGATAGTCCAGTTACTCAGGGTTTTTACCTCCGAATTCTTTATAACTGAACCGATTGACGTGAAATTTTGACTGAATGTGGGGAATGCTTCAAGGAACTTATATAGTGCCGAAATGTGCTTTTGCCCTGGGGGTGTTTCCCACCCCTTGTTGGGGGTGGAAATTTTTACGCAAAAATGACCACAGGAATCGATAGAGGAGTCAATTTTAAGTAACAAATGTTATATAAAGTTTTTTGGATAATCCAATACTTTCCGAGTAATTCGTCATTGAAAATGTTGATTTTTTACTGAAAAAGTGCTTGTTTTCGGACAGTTTTTTGCAAATAACTGAAACCATTAGATTTAACGAAAAAGTTGTAATGAACAAAAAGAAAGGTAATAAAAAACAAATCGAATGGCATTATTTTGTTTTTCTCCAAGTGCAATATAAACCGAGTTTTAAACATTATTATGTGTTAGCTAAAAACTAAATTGGAACCAGTTAACGTTAAATAACGCCAAAACCACAAATATTAGGAAAAAATCTATCAACTATCAACCTTTTTTAAAGTACCTTGAAAAATCTTTAAAATGAGCTGTTTTAAAAGTCTTTAGAATCAAAATTAACGGAAATATGATCGAAATAACATGATAATCTCATTTTTTTTGAGAAAAAATTAATAAACAAATCAGTGCCTTTGGCGACAGAATAAAAATTAAATGCAATCCATTTACAGATTTCTTCATTTATGTTCTAACAATATGTTCTGGGTCTTTGGCTCACTTACAAAGCATGATTTCGAAAAAAAACTTCATTTTTGAAAATGTTAATTTTTCAAATTTTTGAAATTCGATTTTTACGCTGTAACTTAAAAATTAAAGGGTGTACGAAAAAATACAAGAGTAAAAAAATTTAGCTTTATTTTTGCTGAAGATTTTGCTTGCAATTTTTATTCCTCTAAAATTAATATTAATCGAGATATCGCCATTTTAAGTTATCATATGAATGAGAGAACCACCCTTTTCGAGCCCTTTAAACCCTTCAAACTTAAAAATGAAGAGCTTAGTCCTTACAATTCCCTGCAAAATGAGCCTTTGTGCGATTGAAAATCTTAAAAAGTAAGAAAGTTATCATCAAAAAAATAAACACGTGTATAGGTGATAATTTTAGGAAAATTTAGATCAAACAAGAATTTTTAAGCATTTAAATCTTTTTTGTATATATACGTATTTCGACACGTGGATATCTTATGTAATTCGACATGTGGAACATGCTCCGGCGACAACTGCCTAAATTCTCCTCCAATCATCGAAGAGAATAGCAGTGACGACGAATAATCATTTACATATAATTATAATGTTTATAATGGGAAAATAAAAATTTATAAAATATTCTTAATTTTGTGTGTATGTTACCGGCCAAACCCGATTTTAGGACAAATTAGTTTCTCCTAGGCCAAACCAGTTCATCCTTTATGCGATAGGAAAAACCGGTACAGACTAGGCTGGACTGGTTGAGCCTAATATAAATAAGTACACTTCAGGATAAACAGGTTTGGCCTAATCTATTCTAATTTTGCCTAGTCAAAAATGTTTAAGCGAGTACGTATCGACACCTGTGCATGCGGGAAATCTCCCGATCGTATTTCTCACGCCCTGCGCGCCCGCCGTCTCTTCACTTGCCCCCCGCTTGTTGATTTTAAACGCTCATTCTGCTTTGAATTGAGGACGTGTTAGTTGTTACGTGTTATTGTTATAAATATTAGTAAAAGAATATAACATTATACGGTTTTATTTTGTGTTATCATGGATGAGCCTTCTACATCTAGTAGACAAGCCGATCAAAAACAGTGGAGAGAAAAGTTTTTAACAGAAATTTTGGAAAGTGAAATTAAAAAGTCTTCTCATTATAATGTGTTGTCATCAGATAAATATTCGGAACTGGTTGAACAAGTGGAAGACGCTGAAAAGTCGGCAAAAAGGACACCATTACAACAAAGACGACTGAAACGGTTTGGTGTGCTAAAAATTGGAGATGTGACAAAACTTATAGCGCGGGAGGAAGGGAATATAAAATACTATCTACAGGCTGATGAGCTTTATGATGTGATTGATGCAGCTCATGGGGCGGTTGGACACGGCGGACGTGACAGGATGATAGCCGAGACATCAAAAAAATATGCTAATATCAGAAAAGAGATGATAAGCCTCTATTTATCAATGTGTGATGTGTGTCAACAAAAGAAGACAAAAAAGAAGAGGGGATTAGTTTCAAAGCCTATTCTTCACTCTGAAATGAATAGCAGATGTCAAGTGGATTTGATCGATTTTCAGACACAACCAGATGAATAATTTAAATTTATTATGGTTTACCAGGACCATTTAACAAAATTTGTTCTTCTGCGTGCGTTAACATCTAAGAGAGCAGCAGAAGTGACCTACAACCTGAATGATATATTTTTAACTATAGGAGCGCCGTGCATTCTCCAATCTGACAATGGTAGAGAATTTGTTAATAATGTGATTAGTGAGCTCGCTTCTCTTTGGCCAGAACTTAAAATTGTGCATGGAAAACCAAGGCACAGTCAAAGTCAGGGTTCCGTTGAACGTGCTAATCAAGATATAGAGAACATGATAAGTTCTTGGTTGAAGGACAACGATTCAATGAAATGGTCGGAGGGCTTAAGATATGTCCAGTTCATGAAAAACCGCGCCTTCCACTCAGGTATAAAACAATCGCCTTACAAGGCCTTATTTGGGATTGAGCTTAGAGTAGGGCTTTCGACTTCATCGTTGCCGCAAGAAATAATAAATGACATTCAGGATGAGGACGACCTTAGAAAAGTTATCGAAGATGATTCGAATTGTAACCAGAGTGAAGATGGTGATGGTGGTGTTATGGAAATTGACACACAGAACATTCAAGAAGCTAGAAAAGCGGCGGCAGAAAATCTTGAAAAGCAAGCAAAAAAANCACTAGATGCCTTCATCTCAAAAGAGTGACAGAAAATCGCCCGTTTTTTTACAATTCGCAGAAAACTAAATAGATAAAAATATGTTTTTGGTCTCAAATTACTCGTCGTAAAAAATTAAGATGAGCATAGCTTTTAGTTTTTTGAAAATTTTCAAAAATCAGCCCTACTTAGGGGTTGAAAAGACGCCCAAAATGAAGAATTGAATATTGCCAATAAATATAAAAACTATTAGCATGTGAATTTTTCTATCGAATGATTCTTGATACAAAGAAAAATTTATTCTCACGACTGAAATAAGCATGAAATGAAAGCAGAAAATCCACCTTTAAGCGCACTCAGGGAGTGGAATCATCCCCAAAAATAGAGAATATCAGAAATAATTGTAAAAACTCCAAAAAAAAATATATTAAGATAATTCACATGCTAATGGTTTTTATATCAATTGGTAATATTCAAATTCTTCATTTTTGGCATTTTTTCAACCACTAAGTAGGAGTGCTCATTTCAGTTTTTTATGACAAGTAATTTGCGACCAAAAACATATTTTTATATATTTTTATTTTAATTTTCTGTGAATTGTGAGAAAACGGGTGAAAATCACAGGTTTTTTGTGGTCACTCTTTTGATTCTTACTAACAGTTTTGTGTTTTAAAAAATTTAATATCTGTTAATACTCGTATTTCTATTAAGTCAATTCAAATATGCTCCTGTATTGATAGTAGGTACTTTTCAACTTTTAATATCAAAAATATTAAAAAATATATAAAAAAATCAAAATAAAAAATTTACAACTAAAAGTTCTATTCAATCAGAGACAAAACAGGAGTATATTTCTAAGAAAAAAATATTAAAATCTGACCATGTACTGTGAATATATACAGGGTGAGTCAGAAAGAATGAGTCAACACTAAGCTGGAGATTCTAGATACCAAAATATTACCGATAAAGTTAGGCGACCTAAGCAAGAGTACATTTTTTATGTAGAATTGAACGTTCTTTTAGATTTTTAACTTTTCTTAAGCATAGCTCAACAAATAAAAAAATATATGTTTATATTTACCTAAATAATATGGCGAAACTAGCGCCCTCTAGAAGCAAAGTCAAAATAAGCTTCAAATTCGTAATTCTCACACCAAAAAACCCAATACTACCAATTTTCAGAGCCATGCTATTAAAACTTTCTCAATTATTGAGAAATTTCAAAATAAAATTTAAACCTTGAACACCCTGTATTTCTTAAACCATCAACATTCGTATAAGGGATGATGAACTCAAACGTAACATTTTGGTGTTTAGTATCTCCAGCTTCCAGCTTATTGTTGACCCATTCTCTCTGACTCACCCTGTATATATAACTATACACATGAAACCTATTCTTTGGTGAATTTTAAGGGGTCTTATAAAGTTTTTATTTATGACGCTTCGTTAAAAAGATATAGGGTGTTAAACTTAAAAAAATATTTTTAATTTTTTTAAATAATTTAAAAACTAGTAAGTGAAATAATTTGAAATTGTGCACATATATTTATGTAAACATTGTCCAAAATTTGAGGCCTTTTCTAAAATTTAAATATGCTTCGGTGACGCCAGATATAAGGTATCAGTGGTATATTTTTCTAATTGTAAATAAAATAGTACGCTACTGCTTTACGGTAACAACCATGATATTTTCGGATTCGTCTTTCAATATTCTACAAATTACTACTCTCTTATGTTTTTCGAAAAAAGCCTTATTTTCGAGAAAAGCTTAAAAAACTTAAACACCGGACCTCAACCTACTGGATTTCCTTTTGTGGAGTGCTGTTAAACTGCCTATACACTGGACAAATTCATACACCTGAGAAATTAGAAGGAAGAATAAATAATGATTTTCATCGGGCTCAAGCAACAATAAATTGCGAACAAAATTACCTACATTTGCGTTACTAAAAAGATCTCGCGTCAGTATTCATGGAAATGGAGGTATTTCTGAGCGTTTACTCATATAAAATCATTAAAATGATGACCAATATTATTAATTTCTTTATTCGATTAAATAACCGAATGATTAGTGTTTGTAATGTCATTTAAGTAAAAGAGTTTTCAGTTCGTTTTCTAAGTTTTACTCGAAAATCAGGCTTTTTTCGAAAAACTTAAGAGAGTAGTAATTTGTAGAAAATTGAAAGACGAATCCGAAAATATCAGGTTTATTACTAAAGCAGTGACGTACTATTTAATTTAGAAATCTCCGCCACTGGAGCATCTAAATTTTAGAAAAGGGCCTCAATTTTGGGCAATGTTTACATAAATACATATACCGAATTTCAAATTAATTTACTTACTAATTTAAAATTATTTAGTACCTAAGTAGTAAGTAAGTAGTAGTAAATTATTATTATTATTATTATTATTATTATTATTTATTTTTTTTATTTTTTTACTCGAATAACCCTTACATGATTTTGAATAACGCATTTGTGTTTCAAGTCATCATGAGTAAGAATAAGTTTAATAATGGTACCTCCAGCTATAATTTTTGTACAAATAAAAATAGTCGTAGTTAGCCATAGCTCATGGGACTTGCAGCCAAAGGGCATTCACGAATTCTTTCCAACAAATATATTTTTTTTAAATCGGTCAATAAATAAAAAAGTTTGGAGGTGGCTAGCTTCTAAGCAAACACCATATAGAAAACATAAGTAAAATTTCATAGTACAGACGGAGGATGAGTATTAGAAGTGTCTTGTGTCTAATGATAAAAGAATGGACCTGCATACCTCTTCAAGGTAAATTAAACTTTCGTCTGTTTTAATTTACAGGTAGCATCCAATTCTCTTCAAAACCCTCTGTCATACAAGGTCATCCACTTAAATGTGTCTCCTCTAATTATTAAAATATCCTAATAATGGAGATATCAATTTGTAGATCTTTTCAAACAACTGCTTCATTTTAAAAACCAGTGATTCTAACGAAACTTATTTTAGACTTTTTAGTTTTGTTCCTAGTACATCGAGACATGGTTTAAATTTAAGGAAAAAAATTCAGAAAATTAAAAAAAAAATCGTGTCTAAAGTTCTAGATTCTTTATCTTGATACATCCATTTTTTTTACTGAAAAAGAGCCCTTCGAAAATGACTGAAAGATTCAAGAAGTTTTTTGTTTCCTTTAATTTTTTTCCATTAGTGTAGGTTTATTTGAAAACCTATAAGGTGATAGAAACATATTCTTATTACATGTACCGTTTCAATTTTTTAAATACAATCTTATTGTTATTTTCCTCATATTGTGTTTGTTTAGTGATATTTCAACTCATTATCATTGTTAGTTTTCTTAAAAAGTATTAGTGGGTAGGTACTTACTTTTTTATAATTCTATTTTCAAAAACTTCCATAAATTAGGAAAATGTGTACAAATAACAAAACGTTAAAAAGTTTAAGAAATATTATTAATTATTATTAAGAGTATTGGAACTAATTCATGTTTTTTCCGCAACTGTTTGCGCCACTTATCATCATCCAAATTTTAGTCACATTTATAATTTTTTTTGATGATTTAATAAAATTTCTTAAATAAAATTGCACAAAATAGCGGCATCCATAGAATTTCATAGAAAGATCAATATTTTTCAAAATTGTAATTCTTGAAAAAAAATAACAGTGACAATGAGTTTCCCTGACCAAAGTGTCACAAAACAGAAATCGAGATAAAATTAAATTTTAATGAAAATAATAATAGATTTGTTAATAAAAAATTCGAACTAATGATAGCTGGTGAAAAACGAAACATTCCATATTATATTCTATTGTGTTTCTATTTCCATATAGATTTTCAAATAAATCCGGAAAACGATAAAATGGAGGTTTAAAAATTTCGTGTAGTTTTCAAAAAATCTCCAAAAAGAGCTATTTTTTATTTCCCAAAGTGAAATTAATACATACTAAATTATGTAATTTTGTTCTAATTTAGTGATTTGTTCTTTAAAGTTAGTTTATAAGGCTTTGCAAAGATATAAACTGGTGCCTCGATAGTTAGATATCCTAAAAATTGTAGAAGATACAGGCTTAAGTAGTTTTAAGTGACAAACCCTGTAGATTAAAATGGCTTGCATGTAGTAAGTACCCTTTCGCTTTTGATAACTTTTCATACATCTTGAAAATACGTTTTAAAAACTTAGGTAATTTCGAAATCTAAGATCTGCGCTAAAAAACAAACCTTCATTTAACGAAAATTCAATTTCAATTACCATTAGAAAAATTCACCCATGTTTTGATTTTTATACTTATAATGTAGTACACTGCGCCATTGGGAAATTAAATTCCATCAGCTCTTTTGTTCATACGGAAAATAGATGGTTATAAAACCCCTTTCTCTTATAATACACCCGGTCGCCTAAAAGATCGCACCTCCTGCATCTCGAATAAAACGCCTACAATATACTACATGCAGTCCCGTGCATTACTTCCGATATAAACATAGGGGTGCCTGCTCCCAGGCCTCCATCAGTCTTCTCCTGTTCATTCTTGTCATACTCGCAATCGAAATAATGGCTCTGGCAGTCGAAGCACCTACACTGGTCGGACATTTTGCACGTTATCCCGAACTGCTTTGCCACTGCTCGGTACAGTTCTTTGCTGGATTTGTGCATGATTTCCGGTCCTTTCGTGGGAATTGTGGGCGATGTCGCTTGCGCTTCTTTCCTCGTCTAAATAACATGAAAGAAATGATAAATAAATATGTAAAAGCATCTATGTTCTAAAACAGCAGGCGGTAGAGCACAAATCAAACTACAAATTTTATTATTTCTTAATTAATTTGTGTATTCTCTAAATGGAAATTTTATTGTACCGTTGCATGACTTTGTTTATCCTGCACAAAATGAGGATCGACTGAGGCTACACGACTTGTCTTTTTGAAATCCCGCCCTGCCTCAGTTTCCCGCTGAGGCGTGTCAGTGCGTGCCATAGGCGTAGAAGTGCGAAAAAATTTTATTAGTTTTACATTTTAGTTATTCCAAAAATCGTTATGAAATCAGGGTAGTCTAAAGGACCGATTTGTAACAGAGCAAGAATGTTATACAGGGTCTCTGGAAAGGTCATAACAAAAATGAAGGGGTATACAGGGGAGCTCAAAATGGTTGTAGTACTTCATAAATTTTTTTTTTCAACAGTAGGCCTTGGATATTTAACAAAAATTGTGTTGTTTGAAAGGAGCTATCATTATTGTATTGTCATTGTGTTATTTGAAAGCTGTTGTATTTAAATGCGTATAAAAATAACGTTTTAATTCAGTTGCGAAGATAAATCAGTTATTTAGTCCAAATGAGAAAGTTGAATTAATTTTTTTTCAAGTTGGTGGTTTAAGTATACGCAATGCGTGCGCTGAATTCCACGCAAGACATCCCGATAAGCCTTTTCCAAATTATTTAAGAACTAACTTTAGTAAAACTGAAAACAACTGGATCTGCAAAAGGCTGAAAATCATCTATCAATTCAAATAAAAAAGTTGGCCTATGTCAGTGTTTTAAAAGAATAGCACTGTATTGTATCAAAAATGCGATATTAACATTTTTGCAAAAATCTTGGAAATTGAGGCGACTGTCACAAGTATGTATAATTAGCAGTTAGAATTTTGTCATAAATCATTTTGACACCATTTGTCGATTCGATATCATAGAGGATTTTAGCTATGAAGAATTTGCAGATATTCATCTAATGTACGAACTTGCAAAATGTACTGCTTCTGAATCTGTTCGGATTTATGCCAACCGCTTTCCACATAGAATTTGCATATTTGAAGTGACGAAAACCCCCATGCTATTATTCGGACAAAACACTAACAAAAATTCTCGTTAATGTATGGATGGGAATAATTGGAAACTACTTAGCGGGACCACATTGATGATACTTTAAATGAGGATAAATACCTACATTTACTGCAAGAATACTTTCTCGATTTTTTTCTTTGGGTCAATCTTAAAAGTTTTGTTTATCCAACTCCTATAAATAGTAGGGAAGAATTATTAAATCGCATAATTACCTACATACGCCGAAATCATTAGAAATGATCACCACGTGTTATTTTGAGTACAGCAGAGGTGTTTGAGCAGTTTCAGAAAATGGGTGCACATATTATTGAACATCTTACTTAACAGTTCTCTTTTTTCTTTTAATTCTATAGAAACTAAGATTCTTATAAAAATGTTAGTATGTATCACATTTTTTATACAATAAATGTATGTTGTTAATAAAATTCGATTTTAGGAATCGAACTATGGAAGAAAAATGTCAAATTTGCCAACACTGTCAAGGATGTATAAATTTAAATGAATAATTTCGTCTGCTCCTGTATAATCCAAGCATATTGAATATCCGTTTAAACTTAAAAAAGAACATTAATTACCATGATTTACTTTAATTGCCCAAATTTCATTGTTTAGATTTAGAAGTTATAATTGGAATTTGTTTTTCAAACTTCTTTCTTTGAAGGCGAATAACTCCACAACGAAGCCCGATAGGAAAAAAAATATGGAGTACTACAACTATTTTAAACTCCCTGTATACCTCTTCATTTTTGACATGATCTTTCCGGACACCCTGTATATAAAACAAAGTGTACAGGAGATTCGAGCACGATCCGCAGATATATCTGTGATTAATACCCTAGAAATGTGCAGTTCTTTAAAAAAAAGATATATTTATTTTGCGTTAAAAAGTAATGCAAAAAATCGAAATACATGGCAGTAAGAAAGTGTATGTGCTATTCATATGAAGATTAATGGATTTTATTTTAGGACGAAAATTTGTCTAGATTGCCATGAAAAGTCTTACTGCGTACTATACATGTAATGAATTGTCATTACTTAAATCGAAAAAAATAAAAAAATGTTAATAGGAAAGAACGAAAAAATATTTAGAGATACAAAATAACAGTTCTGTACATTTAACTAATAATTATATAATTAGAGACTTTAAACTCTCAAATCTTTTTGGTCCAACATAATCCAAAGAACAACTTCCTGTAGTTATGACCTCGACTTAGGGGACACTCGGTATACAGGCTGTCTCCTAAAAAAAAACGCAAGCCATAACTCCGTCATTTATAGTCTGATTTTAAAAAACAAAAAATGATATGAAATAGCTCTAAATACAATACAGAGTGAGCCTATTGGAGCGTATTTATTATTATTTTTTTTTTTGAAAAGCGATAGTCAACTTTTTTTTTCAAATGGCAATATAGGTTTTTTTTGTTTATTATTATGCAGATTTCTATTCTGAATTCAACGATGTATATAAAGTTTACACTTGTGAAACACGTATTACAGAAAAAGCATTAAAATATTAGTCAATACCGCATTATTAGCGCCCGGTCGCTTAATTGACAACAAACATATTTTGACTAATCATGTATGCCTGGAAAACAAACAAAATGATACAACAAAGCAAGTAAATGTCATTTTAGCGTTCGTGTCCCAGTTTTTACGCATTATACGCTTTCTGTGTCATTTACAGTAGGTTATTTATTGAAATAAGCTCAACAGTGCAAAATATGAGTAATAATCAATTGACGGACATGATTCAGGTATACTTTCGGTGTAATAAAAATCGTGGTGCAGGAATCCTCCTTTACAGAGAACTATTTCCTCACAGAGAAGTTCCAGAACCACGTAGATTTGTAAGACTTGAAGAAAATTTGAGAAACTATGGTGCTTTTAAGAAACCAAAGCGAGAAGAACGCCAAATTTAATGAAAACATCGAGTTCAATGTTCTTCTTAACGTTGAAGAAAACCTAAGAACTTCGATTTGGGAAATTTCTAATAATATTAGAGCATCAAAAAGAACTACCTATACATGCAGTATTGAAAAAGCACACATTCAAGCCATACATTCCACAAGAAGTACAGGCAATAGGGGAAAACGATAGAGAACGACGGCTACAATTTGTTTCTTTAGTTGTTTTGTGTTTGTTGTTCTTCGTTTAATGTGTTTTGTGTTGAATTAATGTTATTTTGTGTTGAACTTTGTATAATGGTTAATGTATTTAATTAAATTGTTTTTTTTTTAAATTGATATTTATTGTATTGTTTCTTTTCTGTCAACTACAAAATTCTCTTTTTTCATAGCACAGATGATTAGTTAAAATACATTTGTCATGAATTAGTATCCGGGCGCCTAAGGTGGTATCGACTAATATTTTGACGTATTTCTGTAATAAAAGCTTTACAAAAGTCAAGTTCATATACATCGTTGGATTCTGAAAATAAATCTGCACAATAATAAATAACAAAAAAACTATATAGTATATTGCCATTTGAAAAAAAAAGTTACCTATGGCCTTTCAAAAAAAAATAGTAAATAAGTTCTAATAGGCTCGTTTTATAGTGCATTTAGAGCCATTTCATTTAATTTTTTGTTTTTTTAAAATCAGACTATAAATAACGGAGTTATGGCTTGCCGCGTTTTTTTAGGAGACAGCCTGTATACAGGCTGTTGCAAATTCGCTTCTCACTACAGGGATCTCGGAAACGGTAAGACGTACAAAATAGCTCAAATGGGGGCAAAGTTGCGTAACCAAGGGAACAACATTATGCCTCAAATAAATCAAGGCTAACATGATTAGTTTTCGAAATATTAGAAAAAAAACAAAATTTTGGAAATTCGTTTTTGCTTCATTTCAGCCTTGTTTGAGGCGACATTGAAAAAAGAAGAACACTTTCTTGGTCACTTTTTGCCTTCTATCGAATGGCATAATCAATTTTTTGTATGTAATGTTTCGTCTCTCCAGGACCATCATCAACTTTATTTTTTTAAATACGACCCTAGAAATGTTATTACATTTTTTGCAACCCTTCATGAACCGCAATACTATACTGCCTCAGCCCGAACCAGATTCAGACGTTTTGTCTCGAAAAATTCATCTTCATTGTATTGGATCCAAATTTATCTAAATTTTTTATTTAGATTTCTTTGTTTATTGAATTATCGTACACTGAAAATTTCGTTAAAGCCTGTGAAATCGATCTAGTTAATTAAACTATTACCACTACGCATTACAATAAAACATTTATTACACAGGCCGACAAAATTTAAAAAAAAAATCCAGAGATCAGACACTACACTTCCGAAGGCATTTGGCGCGCTGAATCCGAATCTGGTCTCAGAATTTCCGAGATATTCTAACCTAAAAGTGCAAAAAACACGTACTTTTGCTATATTCAAGGTTATGTAACTTGGCGAAAAAAATTTCTCAAAACTGAAAACATCATTGGAAACGACTATCTTTCCCCTTCAAAACGCATTTTTTTATTTGGAAAAAGCTCTATTTTTCGCGGAGATATCGTCAATTTAAGATGACCAGTATGGCTATATTATTACATCATGTTTAACCCCATAACACTGAGCGCTGCTAGCCCTAATTGTTAGGAACGTTAACCCCAAGCCCTATAACCCCACAACACTAAGCGGAGCGAGCCCTCATCGTCAGGAAGGTTAACTTCAAGCCCTATAACCCAATAACACTAAGCGCTGCGAGCCCTAATCGTCAGGAAGGTTAACCCCAAGCCCTATATGTCTGGAAGGTTAATCCCAAGCCCTATAACCCCACACCACTAAGCGCTGTGAGCCCTAATCGTCCATGAAATGTTACTAGTTATCCTAAATATTGTAATATATTGAGTAATGTCATGATACACTTATTATATTGTAAAGCAATCATTTACTATATTCAATGAACCAATTGGGTTATTGGGTTATTGGGTTATTTGGGTTATTTGGGATTAACCTTCCTGGTGGTTAGGGCTTGTAGCGCTTAGTGTTATTCAGTTACAGGGCTTGGGGTTAACCTAGTTATAGGTCTAGCCATGGTTTAATAAGGTAGCTATACTGATCATCTTTAATCGACGATATCTCCGCGAAAAATAAAGCTTTTTACAAATAAAAAAATGCGTTTTGAAGGGGAAAGATAGTAGTTTCTAATGATATTTTCAGTTTTGAGAAAAAATTTTTTTTCGCCAAGTTACATAACCTTGAAAATAGCAAAAATACGTGTTTTTTGCACTTTTAGGTTAGAATATCTCGGAAACCTAGGGTGATGGATCAATTCTGAAGCCAGATTCGGATTCAGCGCGCCAAATGCCTTCGGAAACGTAATGTCTGATCTCTGAATTTTTTTCCTTGTTGACCTGTGTTATTATTAACTATTACAATCACTTGGTCATACATAACTCAATAAGTTGTTGCGCCAAAATTAAAACATTACAATTTTAATTTTATTATGACAAATTAGTTCTTAAAAATTCATATGAACAACCAAAACGCCAACTGAATATTATTCTTTAAAAAATTTCAGTAAATGTTCAAAAACATTTTCGTTTTAGGTTGAAAATGAAGATCAGCGTAATATTATCGGAATTTATTACATCTGTAACCGCAACTGTGAAAGAGCATGTCAGATGTATTTGTATGAAAATCATGAAAAAAATTGATCGGAATTTGTTTGAATTTTGAGCACTCGAGAAGCCTAGAAATAACTATGGACACGGGAATAAAACTATAATAATGTTTTATTTTAATGCGTGGTGGTAATAGTTTAAATAACCAGATGGATTTCCCAGGGTCTAACGACACTTACAGTGTACGATAATTTAATAAACAAAGAAATCTAAATAAAAAATTTAGATAAATTTGGAACGAATACACTGAGGATTTTTCAAGGCAAAACGTCTGAATCTGGTTCGGGCTGAGGCAATACAGTATTGGGGGTCATGAAGGCTTGCACAAAATTTAATAAAATTTCCAAGGTCGTATTTAAAACGTCCAAATGTGACTTTCTATACTTCTATAGACTTACTTCTTCCAAAACGTATTCGTAAGGTGGTGGTGGGCTAGAGGGGATGACATCCTGCGCCTCGTTGGTTTCCAAGATCGCCGGAACTGTGCTCTGGGGACTGCCCAATTCTGTTTCGCATTCAACAGGAGTCTCGACCGAATTGCTTCTCGTGGAAGAATTCGATTTCGACATCCTGCTAAATTTTATCTTGAATGGCGCCACTTTTGATGTTTTCTCGAATTTTATCAAATAATTAGACTGTTTCAGTTGACATTTTTGCCTGGAATGTGATTACGATGATGTCAGTCTTGAGAACATTGGCGATGTGGCGGAACTCCTGAAAATTTATACTCGTTTTCAGTCATTCGTGCTTCATATAAGAAAATATTTATATTAACTAGCCTCAAAGGTTAAATATAAAAAATTATAGAAAGTCGAGTAAGGATTTAACGCTAACTACCTATTTTTATACATTTTTAAGAGTTGGTTTCTAGGCCCATGAAGAAAACTTTTGCAATGAAAAAATTTCGACCAAAATTTGCGAAATAAAAAATAGGTGCTGGGAATCAAAACTCGTATATGTGCAGAATACATTTTTTTATATCCCATCAAATTAAATTTGATATATCCCATTTTTCAAAATTCATAATGCTGTAACTTGGGAAAAAATAGTAAGTACGCCGCTGCAATTCAAAATTTAATTCGGAAATGAGTTATTAATTTATTGCAATACGACAGGAATTCCTTCCTACAATCAAAACCAAAAAAGAAATATATCTACACCTTAAAAATGTTCTTGAAAATTAATTAAACTACGCATTTTTATTTCAGATGGCCGTTAGACATAAAAAATAATGAGGTCAAAACGACTGCTGCTGTGAACCGCAAAATAATCTGAAAAGCAGCGCAGCGTTGACAACCAGAAAATCACGTGTCGGTGACTCGGTATTGATCTGGGGTGAGGGGTGTCTACCACCCCGATATGACAACATGCCTTGCAATCTTATAGACTCAAATTTGTCCCACATTTTCGTCTCTACGTGGACAAAACACAAAAATTCAAGATATAGCTCTCATAATCCAAATACTTACGAACGAACATTTAAAAAACTGGATATACTTAATTCCATGAAAATTCACTGACGCAACTTTGTAAATAAAAACACTGTTTCAGATACTTACTTGCTGATGGATTGTAGCTAGATTTTGCATTAAATACGAAAAAGTAGAATGGAACATTTAAAAATGTCGCTGAGTCTTCAAGCGCAAACAATTTAGTTGATTCACACAAAAACAAAACATGTATTTAGGCCGTAGGCAGAGAACCACCTTCTACGGATTCATTTCTACGTTCAACGTCGCGGCGCCACCGACGCTATTTAGATCAGGCGCCGATGCTGGTATGTGCTAGGGAAATAGGCGCAGAAATTTCGAAAATAAGTTGTACTCTAATTTAATATTAATTGTTATAATTATCACTTCATTTCATGGACATCTGGTTTTTGCAATAAAATAAACCTATAATAATATTAGTAGGGCACTCAATGTCAATCTTGTCCTATATAAAAACAAAGCAGATGCTAGTTTCCTACGCGTCTCCCAGAAGATTCACAGTTAAACCTACTCATTAAATAACTGTAATCACAACATCTTTCAAGATAAACCCCACCAATTCTGAAACTTAAAAATTTTGAAAAACGTCTAATTCTTTCAACAGCAGATGAACTACAAATATATAAAATTCCGTATTAAGCAGGCATATTTTAATTTAGGTATGTCTATTCATACTAAAATACCAGTTGTCATATACCAAAAACACCAGTGAAGTTTTTATAGTTGTGGTCTGGTTGTGGACAATAAAACCTTGTACATTATATTCCGACTTTATAATGTTACTAACTTGATTAATTGTGCGTTGGTAATCAAAATTAAATACTCTTATAGTATGAGTTCACCCTAAAATAGCATTGTTAATAGCATGGGTATTGCAAGGTAATAGATAGAACTTTTAAAAATATTTAAATAAAAGTGATTCTACAATAATAAAATTTACTCTTGCAACGCAATTGTCAATTAAATTCATGATGAAGTATACAGGGTGTCCCGCATAAGAGCCGACACAGGGCAGGTGCATGTATAGGGGTGTCCAAAATATTGTAATTTAACCAAACTTACCTATAGTACGATCGTATTCGATGCAAAGTAATAAGTCATTGCTTGTCGAGGGAATCAGTGCAACACATTTTATAGGGGGTTTTGGAAATTGAATAATTTCTTTATGCATTATGGATTAACAGTTATATATTTATGAAGGACAAAATGAAAAACAAAGGCATCTCCTTCGCACATTGGGCGGCAGGACAACAATACATTTATTACTCCCTTCATTATCCCTCATATGACTTGTGTCTTGTGTTTTTTGCGGCGGCGCGCGTGCCGGCCTGGCGTGGTCAGTTTCGTTTCGGTTGTATTGGTGCTGCGTGTTTCTCGCTCGCGATATTTGTGAGGTTATAACTGTTATAAGTGCAATTATATTTCTTTCGGGCTATATGTGTGTTTCGCGCTATTATTTGAGAATTTGTGAGTGAAATCATATTTCTTGTGCTCCGTAACAAAAGTGTTTTTAGTGTTTTATTTGTGTGCTGTGTGTGTGTTTCGGGCTGTTGTTTGTGAATCGTGAATGCTATTATATTTTCTGTGCTAGTGAAGTGAAGTTTTTTGTATTATTATTGCTCTGTTGTCGTTATATGGATAAATGGAGGCGGTGCCTGGATGTTCGCAAGCCGGATGTACTGCTGTGGGTACAAAAAAATCTATATTAAGTTACAGAGAAAAAACGATAATATTAAATGTCTATAACCCTTTAGAAAAGGATCATCCCATGAAACTGAAGACTGGTTTGGTGGAAATGTGTTCTAGATATACTGGAGTAAGCGAATTATCTGTTTTCAAAATTTTAAGAGAGAAGAAAATTGAAGGAGACGTTAAGAAACCTAAAAAAGGGGTGCAAAGAAGAAATTAATATTAACTGAAGATGAGAAAAATGCAGTTTGGCGTACAGTACATAAATCATAGAATTTATATTTTGTTTATAATTTGTTAACATTTCTTGTTTGATAGAAAAATAACTTATTTTGTTGAGATTGGTAGAGAATTGTTGTTAGTGTTTTCATTTGATAGAATCATATCATAGGATTTATATTTTGTTTTCATTCTGTAAATATTTATAATATATATGTTATACAAGGTTTTTGCTTTGAAACTTCGTTCTCCTTTTAAAAAAAGAATCGTAATGGGGTGCGAGATCAGTTCACGTCTGGAACCCTGTTCCTACAAAAATCCCTTTATTCTCATAAACTATTTGTTTTAAATGTAATTTATTATAAATCCAATTCGTTATTTAAATTCCACATATGTACTACATTTCACCTCTGTACGCGCCACTGTTTATTGTTCCCTGCTCTACGATCAAGCTCGCCAGGTTAGTATTTGACGTATAACCGACCACTTCGTACACTCGATGCACCTGGCCGACTACAGCTTGTACCAGAACACAGTGCGTATGCGGCGGTATTTCAGATTTTACATTCAATTTCATTTTAAATTTTAAGTGGTTCATTTTAGGCCTCTTAAAAATGATGACACGATTTTCCTTTGATAAAAAACCGACAATTTTTTGCTCTACTTTGCATCGTATACGATCATATATACAAAGTTGCACCCTGAGGAGTTCTTAGGTCCCAAAGTGGGGCCCTAAATATCGAAAAAAATAATGTCTGCAGAAGAACCAAATTTGGTACATGATTTAGGTTTATTACTGGCCTTCTTTGACTTTAACTATGATTTAAAGTTAATTGAAGCACTACAAGGTGTTCATTGGGGATGACACCCCTAAAATTGTACTGAACTTTTTTTTCATTGACCGAATTAAAAAATAGTATTAATTCACAGCAGAATTTAATTTTAAAACTTTTTCTACTCGTTAAATTTTAAAAAACTATGGTTTTCAAGAAAAACCATATTAACTGACAAGATTTTAACAGTGTTTATTACCTTTTTATTATTTATTTTTATTAGTGTTTATTGCTTAAATATGATTATAAATAAAACAAATATTTGTTGTCAAAGCCTAAAAATTAAAGGTTTTTTAGTACACTGATATATTTTATCAAAGACCTTAGAGAAAACCATTTTTCGTAAGTTTCACATAAAATTTATCTGAATACCGTTACGCTACTTATAGTTGATCTATGTTAGATCGATGTAAAATTTTTGTAAATTCCTGTTTATTCGGTTATTTTAAACATGGTTTGTAGAATATTAGGCTAAATATAATTATAAAAAAAAATTTAAGATGTTCTAATGAAGTTACTTTATTTTCAATTTTTGTCAAAGTTAATACTATCGCAAAGGTAATATCTAAGTCTGTTGAAATGAATGTTAAAAAAAGTCAAATGAAATAATATACATATATTACAAAAATCTTAAAATAGAGCAAAAATAATACAATGTCAATATATTATTAAGCTAGATCACAGCTAAAATGTATAAAAATAAAATACATATTAAAATCATTATTTAAAACAATTCTTTACAGTGATGGTACATTTACATAATTTTGAAACAGGTATTAAAAATGACATTTTAATTCAATTTTTTTCAAAATAATCAGTTTTAAATATGTTTCAAAATATTTTCCTTCTACGACAGCTACAATAAAAAGTTTAATAAAATACTCAACATTTATAAAATATTAAACAAATGTATATACTAAAAGAAAGACACTATAGTTATTTAATGACTGCTAAAAATTATTCTGCAGTAGCGTCTCATGAATTTAACTTTAATTTACATGAATATATTGAAATTGCGAATAAAATGATTCCTTATTATACAATTGTTCACTGGAAATTTGGCATGTCTCACTAGTTTTCTTGTAACTTAGAATTTTAAGACTAATAAAAAATGTTAAAATACACATATATTTTAGTAGCTGCCTTATAAAAATATCAATTTTCAATGATAATTTTAGGAATGATTTTACGCAGATTTTTCTTCGTTTTCTGCACAGAGTCACTGTTAGAGCTAGATATGGAGCACACGTTTTCAATTTTTATGTTAGATATTGAATTCTCATTGACAGGAACTGCATTCGATGCACCTGGTAATATCTGAATAACGATTGGGTTTGTCGTGTTATTCAATTTAGGAAGAATTTGTGGCAATACTGGCAATGTTGTCGCTGCTGGAGAAACAGTACCGTTATCCGAGGTTTTCTTTATTTGTATGAGTTGACATTGCAAGTTATAATTTTCCATCCGTAATCTTTTATTTTCGTCTTTTAGTATTAATATTTCCTCCTCCATTTCCTTCCACCGAATTTGTTTTCTCTTTCGACATCTAATTTGTGCTGCTCTGTTCATTTCCCTAATTTTTTCTCTATTATCATCAACAGTCGGACTCTTATTTTTGTCCGTTATAGTTTTAGCTTTTTCTTTTTCCGCCACGGTTAAATTTTGAAATGGTATAACGGATATTGTGTTATTACTCCCAGCATTTGTGTAATTTTCTTTTTCCATTCTTTGTTTCTCTTTATTCTGTAGGGCTTCCTTAATACGCTTCTTAATGTCTTTTTCGTTATCACTCTCATCATCTATAACGATAACTGGTGTATCACATTCTTCTTCATTACTTTCATTTGTACAAACATCTTCTATTGGAATTACAGTATTAAGGGAAAATTCATTAGATCGGGAGTTATTATCATCTTGACTAGAGTTTACATTGTTCTTTTTTCGATTCTCTTCTACATGTGGTAATATATGTGGCGTATGTAATGTATCATCGGAATTTGTTTCAGGTACCTCCAAAGTTCCGCCATTCTTTGCCAGTTCTACAGCCTTTTTAAAAAATTCATCAAATGGATTAACATTCTGTAGATCTTGGAATAAACCAACTTCTTCACAATTTCTTATGAATCTTGTAGGGGTCGGAGTCTGATCAGCTAAAATATATCAAATTAACGAATGATAAACGATAAGTAAGTTTCTTCTCACCAACATCATTTTTAGTTACTCCCAAATTCAGTATCATGTCATGCTTTTTTTGATGCCAGTTTAAATGATCTTCATTAGTGAAAGTCATTTCACAGTCTTTTTCGCAACAAGCAAATGGTTTTTGAGTTTCATTCATGGCAGGTAGACATCTAAAATATGCAAGAACAGCAGGTTCCCATCTCCTTTTTTAAATGCTAAATAAATATGTGATGTATGTGTATGCACTTTGTTTTTCTAAAAAAATGTCCTATAATTAATATTATGCCAATAATATTGTCTCATGTGATTTACAACCTCACATTTATGTTAAATAATTTAGGCTTTTCCTCTACTTTTCTTAGGGCGCATCCCCATAATCGGGAGAAACAGAACACAAATTACTTTATTTTGATTGGTAGTTGACTTCTGGAATTATTTTCGACCAATAGTATCGTCTAAATTTATAGGAATGTACAAATTCCGGATCCATGGGTACACACCCTTAGCATTTCTGCTTCTTCTTCTTTCTCTTATTAGTGATAGTGTGGCCATCTATTTGTACCTTTTTAAGTTTTTAAACAAAATAGCCTTTGACATATAATAGAAAAAGATTTTGTTTTGATATAGGTATATAAGTAAATAATATACTCATATGAATAAAGGCTTTTTTCAAACTTTCAAAAAAATGGTTCAAAAAACCTATTTACAACTACCATTTTGGGGATAAATTCCTATAGCCAACCTTGAAATATGTTTCAATTTTTAATACACTTTTACTCAATTGATTAATGTTTACATATTTTCAACAATTCATTACGCAATACCTCAATATGTTTCTGTCTATAATACCAAATCAATTAAATAGTTTTTTTAAATATAAATAGCACAAATTAACATGTCAAACCGTCATTTTTGGGCAAACAAAAACATTAATTGAGGTAGTTGGTCAATCTAGGGGCCCTCTAATAATATGAATTGAACTGTCTATCTATAATACTTACTCAAGGGTTCAATCAAATCAAAACATAACCCCAACATATTTTGAAGTTTACTTTCATTTTATCAATAAAACATTTGTGTTTCAATACTTTATGATTAAAAAATCATTATCACATCTAAAAACAATTTAAAAATGAATTTCACAAGCAAACAGCGAGTGAGAATTTTATACAAAACCATTTTGAAATTGCACAGAGGTCTGCCCAAGGAATTACAAGTTTTAGGCACTAATTATGCAAAGGACGAATTTAAAAGACATAAAACGTGTAGTACAGAGGAAGCCGAGGTCTTTGTAAACGAATGGACGGTACTAGATTTAATTTAAGCTCTTATATTTTAATTGATCTGTGAATCGTATTATGTATTAATTAATTATATATTAACATATCTTTTCCAGAACTATGCTATATCTTTAGCGGAACAATTAGGATTAAGGGGACCTCATACAGGTACAAAACGATTGGGTTCACAACTAGCAAAAGATGATATTGATCAGTTACGTGATGAGCAAGTGCACCAGCTATATGAATTAATGGAAGAAGCCACCAAAACAAGTTGGAATGAATCTCCTAAAAGATGATTGTACTTAGATGATTTTTAGCATTATTTGTAAATAAATAATTTAAAAATAAATTTGTTTGTTAAAATACGAAATTGAATTTCTTAAAGTATAGGCAACCAACAAAACACATAGGTGTTAATATGATTATCTAAAATTTGTAGAAATACCTAAAATACGATTTGTTATATATTTATGTATTTTAAGACGTAGAGGTTCTACTCGTAATTCTATTTAAAAATATATACGTATACATTTGAGTATTTAATATTCTAAACCATATCGAAAATATTGCATATATGTGTATCTCTAACACCGGATAAAATCAGAATTATTATAATGTGTTACATAACACAACAAAAACGATTGGTCAATTAAATAAATTTAAGAATCCATATCCAACAGATATGCATATGGTCTTGCTACGCCGCAAACTATAAGCTCCGCAATGCAAAAAAACAGAAATATGCGCATATCTTAACACGACCGGTAGCTGCTGCCTACCTGTGGAGAGTTGAGACAGCCTTTTCTTGTTGTTAGCCTTTGAAACCCCTCCGAGAGAAGTCAGTACGCAGACCAAGGTGGCGGCGGTGTGACAGTCTCGCTTATTCGCGAGTAAAACGACTGTTTGAGGGCGTGAAACAACGGAAAGGGCTCCGCACACTATGATAACGAAAAAGCAAACGCACAACAGTACGACCGATACAATTTTGTTTTAACCGCAAAGCCGTGTTGTGAAAAAGTTCAGTTTAGGCATGAACAAGTTGGAGTTTGAAGTCTGATTACTTAATTCGCGATATATATTTTACCCACTACTGTGATATTATTAGTGCTGTTTTGGATATTCACTATTAGCGGCAATGGTAAGTTTATTTTAAGAATGAAACAAAAAATTAGATAGGTACCTACTTATGATTCTATAATCATACACTTCTGAAAAATATGTTTATTTTGACTGGTGTTTCATTTACAAACTTTCATTGAATAAATCGACGTCTTTCTATTCAATTAAGTACCTACCTACAACTAATTATTAAGAACTTTTCTCATGGTTTAAGGAATTTTACGAGCATTATTTACTTAAAAGGAATGTATTTTTGTGTCTGTCGACCGTGTTGCAATCACCAAAAGGTTATATAACATTCAACAGTGTCAAACATCTTTAAATTTTAACCTTTTGTTTATTTCTTAGTAGAGTTATGTATCTCTTGTTTTTAGCTTTAACTGTTATTTTAATAATATACGACTAATAAATTTCTAAATCCGTAAGTATACAATTATTCATTTGTTTATGTATTTATTTAATTAATTTTCTATATGAACATCTAACATCTCTGCTTCCGCATGAAGAGACTACGATGATGCGTCAGACGACAAACAGTTGTTATTTCCAAGGAATACTTGACATTCTACTGCCCATATTAAAAAATATCATGGTTATTGCACTTTTATATGTTTTGAACATAAATTTGTTGGCCTCTGTTTGTAGGTACAGTATTTTGTGGTTACAGTTAGAGTGTCAGCGATTAAAAGTTGTTGACTTTAAATTCGGCATATATTAGTTAAGTTAAACGTAAGTATATCCTCTCCGGCAAGCACGAAATAATAATTCTTCTGTTCTATACCCACACGACGCGATACCCGTTGTTGTTATAAAAGTGAATTTTCCAAGGCCGTTTCTATATATACACCGATAATTACTGACCGCATGTTGACCACCTCACATCTGTTTATTTTTTTCAGAAAACAATACGAAAGATCAGCTCATCGATAGCCTCCGGCACCGCCTCAATGCCACCACAGATCTTGCTCATCGCATTATTGGTAAGAATCATTTAACACCTGCAGAAATATGAAATTACGTTTTAAAAAAATTGTACCTGGTTCGTAAATAATAAGTTTCACAAGATAGCTGTAAACTCGATATAATGGTTCGGGTTTAAGTGAAATATACACTTATTTGCAAAACATATGTTACTGGGTTCGTTAACTAAAAAATATCCCAACACACACGCATTATACGGTTCTTTGAAGTCAAGGTAGTCGAGACAAACTACGTCATTCTGTATAATGTATCCCGAACAAGGCCGTCTCCACGAACACGTCAGCCGTAGCTCTTAAAGATTAATTTGTTCATCATTTATTTACTCTTTTATGCTCCACTCCACGTCTCGGCCTTCCCAACCTTCATAAATTTCATTGCATACATAATAAGTAATTACTTACTTAAGAAAGATGAAACTGGAATTCCTGTAGCCTGAAGGCGGAAAAACGATTTTTTATAAATTCAGTTTTGCACACTAGAAGTGGCTTTCACAAGTAAATTGTTTAAATTAGTAGGAGTTGTGGGAAACATCGAATCTGCGGACGAGTGCCCCGACTAGAAATGAACTGCACCCACAATATCTAGTAAATAGCTAAGATCATCCGTTAGTAGAACCACCAGACATATACCGGTTTCGAACATTTTCGTTCTCATCGGTATGATATACAGAGTGATTCACACTTTTTTTCGAAAGTTTCGGTTATACAAAAAAACGGTCGTAAATGTTCTTGAGCAAATATAACAATCAATAATTATTACCGTTCTTTTTATTATACAAACTGTCTTAACAGTTTTTTCATGTTATTATATATTTATTAACGATGCTTTGTCGTTCTTTGTAAAATTTGCTGATCTTTTTTTTCTTATTAGCAGAATCAGCATAATCCATCTCGAAAAGTACACAAGAAATATTTTTTGATAGATGTGAACACAAAATATAAAAAAGAGATTTGATTTTTAACATTTTGACAGCATTTTAATGACGAAATTAGTCGCAGAAGAAAAATCCCTAAAATGTTCAGCTTAAGGAATCCACTTCCACTTCTATTCAATGCAAAGTAAAACTATTTGGTTGGTATTGAGGTCTATCTAAGGTTTTGTTAAACTGAGTTTAACACAAAATTGGTGTAATAACCCATTAGTGTGTTACATCTTTAACTGTCACTGCTTAAATTGCTTAGGCCAAACTGTCAGAGAGCGACCTGCCATTTCACAGATACTATGGGAGTAGAAGTAAAAATTTAATAATAAATTTATAAAGTCTTTAATCCTAATCTTAACCTTAAAATTAATTCAAATATTTTTAATCTTATTTCTAATTTCTTAACTCGTTTATAAAAATTAAGATTTTTTAGGTCCGGTCATAAAAACCTCTTAGAATTAATAGTAGTAGGATATGATTCTTATAAACAAAACATTCAAATCTATATACAGGGTGATTCAGAACTTATACAAAAAATAGTTTTAGATATACAGGGCTCTTATAAATGCAATTTTGTAAAGAAAACATCAAAAGGGCAGTTGTCTTGCTTCACCATAATACAAATGCTTCGCCATAATACAAAATGTTGTCTTGCTTTACCATAAATTAAAACGATATCCATATATACGCAAGCCAATTTTGACACTAACTACTAAGAAACTATTGTAAACACCACAGAAAACAGGTAAACACTAACACAACGACGATTGTAAAATCGGATTTCAGTATTCGGTGTCGATGAGGTCAAGTGGCTCTCCACACTTATTGCGATTGACACTAGAGACTATAGTTGTCCAGCTATGTAATGGTTGAATGTACTACAACTTCAATATTTTTTTTCTCGGAAACTATAAGGATTTTACAAATGTTTTTTTTAATATTGACTCCATTTCTCATGCCGCATCTAAATTTTTTTGGACAAGTTGTGAATCACCTTTTATATCTAATTTCATACGACAAAGACTAAGACTAAATTATGGCTAAAACTTTTTTTATAAACTCACCATTGTATGTATATCTTACATAAACTCAAATCATTCATCGGTTCATATTCATGGCTATGGCTTACTGATGACAACGAAACCAGTATATGTCTGGTGGTTTTACTGACCTCAGCTATTTGCTAGATATTGCGGGTCTAACAATGCTTGTCAATGCATTAGTAAACAAAATAGTTTTTCTCACAATATCGCCTTAAACTTTGTTTCGCCTAGATCATAATTTCTGTAAGAGAGCAGGACGCTCTCTGTCAGTTTGGCCGCATATTTAAGGAATAAGCACTGAGCAGCATAGACCATTATAAAATGTAGTACACTTATGTGAAGCAATTCAAAATTACTGAAATGTGAGTTTTTTTGTGTTATTTATCTACCTTCCAAAATAAATAAAAAAAACTGTCACATTTGACTTTCTGTCATTGTGATTACAGTTTTTCGGACGAAAACAGAACATTTTCGAAACGTTTACTTGTTTGTAGTATAGGGTGTATACCTAACTAATTGTGAACATTTTCTAACTTATAAAATTAACCCCTTGACTGATTCTTTTCGCTCAAGGGATTATACAGGGTGTTTCATAATGATGTGCAAATATTTTAATGTGTTTAAAAAGTAATTTTAAGGGGGGTACTTCCAATACACTTTTTCGATTCGAGCCAACCCTGAGAAAATAATCAACTCTCAAAATGGCCGAAAAAATTAGCTTTCATTTTTTTAATTAAAGTTTTAGTTCATAGTTGCTTAGATTTTTTTATAGGAAAAACAATTAGGTAAAAATCGTGTCAAAAATGACGATAGTTTTTGGTAACTGTTATATTAATCGGCAAGGAAAAATAATTTATTTTTTTGCTCGTAAACCATTAGGTATACGAAAAAATGGGACGAGTAAAAAAAGTTTCTAAATGAAATGTAGTATTATATGCTATTTCTCTTGTTGAAATTGGCTAACGTAGAAAAAAGTTGTGAGAGAAATAAAACCAAGGTGTGCTAATTTCTTTCATTCAAAAGCATAAACCAGAAAAAAAAGATTACCAAAGAATACCATTCAACTAGTTGTTAACGTGTACCAAAATTCAAATTTCTAAGTTTAACCGTTTTCGTGAAAAAAATTAAAGCTAATTTTTTCGGCCATTTTGAGATTTGAATTGATTATTATTATTATTATTATGAAACACCCTGTATATCTGTAAAATTTCTTTTCCTTTACAACACGACAAAAACAGCCAATTAAATAAAAAAATGCCAGAAATAAATAATTACAGACAATTTTTTCAGTGTAAATTTTATATATCTGCTTTAATTTTTGAAATTAATTTTTTCATATTCATTAAAATGACAAAATAGTTCTTCCTATTGCATGATAGTGGGGATTCTATTTTGTAACATTTTGTGTAATTCGCGATATTATTTCAGGTACTAATGCCATCTATTGCCAAAACTGCAAACATACCTTCTAGTACGGGTAAGTGTGAACAATTATAATTATTTCTAGTAATAAAAAATTGAAATATTTCATTATTAATAGATATTAGGTACTTACATTGTTAATGAAGTATTGTGGCAAGTTTAAAAAGAAATAAATACTTAAATAGGCATATCAGAGATAAAGGACTTTCACTATTTAGGTTAGCATCTTCGGGAGATTCTAACTAAAAATTCAAAATGATTTTCTTTTATTTTAATATCGATAAATGCATGTTTTTAAATTAATATAGTTATTTCAAAATTAGTTTGCGACATGCGCAAATAACGAAACAATGTTCGAATATATCAAAACGTAATTTTTTTGGAATAATTGTTTTATTTTCGATTAATTTTTGCCACCTACCTAAAATTGAATATACCTACAATATGATAACAATAAGAACTTTATCAAAAACAAAACAGATTTAAATGAAATTAGCCTTTAACGCAAAATTAATTAAAGTTAATTGACTTTAAAATAAAATACTTAGTTAATGAGAACCGATAGATCAATCTTTGATGAGAAAAACAAATATGTGAAAAAAACATACCCAGATCATGTTCGTAAAAACAAATTAATAGTAATTTTCTTGACCCAAGTGAGGAAATACATACAGATTGTTCAGATTGTAATTGGAACATTCTTGTCAAATTTTAGTGTGTCATATTAAACTACAATTATACAGGGTGTCCAAAATAACATGTACAACGGAACACCTCAGATTCGTGGACTCAAAATAGGAAGATGGCCTCAAATTTCGTCAAAATGTTTTGAATTTTGTAAATAACTCGAATACGTTTTATTTTTTGAGTGTGGACATTTGCTTTCAATCTACACTTTTTGGTGTTATACACAATGTTTTTGAAAACTTTCAACTCCTACAAAATTGATGGTATTTGATCTCGCACGAATCTGTGGTCTTCCGTTGTACCCGTTATTCTGGGACACCCTGTACTTATATTTTTCTGTGATTAATTTACGTTTATTTGTTCGCCACGTTCAGGCTTTTCTATTCTATTAATTCAAATTCTGTTGAAAAACTGTGTAACTGTGCATGTATTTCGAGATCTGGTCTACACTTTTAAACCATAATTAGATTCTCAATTTGCAAATGTAACTTTCCTGGGTGTGTGTGTAGTCAAACAAAAAGTGAAAACTTAGACTGTAAGCTGACTGTATACTCCCGAGTGTACGAAGTGAACAGTGCGTTATTTACTTTGGAGAATATCGATAAAAGTATCTTGTCTTGACCCAAATTTTACTTTCATTTCATATAGCGTAACTACCCAGTTACATAGCACAAGATAAGTGGGAACCTTCTATTTCATTATACTTGTCAAGGAATATAATAGTAAGTTATTAAATATTGCATACTGAAAACTGAAAGTGAATTATTATAAATAAAGCTATATTATTCGTGCTTAGATATGTCTAGATGGAAATTAAATTGAGTCCTAAAAATAGTTAAAGTTAGCAAGATGAATATTAAATATTAATAATACATAAAAACGAGAAGTACTATTATTCCTTCCACTAAATGTAATAATTGTAAACAAATATCTTTCATAAATTGCAAGCCATGTTTTATGTAATTAATATAATGCATATAAAAGGTGTACCTCGATAAGTGAAACGATTCTGGCAAGAGACAAAACAGTGTTGTGATATAATCTAATATTGTGATATCTTCATTTCTGCTTGTTCTAACACAAGACGTGCTATAATCTGTAAAATCTAGCAAGTCTTGGTTTAGAAATATCTAACTTTTTTCACTAGTAAAGAGCCCTGTAGGAGACATGATTAAATGTTATTAAAAAAGATTCTCAGAACGAAAAAATTAATGAGTATGCAAAAAATTACAATGTTCTAGGCCTATATCAATTTTAATGAGAAAAAATCAGAGATTTTGCTTAATTTTGAAGATATGTAACAAATGTAAAAAAATTTCAAAGAAAATTATCAAATAAAGTGTAGCAATGTTCCTTGACACCGAAAACTGTAGAACTCAGGGCTTTTAACTGATGATATTGCTTAATACCCAATACAATAACGCAAGTGTGCAAGAGTTAATAATAAAATATATAGGGTGTCCCAGAATAACGTACCACATATTCGGAAGACCACATATTCGTGGCCTCAAAATACGCAGATTTATTACCTATATTCGAAATCGCTTCGTTTTGCCACTAAATGGCCTCAAAGTTCGTGAACATTTTTTGAATTTTGTAAATAACTCGAATATGTATTAATCGATTTTGATTATTTTTGGGGTGTGGACTTTTCCTTTCAATCTACAAATTTTAGTGTTATACAAAGTATTTTTTAAAACTCACAACTCTTACAAAGTAGATGTATGGTGACAATAATATCCGTTCATAACTTTTTCCTGTTTCGGGCAATAATGACAACTACCTTATGTTTGATAGGAAGTTTTTGGCCCTCCTATAGAATTTTGATTAAATATTTTTTAAATGTCTACATGATCTTGCCACCCATATTACAATACTTAACAAAGTGCTAGAAGCCACTGATTTTGTAGGTTATTTCAGTTTGATTTTTAAGTCATTGTACCTGTCAATTCTTAATGAATGTTTACTACGATAAAATATACGACATGTTACTTAATTTTTCGATATGGATATTGGATACACACATATGACGAATTAGAGCTATGTATTTGCAACGTGCCTAATTTTATTGAAATAATTCGTAAAAATAATCAAACTCAATAAATAATGCGGGAGATAAAGGTAACAAAGTTGATGTTATTAAATTTAGTACAACTTATTATAAAAACTGTTCAAAATGACCACCGTTGTTTCTACTTTAAAGGTTAATTTGGCGAAGAAAGTTAAAGGACACCTTTTGCAGTTCTTAAGGGCTGTTTTTTTTTAATATTTATGATATTTTGGATATGCCTCCACAACTCTTCTTCATTGTTAGAAGCATTGTTGTTTTCAGAGTGTCCCAAAGATAATAGTCGCAAGGTGTTAAGTCTGGAGGAAATCTTTGGTTTAGATACTGCTGGACATTTACAGTGAGTGAAATGTGATGTAGCGCAATCATGCATAAACCACATTGTTAGATCTGAGTAATAACGGCACATCTTCCAATAACTCACGTTTTGCAAAAATTCTAACTAAAATTCCCCGTTTAGTCTATTGGTTAGAATAACAGGGATAATAATAATGCTATCAATGATCTTAAACCAAACATTGATGCGAAATTCATGCTGATTATGTTTCAATTTGACAGCGTATGGATTTTCTTGAGCATACACATCATTGTGAATATTTATTATTCTACTAGTAAAACAGAATTGGCAGGTACAATGATTTAAATATCAAACTGAAATTTGACATTTTCATTTGAAAACGTAATTTTTCTTGAAATTGTGTTTCACGTACAAACACAAGCCCACTTGAAAAAACAATCCTGAAAATGCAGAAATGCAGAAATTTATCTATCGTTGTAATATTTACGTGTTGGTGTTTGCCAAAGGTGATCTTAAGACAACAAGAATAAAATATATAGTATGTGAAAGTTATATTATTTAATAGTTTCAGTATGTCAGATATATGTTCTTCAATTAATCATATTTGGATACATCAGTTAAAATTTTTATTTTGGATGTTTAATAAATTTTACCGGTACAATTCAATGCTGGTCAAGGCGCATAGTCCGCAGAGTAGATGTTTCCCGTAATATCAGCAATTAAAAGTCTTGTTTATGAGGCTACATGTCTTTTACATACCTAGATTTTTGGTATCGAAGAACATTGTTTGACTTCATTTAATATGATTTTTTAGGAAAATTTTTTTGAATTTGTTTGACTTCTTAATACGTTTAAAATAAAGTTGAAGTACAAAATCTAATAATAAAATACACATTTTTAAAAGTTCTAGGCCTACTTTGATATTTTGTTTAATATCAGATTGTTTTCTTTTTTAGGATTTTTTTTTAAATTTGAATTAGCTTATCATTTTTAAAATAAAGTTAGGCCTAGTACAATAAAATTTCGTACAGTTACTCAACTTTTCATTTCATTTTCTCAACCTATATTTTGTCATATACAGAAAGGTAGTAGTGGGAAAAGTCTGAAATTATATAAAAAGTCAAAGTAGGCGTCAGATATTGAAATCCATAATCCATTCATAAGTACTCAGTTTTCTTTCTGAAAAACTTGTCTTATTAACATTTTGCCATATTTCGTACAGAAAAGTCACTTTACTAATGAAAGAAAACATAGCAAACTTTTTCCCCACTACAAGCAGAGCTGTATACCATATTTTATTTCCCTCACAAAAATTGTTTCACCTGTAAAAGGACGCACTGTATATAAGCAGAAAAACAGTAAATGGCAGGAGAAAAACTACATTACATACAAAATTTTGAACTAACTTATTTTGTTCGTGTTCACATTAAACACTTTCCTTTGTTTAAAGTAGAATTTATTTAATTTTAGGTAAATCAAAAACACACATTTTTGTTGTGGAGTATGGAATTTTAATTAAGACAAAGAAGTAAATAAGCATACTCAAATTATAGGATATGACTAACTCCGCCTAATCATATGGGTCCGCATATGATGCCATAAGATCCGGAATACCAGATTATGGGTACCTGTTGAAACAATAGTTCTTTATTTGATTAAATATTTTTGTTAAGACGTACAAAATTTCTAAAAAATAACGATATTTCATCAACTCTCTTTTAAAAATCGTTACTGATATTTTGGTAATAATTAATTATATACAGGATGTTCTGAAAATGAATGTTAAATATTTACCTTGGTATAAATTTTTGCTTCTGTAAAAAGTTATGGGTCTAAAATATATTTTTTTTATTTCACTTTTTGAAGTTACATAAGATCAAATTGATTTATTTTCATCCACAGAAACTCATCATATTTGACTCTCTACTGAAGCAGGAGATCCAAATCACTTTAAAAAAAATATATCTTAAGTTTAATAAAGTGCATGCAAAAACGATGTTTTAATAATTTCAAAATAAGTTATGAGATTCAAATGAAACTCGTTGAAAGTGTTTAAATAATCAATTGCAACAATTTCATGGAAGAATAGTTTTATTCTCTTGTACAGTGGCGGAGATACAGAAGGCATTTTTCTATCAAAAAAAATGCTTATTGTATCGCTTTCAAATAATACATTTCTTAAAAAACTTCTGAAAAAATTTTGTTGTTCCTTAACATAATGGCCTAAATTTTTCAAACATAATCAAATGCCATATTGTGTGGATGCTGCATATCGTAAGCATACCATCGCTTACGAATCATATATTAAAGATCTGTATGAACAATCAAACGCCTGGGTTCACGACAAATGCTTGTAAAACATAATATCTAATAAACAATATTTTTTACTGATATGTTTTCCTTCCCCTAAAACAAATTTTTTCGCCGCCCACGTAAAAATGTTCCTACTTGATTCTGATTAATTCTTTCAATGAAATTACTTTCTCATTGACTGAATTACTGTTAAAAATAAGCGTTTCAAGAGAAGAAACGATTCATTGAGTTTTAAATTTTCATGAGTAATGCAAAATACAATGGACGCTAAAGAATAATTGTCACTATTGTCAGGTTCCCCGGAAGTGGCATCGGACGTGCAAGTCGACTGCAACAGCGATGAGATCGTAGTCAGCATAAACACAAGATCCGGAAGGTTCAACGGAATGATTTACCCCAGGGGATTGTCCAAGAACAGTAGCTGCATGGGAGAGTGGGTGCAGAGAAAAGCCCCGATCGAGTACACCCTACCCCTTAGGGGATGCAACACAATGAGCACGGAGTTGGTGAGTAAATATATGAGTGGATATGAGTGTGATGTGGGTCATCGGTACTTTAGAAAAATTATACCACCGTGAAATGAGGCTACTTTGTAGTAATTTATGACGGTTAATCGAGATACATCGTTAAATATTATTCAGTATAAGCTCAAAACTCTTAAAAATAAGAATCTTTGTAACAAAAATGTCTCCACGAAAATTTCGGCGAATCACGGTAATATGACAAAGTGATATCAGTGTTTCAAAATCAGTTATAGATTAAGTATACAATAGTAGCATTGTCGAGAAAGCCTTAAAAATATTTATCATTTATTTATGAAATGTAAAAGGACATTTTGTTATTTTGTATACAGGTTCGGAAAGTCCCCATGGTTTATCGGCCGTTACGTTAGAGCGATAAAGTAAGTCATAGAAATCCGTGCGATAGACAAGGATGGTTACATTGAAGACGTTTCCTAATCTGAACACTTCTAACCCGAAACGGGCGGTGATTATTCAGATTATGAAACGTCTTCACTATAGTGCTATAGCCATCCTTGTCTATCGCAAGGATTTCTTTACTTTACTTTGTCGCTCTCATGTAAAGGCAGATGGACCATATGGATTTTCCAACCCTGTATACAAATAACTGAAAATATGATATTTCTGGGAAATTAAAAAAAAATACAATTCTGAATTTGGTACGAACCACGTAGATTAATTAAAGATTTTAGTTTATTTATTGGAACATATTTTTTGTGCTACATTTTGTTCTACTTTTGAAAATCACGCCTAAAAAAAAATGGGATAAATATTTATGTACCTATAATAATACCTAGAAAATAATACCAAGAGATTATAGGACAATTTACTTATTTAAAAATAATAATAATGATGATCTACCACATTGATACAATGAAAATTTTTTTGGAACTGCTGATTCCCCTGATAGTTTTGCCTCTGTTTACAAGTGTTGCACTTATCTTCGTTCCATTAAAGGAGGATTAATACATATCAAGACTAGTGCTGGCAACTGAAACCGGTTTTTTGGATAGTCGGTTATCCGGTTTCGGATAATTCGGATTTTTATGAAATCCGAAAACCGGTTATTCGGTTATTTGATTCTTCAGATATCCGAAAACCGGTTATTCGGTTATTCGAATCTTCAAATATCCGATTATTCAAATAATCCATTATTCGATGATCTACTTCCTTTTTTTTTAGACAATTTCTCCGGGTCGGCAACTATTCGACTAACCGGTTTTATCTGAAATCGGTTTTTACGGAACCCCGGTTTCACTTTTTTCCGCTTTTTGCCAGCACTAATCAAGACGTACCTAATCTTCTACTTAAAAACTGCAAAATCCTATATCTGCATTTTTAAATGCACAAATCATTAAATTTCGATAACTATTAACCTGTATTAGTTAGGAATTAAATATGCATAGGTATTTAAAAAAATAGTAGTGTATCACATTTTGAAAAGTATTTTTATTGTTAAAATGGTACAAAAATGTTAAATACGAAAAAAATATATTAAAATTTTATGAACAAACCATTATTTACTTTAAAGATATTAAAGAAATTCTTCAAAATCCCCACCGTTATTATTAATGCACAAGATACATCTTTTTGAAAAAGAATTTGAGGCTTTTCTCACAGAACGCGTATCAATATTGTCAAAAGTTTCCTGAACGAATATAACACTCAATAATATTACGCTTTTTCTCCTTTGAAAAATTCATTGTCTTTGGCAATTGAAACGACTTTTAAGAGAGAAAAGTAACTCAAATAATGCTACAGTAACTAAAAGCGTCGTCAGTAAACATTTCGATTGTTTTCACAGCCATCTACGTCAGCGAGCAACTGAAAAGTTAAACACAGCTGCAGTTTTCCTATTTTAAAATAACAATACCGAATATTATATCTTTGGAAAGCATAAAAAAGAAATTTTTTCTAGCTCATAGCTAACTATGGTTTATTTTAAAAAAACTTGAAGTTTATGTTATAACTTGAAAACGAAAGTGTACACGAACAATTTGATCACTCTATCTTAACACTGCAAAAACCTAAATTTTTGTAATTTAAAGCTTTTTTGTAAAATAAGCCATGACTGCACATCTTTCCTCATTTAAGCTTTTTTGTATCTTTGCTACTTTGCCAAACCCCTACACTAAACATCGCAAAAAACTCACCCTGTATAATAAATTTATAAACTAAAATAAAGAAAATCAATAATTTTTTTAAAATTTGCACAGTGGTCTGACAATTTTAAAATATTACCTTCACAAAAAAACCTACATTTCTCTCTAAATCTTTTTTGTCTTTCATTAAAATAAATGTTGCATGTCAATTTGGAAATCGACCTACGTAAAGTTTCTTGGCCTAACCTCGATTGCAATTTGCAACGCCATACCCACACAGAATGCATATACGCAGCCTGCTCTCTGAATTTTGCTTAAAATGTGCTAACGTAAATTTATATAAATTAGTAATTTTTCTTTTTAGTTCAAGATTTTATCTCAGACTTATTTACTTTTACAAAAATCATTCCTAGTTAACCCAAATTTATTAAATACGTTCATCTATAGGTCAGTCTGGTTTCAAAACCTTGTTAAAAATGTGAAAACATTCCTCAAATTACATAACGGTGATGCGAGATGACACTTGAATGCTTAGATGATCTGTTACGTATGTTTTTAGCTATTCAAGTACATACTTATTCCGGTTTGTTTTAATATTCGGCATATTATACAAAAGAAAGTATATACGAGTATCATATTGCAGATGAAGATGTGACCAACTACGCGGACCTCTTTCATGTATTTACTCTCTCAGCTCTCAGCAGAAATTTTATGTAACTCCTAATATTAATGGATTGTGTATGGTTTCTCTTTTTGTTACGTATTATCTATATATTAATGCCGAGTTAATAATCGCTAAACCTCTATGTTTGTCTCCAGATCAACTTTCACTTCTTTTCGGTTCTCGCCATCTTATTAAAATTATATACTGTCAAGGACCCTGTGACATCCGGTGTTTTCAACACATTTGATTCTAGGTATTTTGATCTCTAAAAAAACACGAAAGGAAACTCGTTTTCAAAGTCAACCTTTGGCCTTTTGAGACATACACTTCAAAAAAGTATTTTTGAAATTGGTATTTTAATTTGTATAAAATATTTGTTTTACTTTGCTATTTACTTCCTACCTTACCTTTGACAATGAGAGACTACCAAAAAAAACTGAAATTGATCATTATATCATAACGTTCATTCAGTAATATAGTATAATTCATTTATCGTAATAACTTTCTACAAAAAGTATATTAACAACTTTATCAACATTAAATGCACGAAGCAGAAAAATTAAAAAAGCACAAAAATGTCCAATTTTTTTTTAGTGATTTTTGAAAGGTCGTGAATAATGGTCGTATCTAGAAAAAAAATGGCATTTTGAATCATGAGATGAAAAAAAATTTTTTTGCGTTATTTCTTTCACAATTTCGCTGTAAATACTCATCAACTATCGAAAAGACATCAATTTTGAAAAAAAAAATCAATTTTGAAAAATAAACAATTTAAAAAAAAAATTTTATTTCGCAATCATTTTTACAATTTTAAATATTTCATTTTTGAAATAAAAAAAATTATTTAAAAAAATTTTATTTTTTTCAAAATAATTTTTTTTTCGATATCTGATATTTAATACGAAATTGTAAGAAATATAACGCACAAAAACATTTGTTTCATCTTTATCATAAATTGAAGTTAGGAGCAATAAACCTGCTACTAATATTTCAAATGTTGAGAAAAAAATTTTGTTTTAAATAAAAAGAATTATTTGAAAAATTTTATTTTTTTTTTTCGGTATTTGATGAATATTTAATACGAGATTGTAAAAAAAAATAACGCACAAAAAAATTTGTTTCACCTTTCATTAATTGAAGTTAGGAGCTCCTTTAATTTTTTATAAAACTGACCATTCAGGAAAGAAAAACGGTTCCACCAATCGATTTCAAAATTTATAGGCGTCATGGGCAAGTATTGTGCTAAAAAAATCCTACAAATATTGGTACTTTTCGCAATATTTGCAAAGTAGTCGTTGATTTTCCAAAACAGCAGAAAAAGTTTTTTTTTGCATTTTTTCAAATTAATGCCGAGTATATATTTTTTTTCTCAGTAGCCAATACTTTCAATAATAAATAATCATAAATTGTAAAATTGTTTGCCTTGCATTTTTCTTTTGATCATACCCATGCTCAAAAAATATTTCCATTTCAAGATTTGAAAACTAGAATTTTTTTCTCGATACGCCATTATTCACGAATTTACAGTCTTTCAAATATCACTAAAAAATTTGGAAATTTTTCTGCTTCTTTAATTTTTTTGCTGACTTTAGATGATAAAAACTTAATTTGTCGATGTCATGTTAAAAACCTCTGACATTAAGAATTTTAAGTTACTCAAATAAACTTTTTTAATTATTTGTTATTTTGAACACGTAAATAATTGTTTCTAACGGTATTTACATCATGTAAATTTATACGCTTGATGAAAGTTACTATTTTTAATATATGACTCATCATATCCAACCAAAGGTATTACAGTCTCTAACAAGTAAATTCTGTGAATATAAAACTTAGTTTAATGATTTTGTAATTTCCCTTCTATTGTCTATAGATTCGTGTCTTCGTTCATAAGACATTGTGTTTTTCTTCCATTGTTAGTTTTCGCAAGAAAATAATTTTGGAAATATAAATTCTCTGAGCACCAACAAATATACCTGGAGAAAAGCCAACCATTCAAAACAGTGGCAATCTAAATTACTAAAAATACTGTTTAATTTAGATTACAAGATTATCACTCTAGAGAATCGTAATGATTAAATGCATAAATAAATATTTGACTTATACACAAACAGAAGACGTGAACAAAATACAAGAACCTCATTTATATTTCATGAGGTATGTAGACTTATCCTTACAAGTAAGTTGCCTTGACTTGTTTCTTCGTAAGGATCATGAACTAACTATTCGTACAAGACCCAGAGACCGGTTTTGCAACATCAAACCGACTCTTATCGCGGAGCTAGCCACAGTCTTCCTAAACATTAGTAAAATATGTTCTTTGTTAAAATAAATCCACCAGTTTTGTACAGTTACGTTTGTGTGGCTAAATCTATGCAAATTACGATTTATTTAATGATGAACCAGACGTGTTAAGTAAAAAAATACAGCTACATCTTCAAATAAAAATACCGAGTAGGAAAAATAGTGGGCGATTAAAGATTTTGTTTGCGCTATTCAATTTCTCAACGTCCAAGGGTTCTGCTTGGTATTAAATCTTGCCTACGTGTAACCCACGCATGTTATGGAGAATAAATTATACCAGCACTGTAAAGGAAACGTGTTTTTGTTACTGTAAAATTCGCTAAAATAGCAGGAGCCCCATAAGGAGGACTTTCGCCTTACCTACGTGACTTAAAAATAATATGCTTTCAGCCAGCTGAAGGTCGTTCGAGGTAAATTACAAAAGTCGCGGTGTTCTATGTGTAATTTTAACATGGTAGCGGTATAAATTTAATATAGGATGTGAGTTTATTGACTACTGTTGTCACCAAAACCAAATAGGAGGTTCAAATGAAATATCTTTAGTATTCGAAACATTAGCGATTTTTTAGCTTAAGCAAATTGTCTCTAATAACCAAAATCATTTATCTACATCAAAAAAATCATACGTTCCACCATTAAAATAATGACAGCGTAACTATAAGAACAATGTGTTAGTCATATTCACATGATGAAAGACGATTCGAATGAACAACTTACCTTGAAGGTGAGGTTGTGGATGACATCATCAAGGTGTTTTTAAATAATACATTAATAAGTGGAATTCATGACCATTTCAATTGTTTGTGTTTTTTTATAACTTCCCCTTACATATCTTTTTATTGCGAGACGTGACATCACTTATACCGAATGATTTAAAAAGAGGGAAGATTATTTTGGTTTGATTGTAACGTTTTTAACAAAATATTACTGAGAAATTTGTGAGAACCAGTTTAGCTATGTGAAGTAAGTTCTTCGTCGTAAAGTTCCTAGACCTCTGGTACCTCCACTAATACCAATTACTGTTTTATTAGGAGTTTATTGTTCACTTATAACTAATAGTCCAGGCGATAGAGCATTCGAGGCGTTTGTATTTGAAGTCATCTGTTTTGTTGTACGGAAAAATCCCAAATATTATGTAGTATACGAATCCGAGTTTGCCTATTCCAAAAAAAAACCATTGCTAAATTCAGGGGAATAACAAACATATAAAAAGAACGAAAAATGACCCGTTTCGCGACATATTTTTCCCTGTACATTGAAAGTAAGCTCTAAATTAAAAAAGTCATTCTTGATTTGTTGTTTATTTGACGATTTTCTGTAAAGTTACAGCAACTGCGGATCAAAAGTTGAATTTTGCCTTAACAATGGGCGAAAAATAGTAGAAAATTATGACAAGTATCTCTAAAAAATTGTGTTTCTAAACCTTAATTAAACCTACGGTACACGATAAACTTTTTGAAATTTCTTAATTAACAATCCTGTCAATCGAAACCACGCTATAGACCGTTGCTAAATTTTTAGGGTAGAATTGACATATGTTTTACTATTTGTTCACAAAGTTTCATCAATATTTATAAATATTTACTTATCTTCAAAAATTGCTCCAAATATACATATGATTTTCTACTATTTTTCGCCCATTGTTAATACAAAATTCAACTTTTTTTATTCGAAGTTGTTGTAATTTTATAGAAAATCGTCAAATAAACAAAAAATAAATAATGACTTTTTTTATTTAGGTCTTACTTTCAATATTACAAGGGAAAAATAGGTACCTATGTCGAAAAACGTGTCATTTTTCGTTCTTTTTATATGTTTGTTGTTCCCCTGAATTTAGCAATGGTTTTTTAGAATAGGCAAACTGGGAAAACTACATAATATTTGGGACTTTTCTGTACAACAAAATAGATGACTTCAAACTTGTGTTTGTACGCCAAAGCCTACTTTTACTGCTCCATCGCCTGGACTATAAACACAATCTTATTATTAATCTATAAAATACATGGTGCGGATAAAGATATACTTTAGTATATTTTCTAAAGCTTTTAAAATATGAAAAATTAAAATTGAATTAATATATAATCCTTTTTTAGGACGATGGAGGAATTGAGTACTTTAATACAATTGTCGTTCAACCCCATCTGAAGCTAGTAACGAATCAAGGGAGGGGTTTTCATATTCGATGCCGATATAATACAAGAAACAATTCAGTCAGTAACGACACCCTAAAAATAGAGTAAGTATACAAAATAATGATCAACATTTAATTACTTATACTATACAGGGAAAAATGCAAATACTAACCCTGCAAAATATTTAAAATAATCTTCGTTTAAGCCTTTTATGTGCCTATATTAAATATTGAGTGCGTGCGTCCGTCGGGTCTTCTTTTTTTTAGGAAAAACGCAATCACCACATTTTTTTCAAAATTTATTAAACGTCTATTTTTCTCTGATTTAATATATTCAGAGTGAGCTATAAAGAAGCTGTAATATTATAGACAAATTTTTTAAATGGAAAGTGATCGTCTTGATCACTAGTAGACAGTAAAAATATTTTATTTGGTATTTCTCTTTTAATAATCACATCAGGTTGTTTTTGAAAAAGTTTTCATAAAATCAGAAACTGATGGAACATCAAAAAAAAACAATAAAAGAATTCTTTATTATGTGCCATGGGTATATTGTTATTGTCTTTTGCTTTGAGGTATGTGATTCCTTAAAATGAAATTTTCGTTATATCCTTTCCAAAAACCAATGTTATGCATTAAAAACTGAATATTTGATTATGTAAAGTCACTAAAATGGCACCATTTTTGGAAGAAACGAATTTGACTTTTATAAAATGAACCAGGCAGCGTCCTTGACTGAAAATGAACCGACTTTGACCTAAATAAAGTTATTTACGTACAATTTTGCTTCCTTAAAAATTGATCAAACGACTTCTTGCATATAGCCAAAACCTAGCAATACTGACTAATTTAATATCCTTAAAAACTAAATTTTATTAAAAAACAATATCCTTTTTTTGCTCAAGAACTAAAGATCCAAGGTCCATAGGAAAAAATCATATTTTTTATTTATAGTACCTCTTTCCAAAACATTTTTGTTGTTATTATTATAGCAATATTGTTTTTATATTTCTTTATATACTAGGCACAGAAATTAAGGGATATTAAAAAAATTTCAAAATTTTGGATGATTTTCAAAGAGCTGCAACTTGGAGAGAAATGGTTGTTGAGAGAATAAAAAAAAGAAAATTGAAGCTCCAAGTGTCTAGTTTTCAGATCTGCAGTTTAAAATTTTTTAGAGTCAGCAGTTTTTGAGTAATCATAAGAAAATCAACGGGAACAAAAATGTAAATTTTTGCTTCTTTAAATAGGCCTACGGACTTAAAAAAATGTTTTTTGGTAAGTTCATCATAAACCTCTTTTAGATAATTTAATTATCTTTAATTTGAGAGGTTCCGGAGCCTTGTGCGATTATTCGTTCCTGAGTTATCGTCGATCAAAGCAAACAAATCACTTTTGACTTTGGCAATCAATTACTCGGGAAATAATGGTCGTACAGAAAATCCAAGCAGGGATTTGAAAACTGCAAAGTATTCTCTACAAGTCGTAATTATGGGTTTTTGATAAAAAAAATTTAATGTTGATTAGAAAAAAGGTAAAAAATTACATAATTAGGGATATTTGAATAACTTGGCATAACTTTGCAAATAATTAATAAACTAAGGATATCTACTGTAACTTTTCAACCTCAAAGTGTCCTAAAGAAAACCTGATAATTTCAAAACGCTGCGATTTTTTTTTCCTAGTGCCCGGAATGTTTAAATTTGTCATTTTGCTGAAAGTCAATGTAATAAGTAATTTTTACCTTTTTATTCATTTTTTTTTAAGTTAAAAATGTTTTTTGGCAATCATCCATATTTCATTCGTCAAAAAACGTTCATTCTAAAAAAAATGAAAAAAAATTTTTTTATCAAAAACCCACAATACTTTGCAGTTTCCAAAACCCTGCTTGCTTGATTGCCAAAGTTAAAAATGATTTGTTTGCTTTGATCCACGATAACTCAGGGACAAATAATCGTACAAGGCTCCGGAATAGCTCAAATTGAGGATAATTAAATTATCTAAAAGAGCTTTATGATGAAATTACCAAAAAAAATTTTTTAAAGTCCATAGGTCTTTTCAAAAAAGCAAAAATTTACAATTTTTTTTTCCGTTGATTTTCTTATGATTACTCAAAAACTGCTGACGCTAAAAAAAAATTAAACTACAGATCTGAAAACTAGACACCTGAAGCTTCAATTTCCTTTCTCTTTGAAAATCACCCAAAATTTTGAAATTTTTTTAATATCCTTTAATTTCTGTGCCTAGTGTATATTTTTTTTTTATTAGCTAGTTTACATTTATAAAAATGGACTACCTATAATGCAACTTTTTTTACATCCGTGTTTCCGACTATTCCATTTAATTTTTAACACCCTATATAATAAACTATTAAAAATTCGTACTCTTATAATATTATTACTACTTATTTATATCAAAGATACTTAGTTTCGCTTTACATTTCCAGATTGAACTTGACTTTAGTTTTTGCACATGGTCAAAAGTTGATAGATTATGTGAGTAGGTATGTCTTTTAAAAACCTGTTTCAATTTTAGTATATTTCCTTACCTTTGTTTAAGTTAAATAAATTCTAAGAGGAGGGTAACAACAGTACGCAAAAGTCGGTAAATACAGATCTAACAGACCACAGATTATATAATGTGGCAAACTATTACAGGAAAACCTAACCACTAATTCTCTTGCGCTAGCCTGTTCCGCATCGTGACGTCAGCGAGCGTTTGCCCGTTCAAACGACTTTTTTTTATTTTTTCCCATATAAGTATTTTTTTTTATTTTTATAAAACTTTGCGGATGTAATTATAAGGCTAGTTTAGAACATTAGAACATTTAAACAAAATTCAAATTTTTTGTGAACAATCTTAAAACATTGTTTTTTTACAGTGTAGCGTCCCCGGAACTGACACCACACACTGCCCTGGCGCCCATGCCGGGCTGCAGCATGAAGATCTTCTCCGGCGACCCCTTGCAGAAGGAGGTGGCGGAGAACGTGAAGATCGGCGACCCGCTGACGCTGGTGGTCACCTTGGACGAGCAGGACACCTACGGCATCCGCGTGACCGATTGCCTGGTTAGGGACGGTCTGGGATGGGGCGAACAGAAACTTATCAACCAGGAAGGCTGCCCTACGGACTCCGACATCATGGGTATGTTCGAGTACTCCCCGAACAAGACCAAGGCGTTGGTGCACTTCCAGGCCCACAAGTTCCCCTACACGGCGTCGGTTTACTATCAGTGCAACGTCAAGCTGTGCCTGAAGGCGGACGGTGGATGCGATTTAATGGTAAGAAACATTTGTCAAGTCAGTCAGTATATTACATACAGGGTAATTCAGAACTTATCCAAAAAAAATTCTGGATGTACAGGGGACTCTTACAAATACAGTTTTGAAAAGAAAAAATCAAAAAGGGCAATTCGAACATTATTGAAAAATACACATCTGCACGGCACTGGAAACTGGTCCACTGTAAAACTTGACCTGGCAAAATGTGATCGTCAAAGCGACAGTGATAAAAACGGGCAAAAACTTGAAAGAATTTCGCAAGGAAAAGAATAAATAGAATTTTATAGCACCTATTTTATATCAGCAAACTCAACTGATTTTGTTCAAATTCATTTGTGGTTTCAAATAATAAAATAATTTGACATACCTGATGTTACAACAACTGTTCAAAATTTTCTCCACCGACGTGTAAACACATTTGGGTCCGTCTTACTCAGTGTCTATGAACTAACACAAATGCTGTCTTGTTTCACCATAACACAAATGCTTCACCATAATAAAAATGTTTTCTTGCTTCACCATAAACTAAAACGATATCCATCAACTTCAAGTTGTTATACACGCAAGCCATTTTTGACACTAACTACTAAAAAACTATTGTAAACATCGGATTTCAGTGTTCTGAATCGCTGAGGCCACGTTGCTCTCCATGCGTATTACGAATGACGCTAGAGACTACAGTTGTCCAGCTATGTAATGGTTGAAAGCACTACAACTTTAATAATTTTTTTCTCGGACTATAAAGATTTTACAAAAAAATTTTTTACATTATTGACTCCATTTCTCATGCCGTATCTATTCCCAAATTTTTTTGGATAAGTTGTGAATCACCCTGTAATGTGAAGAACAAAGAATGTGTTCCTCTTTTTAACGAAACGTCAAAATGAAAATGATTTCCCTGGTGGCACAATCTTGCACAAAACACTTATACAAGACTGCTGTATACCTATTGCTGAAATCTGGGTCAGTTTACTGCAAGATTCATTGTGCAATTGTCTTGATCAAAGCTTTCAATGGATTTGATTCAGGTTACTTGAGCACAAAGGGGTAAATTAAAGCATGTGACTGTGTCTGCAACACGTTGACTTTTACTAATTCACCCCTTTGGACTCAAGTACTTTTGATTAAGTCTGGTGCAAGTATTAAGTTAGATACTTGTAAAAGTATCTTGCATAAGAAACGAGATAAACAGCAATAGACACAAAACAATCTGACACAATTTGGCTATTTCAAGTAAACTTGAAACAACTTGTATTAGAATTGCACACGATTGTGCTACCAGGGTTATAACATCGTCCATAATAATTACCGTTGTAAAATCGTCTGGTATAATCTTTTTCTTTCGTTCAAATGAAGCGATAGCGTCGCTATAAAAATATATGTATGCTGAATTAATTGCATCCAGAAAATCACATCGATGACAATTGGTCTTGAACATGTCCACAAAAAAAAACAAAAAATTGTTTGCACCGTAAATTAGACCATAATATTCTTACGTATTTTATACTATTGAATCTGAACTTGACCTCTATTTTGACCTTACATATCAGGAATTTTTGTATATCGTTAATTTATATGAACATCTTGAAGAGTCCCCAATGCCATTCAACGCCAAATCACTCGACTACAAATAGTAAAACTAGGAATTTCATGAGCCTTTCATAGAAACTCTCTAACCATGAAACCCCCTAATCGCAACTCCCATAAGCCTGGGAATCCGAATAACAGTGCGAAGAGGCTCGATTTTCACGATGGGTTCCAAAGCCTTGGCATGGGAAACTCCAAACCCTATTACGTCCCCTTCAGTTAACCCTTTAGAAATCACTATAATCTCATGAGCCCAATAACCCTATAAGCCTATGAAACCAGGAACACATTGAAGAGGACGAAAAATTTCGAATGATCACGATATTTATGAGAACCAAGACTATTAAAATAATGCTATAATCCCGAATTCACTATAACCTCAAGACCCAAGACTCCCATAGCCATATAACCTTATGAGACTGGGAATGCAGTGAACAGATTTGGATTCCTTCGTTCTGTTCACTGCATTTCCTTATCCATAGGGTTATGGAGATATGGGGTTCTTGGGTTTGTGGTGGCTTTCTAATAAAGAGTTAGGAGACTATAGGGTTGCTTGAGTCTCGGTTTCAAGGTTAGTCAATCATAAATATTGTGATAATTTGAATTGCTTCGCTTTGTTCATCTCAGTTTCATAGAGTTATGGGGTTATTGGACTCATGATGTTATGGTAGCTTCTGGTAAAGTTTTACAATTTGTCGTTGAATGGAATCTATTATTGAGGAACTTTTAAGATATGTACGTATACATAAATTAACGACTTATAAGAAATTCTGACGCGTAGGGTAAAAACAGAGGTCACATTCACATTCAGTAGTCGAAAATATCCTATAAGAATAGCAAAGTCTGCAGACCACTTTTTTCCCTCGAAATAGGGAAAACTTAAACCCGACATCACGTTTGGCTACATTCATATAAACTTTTTCTTATTTTCAGTCAATTTCTAAAACGTATACACTGTGTCCCAGAATGATGGAAAAAATTTATATACATATATATTTTTTTGTTAAAATTTAAAAAAAAATCGCTGAAATAGGTCAATTGGTAAATAGAAATTGTCACTTTTCTACTATATTTTCTATTTTTTTGAGCCATGTTTGACAGACCTATAACATTACCGTTTTTTTTTAATAGGACGCACGCGCTCTATACTTATTTTATAGTATAAATAGATAGCCCTCATAAAGAGTAATCCAGCGATATAAGGTTATACAAGCTTTTTTGTCATAGTTGTCAAAAAAATGGAGAAATTAAATGAAAACAATAATTTAGTACTTACTACTTTTTATTTTATTACAGCAAATGTTCACAGTGGCCCCCATCAACCATTGCACAATGCCCAATTTGGTATTCAAAGTCATATATATCAATAATTACATTTTGAATAACATTTGGTGTTACGTTTCGAATTTCTCTGATCTCTGATACGATTTTTCAATAAAAAAAAAATCTAGTGGGGTTAACTCAGGGGAGCGTGGTGGCGAAAATGTGAAGGGGCACCATCTTGTTGGAATCAGACATCACCAACAGGCATATTGTGCTTATTAAGGTTAGGAAGAATTGATTTCAGGGCTGGAATCAGTTAAAAACACAAATATTCCAAATACTGTCGCCTGTCAAATTGTCCTCAAAGAAATAAGGTTCCAGTATGCAATTTCTTACTATTCCAGCCCAAACATTCACTTTTTCCGGCCGTTGTGTATGTTTTTCTTGCATGCAGTGCGGATTTTCTGGGCTCCAAAACCTAGTATTTTGCCTGTTTACGGTTCCGTTTAAGCAAAAATTTGCTTCATCTGTGAAAATTATGTGATTTTTTAAGCTGGGTTGTTTTTCGAATATATATCTAATTTCCTCGCAAAACTGTAATCTTCTGTCTGTGTCATCTGCCCATAGTTCTTGTAAGACCTTAACTTTGTAAGGATGCCACTTTTAAGACTTCACAGTTCTGCGAACTGAGGACGATAGATCTAATGGATGAGTGACGATTTTCAGTAATGGCGAGCATCACATTTTCGCTTAGCGTTCTTCGCCTTCCTGATCCAGGTAAATCTTTTATACTTACGGTTTCTTCAAACTTTTTGGATGCTTTACTTATTGTAGCTCGACTAATTCTCTGGTCTGGATACTTATGGTGAAATAAGTCACATACATATTTTATCTGCGCATCCAATCATCCAATTAAAATTTCAATGCTCTGTTTTTCGCTTAAACAGGCAACCATTTTTGAAAATAATTTAACAACGAAACTAAAACGATTCACGTTATACCCAAGGTATTCTGGTGAATTTTATGTGTTTATCGATGTTTTGAGATAAAAAAGGTTTAGAGTAAGTAGAAAAAGAATAAGAGTAGGTACATTTTTTAAACAGAAGAGACTAGGATTTTTTTAAATAGTCGTCAGTACAACATAAAAGAAAATTTTTTATCTTTTTTTGATAACTATGACATGGCTCAAAAATAGAAAATATTGTAGAAAAGTGACCATTTCTATTTACTAATTGACCTGTTTCAGCGATTTTTTAAAATCTGAACTGGAAACAAATATGAATTTTTTCCATCATTTATGGACAGTGTATATTATAAAAATAAGAACCATAAATTATTTTTAAATATACGGTTTTTAGAAACTGGTTGGAAATCTCAATTTCTAAAAGTTGTTCCTACGTATCTTCCTACAGTATTTAGGCCTTGGCTGTTTGTTAAGAAATCAAACATTTACTTTGCCAATTTTACCTGGTAGCAGCTAGCATTATTAATCCACAACCTTCGTGTGAATACCGCCTATGTTAATGTCAGTTGTTTTACTGCTTCTATTTATATAGCGATTAAATTGCTGCTTGGGACTCATGTAACGAATTTTTTTAGAAGGAACTTTTCCTTGGTTGGTGACGTCACCGTTAAAGTTTGACCAATCATTTTAGTTACACCCTGTATGCATTGTTGCAATACATTTTACTATGCCTATTCTTTCAATGTGAACAATCAACAATTTCGAAATAAACGTTCCAAATCTACAAAATGCTGCTTTACCCAGCCGTTGCTCAATGCAATTCTCGAAGTTTACCGTGTAATCAGCATTATTTACACGTCAGCGTCAATATTCATGTGAGACACGTCCTCTTCGGTATCTCCCCGGAATACCTAACGACAATAGGCCCAACGTAACAGTCGTAACCGGACAAATAGTACTATTACTCATAACCGTAAATAGAAGTAAGTACACACACAGTGCATATAACCATTTATAACATACGCAAACAAGTAGGCGTTGATGCGCCTGTTCCCGACGCGGGTCGATGTCACGGGACCCTCAAAGAGTGAGGTGGGACCCAGGCAGTGTTGCCACGTCGTGAGGAATTTCCCACGTTGTAGGGAAATTAAAGGCAATACAAAGGAACTAGGAATGTATTATCTTTTACAATTAATTTAGGTACATACTATTGAAAAAAAAAAATTAAAAGGTATGATAAACTATTAACATGTTAGTAAAAATATTTTCGGTCAATACAAGCCTTTTAATATTGTCTCAATAATGGCAGATATACTTTGCTGGACTTGACAATTTTACGTCGAATTTTGTGATAATGGTAGGTTTTCGTTTTAAATAATAAAATTTTGCGCGACCAACAACAACTGTGGAAAATATATACTTATTACATTTTCACGCAACTAATTTCTTTAAACGATCAGTTTCAGACAAAACCAAATAATCTTTTTGTCTTATTTTATTTATCATATTTATGTAAAATTTTTTTCCAACTTCAATAGATTGAAGTTGATCATCAATTAATTAATTACGACTTTTCTATCGGATTCTATCGAGTCTCTCCCAAATAACATTATTATTGATTTTAAGGGATTTATATGAAAATAAAATTGATTTGAACTATTTAAAGAGGATTTTACATCATTGGTTATTCTCTGATTAGCTCTTCGTAATAATATAATTGTGTCATCAGCGTAAAAGTGTATTTTGCAGTGAGTTCAAACTTTTCCAAATTGAGAGGTATACATCGTGAAAAATAAGAGACCTAAAACAGACCCTTGTGGCATTCCGCCACTAACTACTTGATTAGAAAAACATTCGTTATTGAATCCAATATAATGCAGCAATTGCAAGAAGCAGCAGATGATTAATCCTAGTCAAAACCGTTACTAGAATACAGTAAGACGGAAGCAATTAACTTGTTATTATCAGTAACTGTCACAATATCATCTTGTATTTGCAAAACGATAATTTGGATGCAATTCTGTGTGGTTCATTGATAGTATTTTCTTCTTATTTGTTTGTAGGCAATTTTTTTCTAATAAGTTATATGTAAAAAAACATGATTCAAATGGAAAAGCAAAAAGAAATGTTTGTAGCTAGGTCAATGATTATCAAGAAAAAGTTTATCGTTATACAAGAGATTTATTGAATATTGGACTTTTAATCAGAATTAACGAAGCGTAAAAATTAATTTCTGCTTTGTCCAGATAATAAAAATTTAAGTTTTAAGTAAAAGCTATTCTTTGCAACTTTGGGAAATTGTTTGAAATGGCCATTTACAAATTTTTTTTCCATGACATGATTTATTTCTGATCGATCTACACACCACAAACCTTATAGACTACTCAGTTCTTCATAAATTCTCTGGATGAGGGTTGTAAAACTGGTATTATTTATATATAGATCTATCAAAATCCTTTGACCTAGAATTGACATTCGAAATTTCTTAAGATTTTTTAAATTCCTAACAGATATCTAAATATTCTCGACAGGACATAGCTGATACAAAGCGAAACATCGCCTTAATGTTAAAAATGTTGTCACCGCCATTCTTGGTGGTGAAAATTCGAAATATTTGGAATTATTCAGTTTTCGTGGTTGAAAACATACAAAGCTATTGTATTTTCGAAAACGAGAGAGTTGCACTAACCAAATTTAGACAGGACATAGCTAATACAATGCGAAACATCGCCTTAATGTTATAAATCTTGTCACCGTCGTTCTTAGTGGTGAAAATTCGAAATATTTGGAATTATTCAATTTTCATGTCTGAAAATACACATAGGTATTGTATTTCCGAAACCAAGAGAATACCGTATTTATAAAAATCAATTGTACTAGAGACATCAGCAGTTCCGCAGGGATCAATACTGAGGCCTCTGTTATTTACTATACTCATAAACAATATATTAGAAAATATTCAAACAAATGCAGATGACCTAAAATTATTTGCACCTGTTGACTCCAGTCAAGACTGTTATATTTTACAGCACAGAGTTATCAGAAATTAATATATATTATCAAAATAACAAATAGCCATTCAACATGTGTAATTGTAATGTTGTGAGTATTATACAGAAAATTATCTCCATTCAGTATAGTTATAATATAAACAATATTGTATTAATTACATAGATGTACTCAATTTAAAGCAATTAATTTGTAAATCTACGATTTATTATTGTACTAATTTTAATTAAAATTTACCTATATATTTTCCTTGGAATTGGATTTTATCTGTCTAGCAGTTGCACTCGAAATAAATAAACAAATAAATACGCCCATATTGTAGGTATCTTTATGATTCATTGTCATTCAAAATGAACAAAAGGAAACAAATATCCTCGAGGTGAAAATGGAAGAATAAAAAATATGTGTGGTGAAACGGGAAAATCATTTTAGCAATGTGGGAATTCCACTCAAAATGATGGCAACTCAGGACCGCGGTGGGAGCGAGGTTTAACGCCCTACGGCTTGACCTTGGATGTATCGGCGGTGCAGTCACCTATGCATGCATTCGCGTATCCTTCTACGGTGGCGTGATTAGGATACCATCAAAAAATTGCACGCCGATCCACTCAAGCGTTCGCTCAGGTAACGGCAAGACGTCTATGGAATTGTAAAAGCAATCTGTTATCAATCGTCGATTGTTCCATCGGAGATACGTCGCCTACTGCAAAATCTCAAACCATACTTTTGAATCATCACTACAAATTGTCCTTCACTGGTTGTATATAGTGATGGGAGATTTCGAGTGAAAAATCGAGTGGTACTCGATTATTGAGATCACTCGAGATATCTCGAGATGTTTACTCCCACCACTCGAGTGATTATTACCCTACGGTTGCACCCCAAAATGTTAGTGCATACTGCAAATAGTCACTGATTGCGTAACCTTTTTTTAGAATAAAACGAAAAAGTGGTTAGGTTTTGAAGTGTGTGAGCTTTTTTTTTTTAGCTACGCTTATAAGTAATATATTACTAATACAAACATATTTGTGCGCCGCTGGGATGAAAACGACCAATATCTCGTATCTCGAGTGATCACTCGATTATTAGAAGTACTCGATTACCGATAACTCGATTATCAAAATTGGTCGATTATGCCCATCACTAGTTGTATATGTCAAAAAACTTATTTACAAGTGTTGCAAGTGACTTAACCACACTCGGCGAAATTGCGACATAATTTTGCGCAATTGTTTCGCAAAACCAACACCACTTGTAAATTTTTTTAAAAACTGATACGTCAGCAGTTTATTATGTACGTACATATTAAATGATACAATAAATATTTATTCACAAGGACTGTTCAGAAAGTATCAGCAAATTAACATCATAAAAAAAGAGCACCTCCAGCGAAACATTTGAAGAGTTATTTTAGATTGAAGTCTTTGAGAATATAAATAAAAAAACATAAAGTAAATAAGAAGTGAATCTTATTTGTGGAAGGGCGAAATGGGCGGTGACTATTAGACGCGTTCATTATAGCCATCTTTCTCTATCGCACGGATTTCTATGACTTTCTTTATCGCTCTCACGTAACGGCCGATGAACCATGGGGACTTTCCGACCCTGTATAACATTGTCCATGAGTAATTAGGCCTAATTAGTAAAATTACAATATCTACATGCATTTTGGACCATATCAATGTCCGATCTGTCAAAATATATTATAACTAAATCTGTAAATCCTTACGTAATTGAAAAAAGGCAGAAATGCCTGAAATAGGTTTAACAATAATTACTAGATGTCTTATTTTCTTAATAAAAAACCTTCTTTTCGTTTTTTAGAAGTATCTTGCTTATTGTTAGAGATGGACCCAACAAACCCTATATGGCTATGCTCTACAGGGAACGTTCTATCCAAATATGTAAAAATATACAGGGTGTTCCATTTTTAACTTAACAAAGTTTATATCCGCTGCCAATTTGTTTGGACTTCATTTGTTTTTCTACTATTATTTTCTAAGAATTTATAAAAACTCGCGCAACTTTTATATTTCACATTTTTTTATAACTCTTAAAACAAAAAAAGTTAAAGGGGTGTCAAAATATAGTGAATCACCCTATACATACTAAAGAATTTTAGATTTTTATTTTTACATGTAACACAGTAAATCGTTCAGTAATAATTTATTGAAAGATACCACTTATATCAGTAATCAGTGTGTACAAAGTTTTCCAGAAATATAGCAACTACAGATACCTGAGGTAAAAACAATTGCATGTAAGGGCTCAAGAATTAATGAAAAATCATTTCAAACGTAAAATTTATACTCTATAACGTTTAAACGAAACATTTTTGGACTAAGGCAAATCGAATTGTTTTTACGTCAGGAATCTGGGTTGCTGTATGAGCACTGTTTCCTGGAACACCCCGTATATTTATAAACTAGAAGCCAAATGTGAACACATTCTTTGGCGCCGTTCTTCGTGTTCTAGCACGAAGTTACTGTTAATCTCCGAAACCAGGCTAATATCATTTATCACTCGATCAATCTCAGCAAAATCCGAGGTTTTCTTTTATAAATAACCTCTGCTTCACCTACGATGTCAGCCGTTTTCGGAGACTAACTGTAAAATATCCATCAGCAACAATTACAATTTGTCCTGTCTGCAGGAGCCCCTCTGCGGTGGAAACCGAGTGCGGAGGCAAGCCACGGAAGCGGCGTCTGAGCCGGTCGAGGGAACGCCCGCGACCATCGAGGTGTACAGCGGCCTTTACGTCAACGAGGCCAACGACCCCGCCAAAGTTGGACCAGAGGACGACTCCGTCTTCAGCGAGAGGGTATGTACCAGCAGACAATGTGCTTTTTATCTCAGATCTCGATTGCCACACGTTTTTAGGAATCTCATTATTCTCGTTTTGAGATTGGTAAAGCCTCCAGCGAATTCTTGCCGGCTTGTACGTGGTTTCTTGGTACATTTTGGATGTATCTGAAGGTTTTTGAAAGATTGTACGACAATTGTTTGCGTAAATAGACTTTTAGGCAATTATTTACAATCGCGAAAAACTTACAAAATTTTTTCTACTCACCTATTTTTCATGTTGCTGCACGAATCTGTAGTCTAGTTTTAAGAAAAAAAATATTTACCTAAAATTATAACCTCTATAATTTACACCGAATTGTCACTATTTACAGCACTGTTGATAGGGTTACTAAATATAGTAACCTTATTTGTAGAGGTAGCAAATGGATTAAAAGTGAAATTTCATGAAAACGATTATATATTTATTAAACCTTTTATCTTATTTGAGATTTGACCAATACATTCATAATTTAGCACAGTAGATGACTGAGTTATTACGTTCGTAAACGTTCACAATGATATATATAACTGTTGAAAAAAAAAGACTTAACCTGATTCTGATAGAAATAATCTATCTACATAAAGCTAGGTTATGTCTGGGTAAGTTTTTTTAAATTAAATATAAAAAAATGTATTAGTCTAATGATAATTCTAATTTTCTAAAAAAAAAACTTATCTAATCTAACTCTATGTAGATAGAAAAATTAATTTATACAGGGTGTTTCAGAAAGACCTCCTCTAAATTCAAGCGGTGATAGTACAACAAAAAATAAGAATTTTTTGTCTTATGAACTATCTGTCTATCTCCTCTTGTTTTCGAGATACAGAGCGACAAAATAGAATTTTTACGAAAATTTCCAAACGGCGCGAAATATTTTTATGAAATTTGGTATTCTGGGGTTTTTAAGGATGCCAAATACGCTGGTCTAATTATTTTTTGGATATTTCATAGATGGCGCTAATTATGCTACATTCCTATTACATTTTAAGTTCTAATTTTTTAAGGTAAGTTTTACCATTCGTGCTCCAATTTCTAATGTGCAATTTTATTTTCCAAAAATAATGTGCTCTTGTTAGAACTTTCTAATGTGGATGGTTTTCGAGAAAGAATAAGGCTTTCAATTGAACTCCTACAGTATTACGGTGTATAAAATAAGTGACTTTTCTCAAAGTAGGCTTATGTCAAAACTTATTGATGGACTTATCATAGACAATGATACATTCTTAGTAGTATTTTAAACTCTAATTAACTTTATATCAAAATTTTAGTGACTGTAATTAGTCATTACTAACAACAGTCACTAACAGTCACTAAAATTTTGATATAAAGTTAATTAGAGTTTAAAATATTATTAAGAATGTATGCGTTGTTTATGAGACATCCATCAATAAGTTTTGACATAAGTCTACTTTGAGAAAAGTAATTAGTCATTACTAACTACAGTCACTAACAATCACTAAATATTTGATTTATTTTGATTAAAAAATCTCCTATTAAAGTGTCTTTCATTCTTAATGAAGCACCCTGTATTATTAATTTATACACAATTGGCCATAAATTTTTAGTTACACCCTGTAGATATAATATTCTCGCCTTAGCTTCCAAAATGTCAGAATAAATGTTCGACATATTTATTTCGAACATCAGTAAATTTCACTAGCATTTATTCGAGACATTGCAACATCGAATATTTTGCAATGATATGAGATGAGATTCTTAATACCTACTTATATAACTTTGTTATAATTTTTGTGACCGACCTTGTCTTTAAACGGTTAAACAGAGTGTTAAAAACACCGTTTCCAACTTAACTGATTCTAAAAAAGAAATGGATAAACAAGTATTAAGTCGATGTAAAAGACGGTGCCGTTACAATTTTTTTACTATTTGCCCTCTTCCAACCACGCCTTAGAGAAATTTGTGAGTCATCCTCTATCCATCTACTTCGTCAAATAATGACTTGTTTTACAGATGTTCATAACGGGTCTTCCCGTTTGCGTTGCATGACTTTTTGTTGAAACTCAAACTTTGTTTGAAATTCATATTGTTAGGTATAATTGAAACAATAAATTTAACGTTATAATAGCTTCGTGCAATCATGATGACAAACCAGCACTAACCTATGTGAAAGAAAGGGTAAGACATATACTGATAGTAGTAGAGTACTTTTAATTTCTGCAAAATCTTCAATATTAAAATATTAATTTTCAAATAAGTAGACTTTTTTAACAACAAAATTTCATTAAAATAATATGGAAACTTATCAAGTTTAAGTATTCATTAAAAACATGGGTAAAAATAATTCACCATTGATTTATGTAAGCTGCTATGCCAGAGGTATTTTGAAATCGTTTACTGAAATTTTAAATAAGTATTTGTCAATTATTCACTTTCTATTTCAACCTTCTGCTAGTGTGAAGGTGTCAATACTAGAGTAGGAACTAATCTTTTGAATTAAATTTAAATATGTAGTTTACAATGAGGCTAAGTACACACTGAAGCCTAGGATTTAGGATTATGTTCAGTGCATATTTGCTACATGGTCAATGCGATATTTTTTATTACTGCAAATTAAATTATTTAAACAGTTCTTGCGATGTATTACATTTTAATTTATTAATGATAATAATAAGACAGATTCCGTCGTTTACAAGGCAGTCAAAATGTCTTATGAATATTATAATTATTTATCTGAACCCAAACAAACAATACACACCATTAATTACATATTATGCAGCTCAGGTAAAACTTTCTCTTATGGCAATCTACTGAAAGGGAAATGGAGGTTACTAAACCCGTTACTGTAGGGACTAAATAATATTTATTAACATCTATCTATGGAATATAGAGACAGATCTAGCAAAAGTAATTTAGATAATTTGAAAATGCTTATATATAGGGTTAACTATACAGTGTGTTTGTAAATAAGTGCGAAATATTTTAGGGGGTGGTTATTTTGTAAAAAAAAGTTCATACAAACGTAGGTTGAAATATGCTTCGTTTCCGAGATAGTGTTTACATTTTAATTTTTGATTTATTTTTATTAACTATTTCAAAGAGTTTTAAAGATATTGACTAGAAATTTGAAATACTCTTTGGAGGGATAAATGTGCATTTTTTGGGATGATCCGAATATTTCTGCTTGCACCAGTGGCGTTCGTACAGAATGCCACAACCCTTTTTAATAAAAAAAATGGTACGTCACTGACTTTTCCCGTTTTGATTTTTATTTAGAAATCTGCCAACAATTCTGAATGAAATTGGTCTCTTCAATTTTTTTCGTAGGATTCACCGTTTTTGAAGAAAAAAATAAAACATATTTTATTGCAAATTGTGTATTTTTAATTTCTATAGATCTAATCTGCATTATCTAGTGGTTGCTATCAGTAGTTCTAAATAAAATACAACCATTAAATTTCGAGTCAATATCTTTAGAACTCTTTGAAATAATTAACAAAAATAAATAGAGAATTAAAATTTAAACACTGTATCTGGGAGACGAAGCATACTTCTATCTACGTTTATATGAACTTTTTTCCTCAAAATAACTTCGGCAACCACCCCTTAAAATATTTAGCACTTATTTATAAACATCCTGTATATAACATTCGAACAAACTTTAATGATAAATTCGACCTCACAAATTAATAAAAATGTTTAAGAAACAGGGTGTTCAAAATTGATGAATATTATTTATATCAAGTTGCAATAAACAGTTGAGGGAAATCACGTTAAGAATATTTTATTTCACTTCATAAACATGTTTATTTCAGTTATTATTAATTACTATTATTTCAAAAATAACTTGACTGCATATTATTCATATTTCTGTTTTAACAATACATATAATAATAGTTGACTATTACATATGTACGTGCGACATTTTGACAAATTTAAAATTTGAAAAGAGAAATAAAATTGCTACATAAAATTACAGCGATCTATTTTAAAATTTTATTTTATTTACACTGTATAAAATACCTGAATTTGCTATAGGATTTTACAACATTTTGAGAAATTAACTTTGCTATGCTATGCTATGTAGAAGGTGATAATATTAAAATTATTTGTGGACATGGTAATAGACAGAGTTCTTGTTTTACGGTTCGTCGCCCCCAATGCCTCATGCAACTAAGGTAACAATACATATTTTTGAGATAAAAACAAGTTTCCTTTTCCTCTTTAAACTGATTCAGAATAATTATTGTGTTGGTTGTGCACGCTCGACTGACTATTAAAAATTATATGGATTGGTAAAAGACGTCGAGTATTTTCCGCCCAAAGGTCAACAAAGACTCCTTCGAAAGGAATAAGTTACCTATATACAGGGTGAAAAATTACAACATTAAGAAGCTTATATTATTCCTTTTACAAGAAAACAGTATAAAGACAAGAAAATAAATTTGCATGTAAACCTTAATTCTTTTTTGTAAACACTTATTTTTTCGAATTAAATGTCATTTTATTAATGTACTGTGCATATCAAATTTCATATCTGTAAATTAATTACCTAGTTCAGAAGATATGTAACAATAATTTTTTTTTAACTTCGTTTTTGACACGTCGTTGTATTAAACCCCATATAAATAATATACTAATAACATATTTCAGTAATGAGTGTGGGTGAAATACAACCTACAAAGTATGTCATATCTTAAATGTCATACTTTATAGGTTATATCTCACCCACACTCAAAACGTGTTGGTAGACAGATATCCAAATAGCTAAATCCTTTGTCGATTGTCTCACCTATGGCATATTGGTGAGAAATAATGTTCAAAACCAGTCTATGTCTGGTGGCGAATGATCTTAACTGTTTACTAGATACCGGGGATGTAATTCAATGCTGGCTTAAGCTGTAACCCACAGAGTAGTTGCTTCCCACAATATATTAGTTAAAAGTTTATAAAATTATGTTAGACAAAGCAATAATTGCAGAGATGGAATTCTTGTGGAACTCCAATATAATTTCATAGTATCACAGTTTTTGCTCTCCTATGAAATTTGATCCTTATAAATAGATGCCGAAATTATATTTTACAAAATATATATAACATGTTATAAAATGTGAAATAAAACATATTTTTTATTGCAGACTTCGGACAGCATCTGCATCTCACAAAGGAGCTTTGCCATTGGGATTTGCGTAGCAGGCGTGATCCTTATGCTATGCGTGGTGTTTGCCATCCTGTGCCTCTTCGCAAGAAGGAGGAAGAAGGCCGTATCAATCCCAGGCAGCTCGATATATAGCGGGCCTTATACCAACACTGCCTACAGTCATACTAGTTGAGGTCATTCCGACAACGAAAAAAGAACAATGCTCAGCTCAAATTATTATGGCTAGGTGTTGTTGATGTACGAACGATATCGACAAATCCAAATATCAACTGCCATATTATTTAATATTAATAGAAGTTTGATATATAGCTTAGGTGCCATTCGGCTCACAGTGCTCATATAGGTTAATCAGTCAATTTTCAAATCTAGTTGTTTACCATAAACACGTTGAATTCTCCAATTTTTGTAATAGTCTGTCCACTTATAAATGTTTCAAAGACCAAATTTTTACCAAAACACGTTAAAACTGGAGCATTTAAAATTTGTAAACAACGAAATACATATTTGCCTTCTTTTTGTTAAGTTTACTTTTGTTACGTAGAGAGCTGGTATTTGAATCACAAATTTTTGAAGAATTACGTAGGTATGTGATGATTAAAAAGTTGAATTTTAAAGTACTATTTGGTGATAAAATCTATGCTGACCTTCTTATAATTTAACGAAACAAGGGATGGTGATGGTTTATTTATATATTTCTAATACTTTTCCAATCCAGGCGATTCGTACAAATTTGCATCCAACTAAAATTTGTATATTTGTACTATTCGCCTTTTTAATGTAATACATTTAACTTTTAAGAAAAATTTATTTCTTTCCAACGAATTAAATAATATTTCTTTTAAGTTAATGAAACATAGACTGAGTTGCAGCCACAATGCATTGGTAAGTCAAGAAAGTCATTAAAAATAATTGTTTCCCTACATTACAGTAATTATATTTAAGAGAAGGCTGCAACTCATCTTTTATTGAATCTTCCGCAATTAATTTGTAACAATAAAAATGCAAATTACCATAACGGACAATTTGCGTATTGGTTCTGAATCACAGTTTCATTATTATGTTGTACATATTTTGTAATGGGACTCTGGTTCTCAACCGCACAGTCTTAACTCCTAAGCTTAAGAGAATTTATTAAAAATATACATAAAGTGAAACTATTGGAAGGTGCTTTAATAAATTTTTATTATAAACATTATATCAATAACAATTATTAAATAATATACAAAGACATTACTGATTTTTCTTTTCTACAAAACTTTACAATAATTCCGAATGTATTCAATGTTTAGTCTCTTTTTTAAAGTACTCCTTTTCGATCCTCTGTACCAAATTAATAAGCTGAGGATAGTTTCTTACAATGTTGGCTAAATCGCTCTTTGGAAGAGGGGTGGTTAGTATCGTGAACAGATGACCAAAAACTAAAGCGTCCAATTCGGTTGGACTAGAAAATTATTAAAGATTATAAACTGGAAATAGATAAACGGCAAATATTTAACGCTACCTGTCGTCGAAAAAGTAATTTTTCCCATCCAATCGAGTGCTGAGTGCTTCGCAGCAATTTTCCACTTCCTGGAAAACTTCTTCCAGAGTCTTATTGTACCAATCCAACGCTTTCAATTTTTTAATCACTTGCCTTTTTTTCACGATATTTTGGAAGTGATTTAATGGCCATGGATAGATTGAACCATTTCTAATACTCGTCACTTCATTATATGTTTCCTTGTCAACCCAACAAATATAAAGCTAATAAAGAAAAAGTACAGATGCAAAGGAGCCTCAATGACACGACAAATATAAAATAAAACCTTACCTCTGCCACCTCAATTACGCTATGAATCAATGACATATATGCCCTCATATCTGCTTTCTGCTCACTGTCCAACTTATCCGTTAGAGATATACCTTTCCCGTTAACAAACTGAACAATGCCTTCCAATTCCGCAGTGACAAAACGGCCTGCTTTAATAAAAGGAACTTTTAAAGTTGGTGACATTGCCTCGGCATTAGCTCTTAGTTCCACTTGGAAGTCAAGATGGCACATCTTGAGAAATGCCTGGACAGCTAAACAATTCGCATTATCAGGTAGAAGGATCTGCTCGACATCATAGGGCTGGAACAACTTAACATCCTTTGGCCATGGTTCTTGAGCTAAAAATATCGAAAATGTAAACAATCTTTAATATATAAATATTCTTAAGAAACCGTACCTCCAAGTTCTACTGTTATTTTGTCAATTAGTGGCATTTTTTATCAAATATATCTATTTATAGTTTATTCATATAATCGGTCACAATTATTGGTTATGTACAACTTGGTCAACTTGTGACAGTAGGTCACAGTAGTTTCAATTTCCAATAATTTCGTAAATTCAGTAGTTCTCAGTGGTCATTTCTTAGGAGATAAATTCACTACCGCACTATTTGAAACGAATGAACTACTACTCCGACTGAACTTCGGCTTTTTCTCGCGAGTGAAGTCGTATGTTGAATTATGTGTAATATGAGTGAAAGAAGAGATTTAAACCACCATATGACAACTAAGATCAAAAGAGATAGAACTAGTAACTAGTCTGATTTTCACCAATATTCAGCCGCGAAAAGAAGCCTATCGTTCAATGTTGGAATATCACAAGCAAGTAGAATTAAATTTTGTGAGAGTACGTAGCTCATAATTTCATTAAAATTCTTCTCTTATGTTTTTTAAAGACAAAATTTAACCGAATGCATATCTGAATAGTATTATTACATTGAATAAAATTGGACATTCATAAAATTTAAAGTGTAACAATAGTTAAGGTTGCTAGCGATCCAACCCCAATGGAATATATAAAATTTCGTGTATATTTTTATTTAAATAGTTATTTATTACTTACTATTTTCAAATGAAGGTGTATCGGTTTCTTCTTCATCTATAATAGAAAAATCTAAAACCATTTCCCCTACGTTCCTGTAGCCCAATATAGTTTTCGTTTCAATATCAACATCTAACTGATTTCTATACTTATCCTCAACCACCCTAGAAGTACTGTTGATATTGTTGATATTTTCCATATTTATTCATTATTTACGATAATTTCTAGTGAAAGTTTTAAATTCGGAATCATTTATCATCCCGCTACATTTCAAAAATTGACACTTGACAGTGTTTCAAAGAAATGATCACGACTGCAGCGACATCACAAAGTTCCGTTCTTTCACAAATTCAACATGTCTAAAAGAGGTGCGTTTATTTTTTTATTGTTTTAATAATCTGGAAAAATTATTACAATCCATCAAAGTATTGTTTATTTGTCGCAAATGTTTCTGATATACATTTATTTGCGTCTTGCAGCTGTATATATTTTAGTGATTAGTGAAAGAAACTATTAAATAGTTTTGGGTACAGTTATAGGTTATGTAGGTATCTAATTTGTTTTTAACATTTTTTAGGACGTGGTGGTTCCGCTGGGGCTAAATTCAGGATTTCCCTGGCCTTGCCTGTAGGAGCAGTTATTAATTGTGCCGATAACACTGGTGAGTTTTTTTCCTGTATTTCTGTATTAGTAGTGAGTAGTATTGCATTAATATACAGACTCATCATTTTTATAGTAAAAAATAAGACAGTAAAGCAATTGTAAATCAATTTTTACATTGAATTTTGAAAATTGTTTGTCTATTTACATTCCTATTCATCTTTTATACTGAAATTCACTTTGAAAGTGTATATTTTGTGAGTTGAAAATTTAACTGTTTACAAGTTGTATATGATTAATAATACACCAAAGCGGTTTAAAAAACAACTAATGCCTTTCTATTAAGTGTTTGAAACAGATACTAGTAAAAAATCACTTATATCGGACTGATTTTGGCATATGTTCGTTGTTTTTTACTTTGGGCTGTTCTATGATGTAATTTTTAAGCAATTAACCATTTTTATTCTTTTAAGGGGCAAAAAACTTGTATGTCATTGCCGTACAAGGAATCGGCGGTCGTCTGAACCGTCTCCCAGCAGCAGGTTCCGGTGACATGATTGTTGCTACCGTTAAGAAGGGTAAACCTGAGCTTAGGAAGAAGGTAATGCCTGCGGTAGTTATCAGGCAGCGCAAACCTTTCCGCAGGAAGGACGGTGTTTTCATTTATTTTGAAGACAATGCGGGAGTCATAGTCAACAACAAAGGAGAGATGAAGGGATCGGCTATCACAGGACCCGTGGCGAAGGAGTGCGCCGATTTGTGGCCCAGGATTGCGTCAAACGCAAGCAGTATATCTTGAGACGTTTATAAGTGATAGTTTGTCAAAAAAAAATGTAAAATTTTAAGATGAATATATTCATTCTTAAACTATGTCGTGGTTTTATTTAGTAGCTTGCACCTTTTTCTTTCTATTTTGAACCATTAATTTGTAATCCCAAAAATGTTTGTAATTTAGCTTCTCTGTTATAAATCCTTCGTTAAATTCATTAAATAAAAAAAGAAATATGTATCTGGGTTGATTTTACTTCAAAATAAAGGTTTCCATGACAGTAGATAAGGAAAAGCTTACTTTTCCAATGCACAGGGTGTTCAAGTTGAAATTTCTTAAAATTGTTTTTTGAATATATTTAAAACATCAAAAGAAAAATAAAAATGTGCGCAGATATTTTACTTTTTAATCCACATGCCTATAGTACAAGGATTATGAATGAGCACTGTTCAGGGGCGAGTAAAACTAGAAAACTAGGCAAGATTTTGCTTCATCATGTGTGTTTTTTTTTTAATTATTCATGATCAAAACTTTTAAACTGATATTTCTGTATACAGAAAATGCCTTTTGCATTTTTTATTTAAAATTATCTACTTTCAAGTGCATCTGAGTGTTTTATCATCCAGGGTGCATTTAAATGAAGGAAGCCAAACAAATTGTTTAATTTTTTTAATATTTTCAATTATGTAAATAAAATGGAAGATATATATTTCGTTTGAAATACAAATACAGTTGTGATTGTGAATCTTCTTACTATTTACAAAATTTCCAAGATACTTAGTGATGTCGAAATTCTGATATTCTAGGGTGTCTAGCATCTCTGCCACTGGGTCGATATAATTGTGTAAAGTGAAATGAAATTCTTATTTTATTTAGATATGTTGCCATTTTGTTTCATTAATATTGGTGCATCAAATTTCTTTAGAGATATATGCATTTTTATGATTAAGATATATTTTAACCCAATTGTATTTTGGCCTCAAGATAATCTAATAGAATTTATGCTCCTTCATTATATAATACACCCTGTAGTTTGTTGTTAGATGGTGAAAACAAAATTTAATCACTTTTTATATTAGGCAACAATAAATAATTATGATCAGTCCTTTTTTTGTGTAAAAAATCCATATTTTATAATTCCTAATTAAAAAAGATGGGGCAAAATTTTACCAAAGTCAGTCAGTTTCACTCACCAATGATTCTGGTTTAGTTACCATTTTGTATTTGAGAAGATAAAAAATCGAGTAATTGTCAATTTGAACGTCCTGTATCTAGTAAACTAATTCCCTGACATTTTTTTTAAATTTGAATTTTATCACCAGGTAAAGTTGGAAGACCAAATATTTATCAGATATCAAAGTGCATTTGTTATTATTTGAAGGGCTTAGTGTGAAATAATGACAAGCCACAATAAATGCAAAATTGTTGGAAATTTTAGTTTGAAGTTTGTATAAAATGTGTAAAATTAACGTTAGATTTGTCTACATTAGTTACAGAAGTACAGATGTTTATGGAATGTACTTGAATAATCATCATGAATAATCATTTTCTTTTAATATTCATTATATGGCTTGTTATATACTCTTGCAAAACTTGAAAATTAAAAAAGTCATATTTCAAGAAAGGGTGGCTTGTCATTGTTTCACACTAAGCGCTTCATTTATTTACTAGTATAGTTTTAATATTGTAAAATATTGTATGGTATACTTGTAGATGGACATAACAAAAAAATGAAATAAACTTTTAATTTTATTTTACTAGTTTCAGAAACAAATAAGTATTTCATATATGTTGCTCTATATTCCTAATTATTATTTTGAAAGCAGTTATTCTTTTTCCCTTTTTTTATGTATAAAAGAAAAATACTCAATTTAATTCACAACAAAACATTAAAATTAAACACCATGGAGGTTATTTTAATAAATATATTTTTTTTGCTATAAAAATTTTTAGTTTACTTATTTACTGCGAGAGAAAAATAGATACACACTCCGGTATGGTCTAGTGGCTAGGATACCTGGCTCTCACCCAGGAGGCTCGGGTTCGATTCCCGGTACCGGAATCTTTTTTTTTATTTTAGCTATAGTTTTTTTTTAATAATTTAATTTTAAATTATATCTCTTATTACTAAATAAATGCTTCAGGAGAAAGATATAATTTTATTCTTCTGGAGTTAAGGAATTAGGTAAATTATGAAGAAAAGTTACAATGATATGGCTGCTACAAAGAGGTATTTATTGGGAAAAAATATTCCAATAGATTGTCTTTTAATTAGTAGATGTAGGTATAATATAATTAATATAATTAATATAATTAATATAATTATATTTTTAATATTGGGAATAACTTGTGCTTTCTTCGTTACTTTACTCAAGCTAGTATTTTTAATATTTACATTATTTTACGATAGTGTTAACTGAAAGTGTCCTCTTCGATCAATGCACTATTCACAAACAACTGATGTATTACTCCTTGTTTTTTGTCACAACAATTCGCCTTTATTATAGCTTTCGAGGAGCCCAGTTCGAACTTCATTTCAGTGCCATCGTCTACAAACGAATTTTCAGCCTCGATAACCTGCCCGTTGACGTGAATGTCCAAAGACTGCTTTTCTACAACAAATTTTGTTTGATCAATAAACAGGGCGATTCATTATTAATATTGCGAAACAATGAAGATGCTTATTTAAAAAATTAAAAATCCTGTAACTTACAAAAGAAAACTTTAGGCTAAAGGCTAAAGGATATTTGGTCCAATTATCGTAATAGGCAATTTATATGAAAATTTAATTTCTATACAACTAAGAGACCAAAAATAATAATAAATATCGTTAACACTATACAAGTTAATTACAGATCTTAAAATAGTGTAAAAAATTTAAATTTTGTCACGTAATCAAGAACGCAATGTGACGTCATTTAGTGCGACTGAGAACATACCCTGATTCCCAACCGCGCGTGTTTCCAAGTGAATTTGGCCGTCTCTAGATTCCTATTCATACTGTCGGGTCCTCTTGTCCCTGCGCCTGACATTCATTTTCTCGATTCTCTATCGCGCTAAATGACGTCACATCCGTTTAAAACATTTATTTTGGGCGCCGAGTTTTAACAATTAACTATCAATTAACAATCTCAAGTTTAACATTATAATTTATTTCATTGAACAATTATTTGACTTACCAAATACTACCCTATACCGTTTCCCTTCAGACAAAACGGCCCAGGACCGTATCGATTGGGACTGCTTTTCCGTGAACTTTTCCAAAGGTTTCCCGTCGACGTATAGACTATAGGAGAAGGTGAAATGGGGCATTGGATCGACCCGTAACACGCATTTTGCGTGTTGCTTTCCTACATTAAATATTTCTTCCCCGACTAGTTTGAACATCCATTCTCGTCTAATTATTTCCTACAAATATAAAATTATACAATAGGAGTGAACATTTAAAACTACTTATGGAATAAACTCTAGGTACAGAATTATTAAATAAAAGTTATAAAAGACATATGACAAAGAAATATCATACGTAGGTTATATTTCTATTAGTAGATTCAGGTATTATTTTTTATATGATATATTTTCCACTATCAGCTCCCCTATTTCTCTTAAAATGCATGTTGTATTAAAAGTTTGCCGCCTCGTTGCCATGACAACCGCCGTAAACAACGCTACGAAGAGAAGCAGCATACAGACTGATTTCAATCTGCGTCAATTGCGTATACTATACATTGTATGGTCCAGGGCATATTCTAAGAAAAATTTATCACTACCCAATTTCAGACTATACAAATCATTATTAATCTATAAGTCTGTTTGGAAATGAAAGAGAGTAATAAAACCCCGAGATAAGAACCGGCCATGGGCGTGGTAATATTTCGTTTCAGGTAATTATCGGGTAACACTAATGCTAACAAAAATGACAGGGATTGGAAAATCGACTATCTACAGACTTTTAAAGGAAACAAAAAATGAACAAGATACTGTAAATCCCCCAAAATCATCTACAGGGAGGTCAAAAGTCGTTATAGATGATTTCTTCAAAAATGTCATTCGCAGAAAAGTACACTCATTTTATTTTAAAAAAGAAATACCAACGCTAAACAAAATTTTAAGTGAACTTTCAGAGGACAACGATTTGCCAAAAATCAGTAGAAGCAAATTATGGGCCGTCTTACGAGAGTTGAATTTTTGCTGGGAAAAGCAGAACAGGAAGTCAGTTCTTATCGATAAAGATGAAATTATTTGTTGGCGAAGATCCTACTTAAGATCAATTAGAAAATTCCGTGACGAAGGGAGGAATATTTATTATCTAGACGAAACTTGGGTCAACGAGGGATATACTGTAACAAAAGTATGGCAAGATAAAAATGTAAAAAGTTTTCGACAAGCATTTTTGGATGGACTTTCAACAGGGTTCAAGGCACCTTCAGGTAAAGGGCGAAGATTAATAGTGACACATATAGGTAGTGCCAGTGGTTTTGTAGATGGCGGTTTACTTTTATTTGAATCTAAAAATACAGGTGACTATCACGAAGACATGAACGCAGATGTTTTCGAAGAGTATTTTACACAGATGTTGGATCTTATTCCTCCGGGGTCTGTAATTGTCATGGATAATGCCAGTTACCATTCACGGCAGACCGAGCGGACGCCTACGACTGCTTGGAGGAAAGCCGATATAATTCAATGGTTATCCGGAAAAAACATTTCTTTTGAAACAAATATGGTGAAAAAGGAACTTTTGACACTTGTCAATCTTAATAAAGATCAGAAAAAATATGTTATCGATGAAATGGCAACAAATCGCCAAATAACGGTACTACGGTTACCACCTTATCACTGTGAACTTAACCCAATCGAATTAGTCTGGGCGCAGGTAAAAGGAGATGTAGCGCGAAATAATACGACGTTTAAATTAAGTGACGTGAAAATTTTGTTAAAAAATTCCTTGGAACGAGTAACTGCAGATAACTGGCAAAGATGTATACATCATGTACAAAAAGAAGAGGAGAAAATGTGGGAACTCGATAATTTAATTGACGTTACTGTGGAACCTATCGTTATCAATCTAGGAGACGAAGATAATTCATCAGAATATTCAGAGGATGAATTTTAATATACCTACTTTTTTATTTTCTTTATTGTACATTTATACAACACTACATTTACTCACCATAATTTGAATTTTCAAAATACATATATTTTTGTGTGGAATAAAAGTCTATTCATTAAATTTAAATAAATATTTTGATAATAATATTGAATAATTTTATTTGAATTACTAAAAACCCTCTTAACCCGGTTATGATGCTTAAAGTAGCCTCATGTTTTGAAATGCTGTTTTTATATTGTTTACTTATAAGAGAAATGGACCGAGAAATTGAAGCGGCATAGACAAAGACGGATTGTCGGGGATTAAATTTTAGCTACCTGCTACAATTTAGTACAACCCGGTCACACAAAGTTTTTTTAAAAGTACACCTCATCTATACCGATAATACATAATATAAAAATATTGAATATAAGCACCAGTACTACATTTATTTACGATTTGCATACATAATAAGCTTTTATTACTCTCATTTCTAAACAGGCTTATAAATATGAATGATTAAATATATATACGAATACCTATTTTTTCAGACATTGAGATGAATGAGAAGAAATTTTGCTTAGAATTTTATTCTGTGCTAAAGTAATATTTATAAAAAAATCTGCTTCTTTTCAAATGTAGAAAAATATTGTTTAATGCATGCTAACCTTGCTACCTTAAGAATTAGTACCTACTACAAACACTCTAATTTACCCAAAAAACTATAATAAGCTAATTCATAAGTAAATATCTAGCGCAAACAAAGGTACAAATAACAAAAGTTTAGCTTACCTTCCCATCCACCCGAACTACCCTTTTGCCGCTAGTGGTCCCATGTTCGAACTCGATCGTGTGCACGCCGTCCAGCAATGGAACGCTCCAGTACGCCACCAGATCCGTCCTTTCCTGGGAAGACGATTGCGACAAACCGCGACCCTCGGCCATGGCTACCAAGGCACTCACTTGGGGATAAGGGAAGAGGTACATCGTAGATTTATTAATTTTCACGTCGCATCGATACCACTTCGGCCTTGATAGCGCGAAACGTAACCATGCAATGAATTATTTACCACTGAAATATTAGTAGTGAACGATTTTTCGCTAGCAATGGCGTAGGCGCTGAACTAATAATAAAGTATTGCAAAGTGTAATAGAAATGAATGGACAAAAAATTTAAATAATTTCTTTCCCAAGGAAAGAAATAAATAAAAGTATTTGGGCACATATGTCACTCAGTTTCTACGAACTAACATAAATCTTACTCCATCATGACACAAATGCTTCACCATAACATAAATGTTGTCTTCCTCTACCATAAATTAAAAGGATATATATCAACTTCGAGTTGCTATACACGTAAGCCATTTTTGAAACCTGAAAAATTAATATAAACACTATCGCAAAAACGTTAATACTAAAATCGGATTTCAGTATTCGGAATCGCCTGAAGCTACGTGGAGAATGAGCGCATTGCTAATGACGCTAGAGACTACAGTAGCCCAGCAAAGTAAAAGTTCAAAATACTATAACTTTAATAATTTTTTCTCACTAAAGATTTTACAAATTTTTTTTTTACGATATTGACCTATTTTTCATGACGCAACTATTCCCAATTTTTTTTATTTTAATATGTTATCAATAACCCTGAATAAATAAGGGTGTTGATGTTTAAAAAGTATTCAAATATCCTTAACGATATTTGATGTAAATAAATTAAATTTAATCTAATAATTTACCTAATTAAAACAAAAATTAATTTATCGACTGACAAATATGTCAACTAGCTAGTGCGTACCTATGCAGACAATTTAACACGCCACTGCACTGTGACGCTCAATACGGGTAGGTATATCCTGTAAAATTAATGTTTGTATTGAAGCAAGCTGGTATCGTACCGTAAACCAGATTTTCCATAAAACGTTTTATTGGATTTTACTAAAAACAGATCATAACGCTGGTACTATACGTAAATAAATCAATATGTTTAGTGAATGACTCTATTGCTATGCTACCTAATATCTAAAACAGCAAGGGAGATAAAAGCAAAGTGTTTTTTATTTTCCTAAAATTTGAACACCTTGTAAACGTGATTTACTTTTTAACTTTTTTGGGGGGGAGGGGATTTCGGATTAAAATTATATTTCACTTTAGGGCCGATTGCTCCGATCAAATATAGGTAAGCTCGGTTTTGCAATAAATCACGTTAAAATTGAATTGTAGTTTTTAATAGTTATTTTGAGTATATACTTTCTGAATATGAATATGAAAAGTATGCTAAATAAGCCCATTGTACGTTTAAGAAGTTTAAACTTTGCTTTGCCATCGTGTAACGTAACTTTTCTAATATTACATTCTGTGTTGTTTTTGTCTCTTAATAAATGAAATAATTTATTTTTTTTTCTTTTTCTATTTTTCAGTGTTAACGATGTAGCTCGCTGAGTAGTTATTTCTGACAATACCATTAGTTAAAAATGTTTTATTCACCATTTATATTTTTAGAAAATTAACTCTCAAGTACAGTTTATAATGTGCAATAAAAAACCAACAATTCAATAGAATACTTTATTAAACCATTTACATTATAAAAATATATATTTTATTAATTTATTGATTACATTATTATTGTTTATGTGTTCAAACTACAACCATTAAAACCATATGAAAATACAAAATAAAGTTCAGTTCTTCCTCAAGTAGAACGCAATGTCCAATTTGATGAAATTAAAAAATTACTTTAGTTCCTTAGCCGGTAGTAGAGTTCCAGAGCAAGTGCCAAATCCAATATTGTAATCGTCTCCCTCGCAAACGGCCTTCATGGTAACAGTGTCGTCATCCAAAAGAAATTTTCTTTGAGAACCGTCTAGCAATACCAAAGGCTTTGTTCCCTTCCAGGATAATTCAAGCATCGATCCATATGAGTCAGATGTCTAAATAAAAATAAACTGTTAAAAAAAAAGGTTGAAAAATAAAATTTTGTATCAACAACTCAAACTAACTCGACAATTTCCGTGTAAATATGGCAGTTTTTACTTAGTGCTTCTCTAGAACACACTTACATCTCCACTTATGGTACCACTTCCCATTAAATCACCAGGATTGACATTGCAACCGGTTATGGTGTGATGAGCCAGCTGTTGCTTCACTGTCCAATATAAATATTTGTAATTAGAGCGGCATACAGTCGTTGAAACGTTACTTCCTTTAGCTGAAAATATAAAAGTAAGTAAAATAAAATTATTCAAGACAAATTCTTCGATTTCAGTTACTTTAAACTTACGAGCTATATCTACTTGCAAATTGATATCAAAATTGTATTTGTCGGAATGCTTCAAGTAGGGAAACGGTTCTGGATCTTGTGGATAATTGTCCACGATGAATGGCTCCAAGGCAAAGGTAGTGACTACCCACGGAGATATTGTTGTTCCTAAATTCTTAGATGTAAAGGGTCCCAAGGGTATATACTCCCACTTTTGGATGTCCCTTGCTGAAAATTTATTGAGTATAAAAGATTTGTAATCGCATTGTTAAAGAAAATATAAACTAAAAAGTATAATTAATGATGAGATAGTTAGATACAGGGTTTTCATTTATATTTTGACACATAGATAGAGGTTTATTGTATAGGAATTGGAAAAAAAAATGTATATGCCCCAGCAAACGTTATAGATGTGTTGGTAATTGATTCTCTACATTTGACCTTGAACTGACCTTAACCCAGAGCTGACCGGGTCAAATTTACAACGGATTCGAACAAGCGACCACAAAAACACAGATATATGGGTTTACTTTCTTGGCAATTGATTCTCTACGTGTGACCTTGAACTGACCTTAACCCAGAGCTAATCGGTTAAAACGGACACCGGATTCGGATTCAGCGACCCCAAAAACATATAGATACCAGGGTCTTGTCTTTCGGACCTGCCAGTTTTTTTTTAAGGGGCTGTGATTATTAAAGGTAAACCCATAAAACTTTATATCATAGTTAACCTAAAACGCTTTATTTAAATATGTAAAAATATATAAGGTGTTCACATCAATGTTTGTGTTCACATCACATTTATTTATTATAGAGTCCAAAACAGGGAAAAATAGGGAAAACTCTAAATCATTTATAAATAAATGATTTGAAACATTTTTCCAAACTCACCACTCCAATCATTCATAATGACAAATCCAAAAATATGCTCATGTGCTTTTTCGACAGGAATGGGTTCTCCCACTTTGGTCGAACCTCCGACAAAGAAGGCCATTTCTAATTCAAAATCCATCAGTTTGGATGGTCCAAAAACTGGCGGCGTTCCTGATAATTCTCGTGGTTATGTAATTTGTTATTTTCTTTTTTAACCAAATGGCTTACCGTCTACTATAGTAGTCTGTCCATAAGGTCTCTGTATGGGAGTTCCTGAAATTAACACAGAACTGGCTCTGCCATGGTATCCGACTGGTAAATATTTCCTTAAAGAAAATTACATTCTATGCTGTAGTTGGTTTATTAAAAAATAAAACATTTTGCTAACAAAATTATTTTTAAATGTTTAATTTGGAAATAGCATGGTCAATTTTATATAAAACGTTTCTGTTATAACAGAAATCCCTTACCAATTAGGCATCAAAGCATTTTCCTTGCTTCTAAACATAACTCCAACATTGGTAGCGTGATGTATCGAGGAATAAAAGTCTGTGTAATCCCCTATTTTAGCTGGTAAATGCATAATTGATTCAGATTGTAGAGCAAACGCTCTGAAATAGTAAATTTATTAATAAAAAAGAAGAAAAAAATACAAAAACAAATGCCTTCCTTTGATCCCTACCTAGATCGAAGGTCAGAATTATTCTGAAGTGTAGGATTGCCTTCTGACAAAAGGCTTTGTATTGTTTCCCTCGCTTCCTTCCAAGCTTTAGGTGTTAAGGCCATAAAGCTGTTCAAAGTTTGCTAAAGTAATAAACAGAATTAGAGGGAAGCGTTTTGTTTTTTCTTATACTATTTAACTCACTTCTCTAAATACATGTTGATGATTTTTCAGTTCTGGTCCTGTGAATAGGTGAGCAATCTCGCTTAAATCTAAAATTCCATCTGCAATTGCCACACCAATTCTAGGAGTCGGCTGGAAATTTTATATATTATTAACGTTTTACTATGTTATTTTATATACCAAAACTTTTAGAATAATTTTGTAACATTTTAATTTGTGCGCCCAATAGGCGGAGACATCTATGCCATATTAAATCAACTAAGGAGTATTTCAGTCTTGCAGCATATACAACATGGAAGAAGCACTGAGTGTTAAAAAGTGTAGACGCTGTAGAGAGAAAATGCGATAGTTTGGGTATTCGCTCTTTCTCTCTAATCGTTGAGAAAGGTCAATGTTCCGTCGTCGTATAAAATGTTTTCTTTGTTTCTGTTTTTATAGTCTGCCGATAGATGGCAACACCAACAATAGTCTCAGCCTCATTGACATTTAGAGATGTGACCAAATTACCAAATAATTTACTATAATTGTGTCTAGTATTTCTATTTTTACTTGTGTTGTAGTACTTTTGATTTGTAGTAATTAAAAATAAGTCTGAATATGCTTATTATAGTTTCGGATAGGTAAATAAAGGCAATTTAAAATTCTAACGCGTAGATTGTTTACATTTTATAACTAACCAGTAGACACAGATAAACGTGGAAAACATGGATAAAACATGCTTTTACTTACATTTGAAGGAGTAGAAAACACTCCGTAAGGCAAATTTTCAATTGGAAAGTCACAATATTTAGAATATTTTAAAAAACAAACCATTTTTGCATTACTATTAGACTAAACAAAGTTGTTATGTACTTTATGATGACAAAAGCGTTGTTGACTGAGGTATCAAGGACTATTTTGCTTTTATCTAGTTTTAATAATAATAACAGCATTAATTTATTTTAATACATTCTAATTTACGATTCTGAAAAACTGGTTAATCAGATAAAAGTTATATCATAACAAGGGCGTAGCTAGATTTTTTTCCAGCGAGAGCAAAACAAAAATAGGTACGTAATATAAACTACTTATTAAAAAATGGCAGGAAAGAGATAAAAAATATTTAAGATATTCATGACACTATTTTTATTTTTTTGATAATGTACACATTTATTACAATATAATTTCGCATCTTTTAGAATTCGATGCTATTCACTGCAAGCAACTAGGTATTTTCTACTTTTGTAATTTCGTATTAACAAACATTCATATATTTTAAAACGTTATAAACCAGCTTTTATAACGAGTTAAAAAAATTACATTTAAATACATTAATTACAGTCGGAGATCAAAATTTGTTACAAGTATACAGGGCACTCCAAAAAATAACCAAAATTTTTATTTTGAATATAACTTTTATTAAAATATTTATTAGTAAGTTTTTTAGCTGCTAGTATACTTTTCTTCTGGCTGTTATACCCAGTTATATACAAAATAAAAATATACAGCCATTTTTTAATCACCCTGTAGGTACAGAACGGTAGTATTGCTTAGCTTCATGTAGAGTTTCTACCGTAATGTGAAATTTCTGAATACATCATGGAAGACATTGATTTTGTAATGGAAAACTACGATGTCAACGAAATGCTACAGATGACAAAACATACAAACAACAAATTAATCAGCTGTAGATAATTTTGTACAAAATCAAACATCTGTACAATAAATTTTTATGGATAAAAACGTTTACTTAGCTAGGTACTGCCCAAAATTTATTTCAGAGAAATATCAAAATTTTTCTGAGCAGTACGTATCAATAATAATAATATTAAACTATTAATTGGCAGTTTCAACAACTTTTTGTTACTAACAATTTATCAAAACTCATACACATAGACACATATTGTTGTATACCAAAGAATATAGGGTTGTCCACTATAAATATCACCCTCTATTTCCCTGTATTTTTGGAAGTAGGGAAAAATCGGGCTATTAAAAGTGTGGCAAATTTCAATGTTCTAATATCTTGTGAAAACAATTGAAGGTTGGGTTACGAAGATGAAGTCTTAATAGGGATTTTTCTAAATAGATGGCTCTATTCAAATATCTAAAAATATACAGGGCGTTAAAATACAAAAAGTGTAATTTTTATTCTTACATATTTTTTTCATATATATCTGAAAATAAGAGTGACAGTAATCGTAGACCACCAGGTATTTTAATTGATTCATTACAATACATTCATATCTGCCCTTTTTGGTAGCAAAGCAGAGCAAAACATTTTCCTATTTTCCAATGCAGCTGATGGTGTTTTGTTTTTACAGTGACTTGAAGCAACCGCGGATGAAATATACAGTGAGCCAATAGAAGTTGTTGTTTTAAGATAGAATAATTATTTCGATAAAAAAATAGGAATAGATCAATATTAATTTTTCTTCTTCCATATATCGTTATCCTGAAATTTTTAAAGAGTGATTAATTAGATAAACAAAAAGGCACTTTGAATTATATTTTACGTGAAGACTTCTTAACTTTGTTCCTATTTTTACTGTTCGTTGTAACATGTTGATATCTGTTGATCATTAAAAAACTACTCCAGTTTTTTCATTAAAATAATTATTAAGGCTCAAAACAAGTTTGTTTATGAACGTACCGTGCCTGTGTCTGCAATGAGTTTTGAGCCTTTACAACTTAATATAGGGATAAGTTACATATAAAAATTTGCAGCAGTTAACAACATTAATAGATATACTCAACAAACATAATAAAGCACCTTGTTTGGAAGGTATTTGTGCATGATAATTAAATATGTCTATGCTTTGATATAATAAATTTATCAACAGAACAATTATCTTTCTATACACTTTATTGCGTTAGCTACACATTTTTAACCATATATTAGAAGTATACGCTACTGCACACACATATAGTGTTTTTGGTATTTTTTTCTAGCGGTTATTTTTACATTTAGGACATATTTAACAGTGACAGGGTTATTTTGGGGTTAACATAACTGTAGTACTAAAATAAGATATCACATATTTTATAAACACGACATCTAATATCCGAAAGGAAGTTGCTAAGTTTTCTCTCAGTGTATTTAACTCTAAGCTAAACTACGATGATATGTTTTAGCTGATAAAATTGGTTTCGCACGGCGTGCACGACGGCGACGCTTAGCGATATTAATTGATGCTCTTGCTTTTTGTTTAGCTGTCATTTAGGTTCTGAAATCATATGTTTCAAGATTTGGTAGCAGATTACAGATTACTTTTTTGTGCTGTGTGAATGTTAACGATTGAGGATGTGTTGAATCAAAGTTAGTTACGAAATTCCTGTTTTAAGAACACGTTGTGCATTTTTTATTTTTCGTAACAGCTGATAAGTCATTGTTAAAATAGTATCGAATAATGTCTCAAAATTTCAAAAGTGGGATGAAATTTTTAAGGTCCGGTGCAAAATGCAGAAAAGTCGAGGTAATTTCAAAACTATAAATTTTAAACACCACCGAAGATGTAAATAATAATGTAGAATCTTCAAATTAAATATTGTTAGTATTTATATCACCAAAATATGATAGTTTGATACTTGTCACATTTAAAACCAAAATTAAGTATACTTCATTGCAGCTAAATAAAGTATAATTTGTTGTATTAAGGAGATAGATTGAAAAATGCCTTTGTCAGTCCGTTTTTTGTTGTTTTTTGTTCGTCGTAACATAAAGTTAATGTTATTTAAGTAGTAAACCCTAAATGTTTAAATGTTGTCTTTGTAGAACAATGTTTTTCTTAAGCGCCCGCCGTTAATAAAAAATATAAAAAATTACGAGTTAGTTTTAATTTTTTGGCTAGAAATCTTTTGTATTTATCCACAGTGAAGGTCTTGTCGTTCGAAGTCAGGGTAATTAAATATTGACACACGTTCTGTCTTAGAAGTCGACCTAATTGACAATAAATTTATCTAAGTCTTATCCGACAAATGGTCGGAAAGTTTAAATTCCTCTATTTATTTTAATTGACACACTTGACGTAGTTGTGAATTAAATTACATCGTGGAATGTTCTATTCATTAAAACAATACGAATTTATCTATTTGTATTCCCAGAAACTAGACAATTTAATATTCATGCTTCCAATTGACTCCTGCTTTGAAACATTTTTTTCTACTTATACTCTCTTGTACTTCATTGCCTGGATAGCCCCATTTAAAGGGAGCTGGTGTGTAAATCTAACCCTACTTTTTACAAACAATGCAGAAAAGACTTGAGAGAAAACTTAGAAGGTGTAAATTTAAGGCATCTAAATTCTCTAATCATTCCAAAATTATTTTTCCAGTACGAGCTACCTGAACCAAGATAGCATCGAAATGAATGATTTGAAAATAACAAATATACACTGAATTAGCTTAGAAGCTCTAGCTCTATTATCGCTCTAGTTCTTTTGAGCAATAACGATAGACTGACAAGTTCCTTAACATTTTTCCACGCTAATAGAAACATAGGTAGTAAATAATATCTATAAATCCAGCCCGTTCCTATCGTTTCATAGAATTTAGATGCTTACTCTATTCTGCAAAGGAAGAACGTTTATTTAATTACTACTTTACAAATCGTGTCCGAGACGGTCCATTTCGTCCAGAAGGAAATCGACGTCATCCTCCGTTACCGCAGCCGAAGAGATGATATTCCTGAAGAAATTTGGTCTTCTGTCATCTGGTTGGTAGCCCACCATCAAAGTGCCCGACTGCATCATCCTCGCTTTCAAGATGGGGCACATCTGAAAACAGGTTTTGCCACATGCTACAAACGTGTTTTTAATCAAATTTGTGCAAGTATATAACATCAATTAATAATCTTTCAAAAGGGTAGTACAGAGCTTCAAATTAAACAATTTCCATTAAACAACCTGTGGTCTAGAAAATCCATCAAGAATTATTACGCGAAACTTAGGTCGATCCTGTATCCCCTCGCTTAATCACCGCGAAAATTGGTCAGATGCCTGGAGCAATTGCGTGCGAGATAATTTTCATAGCCGTTTAGAAGCATACTGTGGAAATAGTTTCTTGCAATTTTTGAAAAATTACCTAATATTGATTTTTGATAAGTAGTTTATTTATATTGTTTTTTATTAATTTCAGGTCTAGCGGCGTTTGAACAGTTTCAAACCGTATCTAAGAATAATTTAAAATAAAATAAGGGTTACGTTTGCTAAAAATCCCTCTTCTGTAATTTGTGTGATAAAAATGAGGTATTCTCAAATATCCTGTTTGGACCTTTAAAAGAACATTTACATGGTCTGAAATTTACCAGTGATGATGCACCCGAAACGCTGCAAAGCAGTTAAAAGCAGCTAAAACATTGCACTAAAGAGCTTATTTCAAAGAGTTTTATGACTGTGCCAATAAATAGGACACAAATGTCTAGCATATTTGTAATAATATTATTAAATATCAACTGTTATTAACCGAATTTATTTACTTAGTAGTTATCTACAGGAACTGTTATCTACCGTGCTCAGAGATACGACACTAACCTTTCCCAGCTCTTGCTCCCTTTGGGGTCCATGGGGCATCTTCCTCAGACGCGTGGGGATGTACCAGAAGCTGACGTTTACCATCTCTGGTTCCATGATCAAATAAAATTTGTCCGGTTGCTCTTTGATGCGCTTTACCATATACTCCGTTAGTTCCATCAACTTGTCCATGAGAATCTCAAATCCACGATCTCCCTGCGAGCATTTTTTAAATACTTATTTAACTGTTTTCTGTTAATTAATTTTGGAAGTCTTTAAAAATCGTTTGATTATAAACAAATTAAAATAAATAATGAGAAATTCGTTTACGCACTGTGCGATGTACTCTAAACAGTTATAATGATATATTAATGTATTTGTAGGCATTGGATAATTAACAAAACACACACACACGTGTATGTCATGTATTTATGCTCAATTGAACTTTATAAAGCTGTAGTAATTAAAAGAAGCGGGAACATCGTTATCAGCAATAGAAATGACATCGCGAGAAAGCTAGTAAACATGTCCCCAGTGGCGCAATTGGTTAGCGCACGGTACTTATAAGACAGTAGTCGTGAGCAATGCCGGGGTTGTGAGTTCGAGCCTCACCTGGGGAATAGCTTTTTTTATTTTCTATACTTTTACAATTTTATTTTTATTAAAAAATACAATATGTGAAAAATGTGTTTATATTAAAAGTATTGGTTTAAATATTTGGATATGAAAGCATTTTTATTTTTGTCGTAAACTCACATACCTTTGCCCTCCACTGTAGCCATAGTTTGAAGATGTCGTTGTGTCGGCCACACTGAATGACTTTGTCGCCAGTGTCGTACCTGATGTCGTAGAGTTTGTCTTGCATGAAGAGGTAGTCGGCTGACATTTGGTTACAACTCATCAGCAAACCCTGAAGCAAAATTTCGTATCAACGTTTATTCATAGGCAAAAAAAAGAAATCGCAATCTCCAAATTTGAGATATCCATATATTTAAAAGTTTAGACATCATCTACTTTTGTTAACTAATAAATAATAATTTTGTCAATATTAATAAATGTAGTCAATGCAAAATAAAAAACCAAGAAAGCAATTAGTTATTAATACGTCCGTAAAATACAAAATAATAACATTCTCCGTCGCTTTTTATTAACAAGAAATGAAAAACAAACCAAATTAGTTTTTGCATCCGCATTCTCAGTCACTCATGAATATTTGAAACCACATAAAGTTTGCTATATGAAATGTTTACCTAGTAAGACTATTATAAATTGTTTATATTAGAACGAGTTTGTCTAGAAAACGGTAAAATTTACTGAGATCATCATCATTCAAAAATTTTAACGAAACTTACATCTTCCTTGAAGTGAATCGTGGAACACTGCAATAAGGCCCCCATCAATTTGTGTGGATTCCATGTCACTGAATCCGCTCTGGAAAAAATATATATTTGTAATTTACCGCAATAGAATAGAAATAGTAGTTAATAATGAAAGTTAAACCTGTTGTACATGTTTAACATTTCTCTTTTTATTGCGATTTACCATAGCATTTTTGAATAGAGAATGAAAATACCTTTCAAATGAGGTATCACAAACTCCTACTTCCCATTTAAAAATTTAGGGGTTGCAACTAACTGCCACTGGAAGGGGGTCGAATTTAGGGATAAACATTTATTAAATTTTTACATTGCAGGATGTCATATCAGAATCCAAAACCGATTGTTCTCGGGATTTTTTATAAATATGCACAACAATTGAAATACTGAAATTATTCCATTTGGCTGTTCCACACTGTATAATATGTCACATATTTGATATTTTATAATACAAATAATCAGCAAAATAAAAATTGTTATTTTTTAAGATAGTTTAGTAAATTTGGAAAATGTGTTCTGAAAATTTAATTGTTAAGCAAATATTTAAATATTAAAAATGATATATTATATATCCACAATATGTATAAAAAATCATGTTTTCTTCAAACAATACTTATTTTGCACTTTTCAAAGCTTATTGTTTGAAAATTTGAAATAATTTAACCTATAACCGTATATTTTTATGGCATGTATGAATATTTCTACTTTATTGATTAATCCACCTATAAAATGACAAAACTATGACATTTATACAGGATGATTTAGTCATAATGTCATTAATTTTAAGGGAAGATAGGTGAAAAATGAGTAGAATACTATTAAAAAAAATTTAATGGATATTTACGCTAAAAAAGATGGTTTCAAATCATTATTTAAATCTCTTTTCGGACCGCTTCTGACCTACAAAAGTTTGTCGAGAGTGAACCTTGACGTATCGTATTTAATATTTGGTCATTAATCTAGCTTTTAATATTTGTTAACGTTTTCACTAAGTTTTACAACTGAATATATGTTTTTAGTTTTATGTTCAATTACCTAATTATTCAGTTTGTAATACGTATATCTATCTTTGTGTGACTTATTGCTTTTCAAAGAGCACTCCTCCTAATTGTTGCTGCATGCTGCAAGTTTCAAAAAGTGGTTAGGTTTTGATTGCATGACCTTTTTTTAGGATCCAACTTTGAATTTGAATAACTTTTGTACGAGCAGGTTTATTAAAAAATGATAAGGGACATTTTTTGTAGAACGTTCAATTCCCTACAAGAATACATTTCGGTCATTTAAATCCGTCTATTGGTTTTTAAGATATAAAATTCTAAAATTGAAAAATAATTTTTCCCATGTTATTTAAATGGAAAATAGAAAATCGCGATGCGCGACCTTTAAATATTAATATTAAGAGTTCCGATTTTTACAGGCATCTCTTCTCACCTGAATCTATTTCAGAGGAGATTTAGAAAAAAAAATTGTCGATTTTTTTTTAATCAGCCTGGCTCACACCTAGCAAAAATCCTGACTACGCCCATGGGTATCTACCTATTTAAACTGATAGTAGTAGGGCTAAAAAAACATTCACTTATTCGTCCATACAACTTTGTTAATAAAGTTGGGATCCTCTGCAAGTGATTTTGAAACCAGTTGCAAAATTCAAGACGACTGAGGAAATTAGCTGTTTCTCTTCAACGTTCGAACGTCGGCGCCAAATTAATGAGGGTTAAGGTGTAATTTGCTTAATTTTTAAAATGTCAAGTAAAAATGATTTTCTCGATTTTCTGTCTTTATTATGAGGTCTTCCGAATACGTGGCTAAAATTACGACATTATGACTGAATCACCGCTGGATATTAAATATTCTGTGCAATACAACTAAAATGTATGATAGTTAAAAATAAGTATCTACTGGTTAAATTTTTGTTCAACCTGGACGTTGAAAAAATGCATCACGTATCACCAAAATATTTGTAATGTGTTTTTTATATTATTTTGTAAAAAAATACAGTTTTTTTTCTAAAAAAAAAAAGAAAACGGTTTTGTGGCCAAATCTTTTTAAATTGATGCTCAATTGTTTTTCTTATTGAAAATTCTGATTCCTTCCACAGAAGTTTTTACATGCCTATGCCATTTTGTAGTATCTCAATAGTAAAGGGGAGAAGAAAGGAAGAATCACCCTGTACAACTAAATATTATTAGTATTAAATACCTGGTGACACTCGAAACACCTGAAAATATTTCAAAATGTGTAGTTTAAAAACCTGTAAATCAGTCAAACTTTGAACTCAGTTCATTGACCTTTAGCAGCCGATTATTGACCTTTGGTCAATAAACGTGATTAATCTTTGGCACTGGACCTTTAATTTCGATATTTAATCTTTCGCTATTGGCCTTTAAGCAGTTAATCTTTAAAAGAGTTTTTATTCATTCTGGAGCCTTTTTAATAAGCCTACGAAAAATTTAGTTATTTTTTTAAAGATTCTAAAGATGAATTGACGATTTGGATGTATTTATACTCTGCGGCCGAAATTATAGAGAGTGACTCATTGCTAGCTTTTGGACTAGTAAGGGGGATGAAGCGTGCCGGGAACGAAAATCCATTGGTGTGTCTGCGTAAAAGGCAACAAGATATAGAAAATATTGAAAAAACATAACATAAAACATAACATCTAATATTTTTTACGGTTTGCTATAACCGGCACTTTGATCAATTTTAATTATTACAGCATTTTAAAACGTCCCAGTTGTGTTTTTTTAATTTATAAATTTATTATAGCCGTGGAATTAGACCCCTCGTTTACGCTTATGCTATGACGTTTCTCAGGTCGGGCAAATCAAGTCCGTTTACACCCACTAAAAAAGCATTTCCCTATTCCCTACCAAGTGCAAAAGACAGAGATAGAATATAGATCGACGTTCAGTGTAACTCAGTCTATAGACGATTATAGATTCTACCGATGTGCATGGCGAGCGGCACAAAGATAAATAATATTGAACCGCATAGAAATCATTTTATTTTTTATACGCATTATGGTAATAGTGTTTTTATATTATGTATGAGTCACTCTCTATAATTTCGACCGTAGAGTATAGAAGTTTATTTTGATGGATGGTGATGCATTTTAAGATTATTATTATGTACCTATATTAAGGGAATTTTAAACAATTTTCTTCCCCTTCTGTTTGAATTATATTTTATTATTAAGTATTTCGTAGTTTTTAGGATATTTCGATCTACGTATTTTTTAGTATTGCGAGGCATTTTGTAGTATTTGGAAGATTTCAAGGTAAGTATTTCGAAGTTGCCGACGTAATTCGAAGTATTTACCAGTTTTATTGATGCATTTCGAATACTATTTGAAGTTGTTGACTATTTGGAAGTAATTCCAATCTTTTTCAATATAGCTTATATATTTTTATATCTTTAACCTATTTAGAGGTTTTTGAAGCATCTGCGATGGATTTGAAAGTACTTTGTGGAGGTATCTTCATTTTCGAAATTTCGAGGTACTTATTACATCAGCCTGTATTACCAAATGGTGATATATTGGATATGTAGCAGTACGCTACAATTACATTTAGTACCTGCCCCAATAAATATATTTTGCTTTCTGGGAATTTAAGAGCCATATTAATTATACTTTGAATTATCCCAGATTATCCCAAATAAATGTATTTAGCAAATGAGATTAGAATTATTAGGCTGTAAACATAAATTAGTTGTTGTTTATTGGGGTACATAAGCACAAACCGAGTAGGTAATGACCCCGATAAGTGTTGATTAGGATAGGGTAATAAAAATAGGTACCTGGGGACAAGGATAAAGCCGAAAACATTTCGAGGCACCAGGAAGAAGTCTTGAAACCTAGTTCCTGCTCGGTTGTGTCTCATGTTACCAGCGAAATTAGTAGAATAAAGTTTTCCATGCTACTTAAGAGTTTTCCACCTCACTTGAAGATCAAATCACTATAGATACGAGAAATTGGAATTTGCCTTGCGTTAGAACAAGCGCTTTTCGTAACAATGAAAAATATATTCCATGAAAATTTTCCGGAAAATAATTTAAAATCTAGATGAAAACATTCAAACGTTGGTTCTGCTGAAACTTGCTAGTTTTTCAGTATATTTTTATAGTTAGTACGTTTAGTTTCAGAAAAATAACACTAAACGCAGTAATTGTTCCCAAGATTTCCTTTAGAGACAACGCCCTGGAAATGGGGGCATTTAAGTGAAAGTTTTGATCTCTTAATCCCGTGTCGGAGTTTGAGGAAGGCCAGATGTGGATTCTCATGTAATCAGGGATTACACTCAGAGCGCAATCCGACAAGCTTTTGCTTTTTAGATCCCGCTTTATTTCGTGGACGCTGGATGGGAGAGAAAGGCGTCATTACTTGATTAAAACGTAAATTTTTTAAGTGAATTTTACACAACGGAGGGCAAATCCATTTCATTTGACAAAAATCTAAGTCACTGACGTATACATCAACTCGAAGCTTTTATTGTGGTCCCAATTGGACGTGATAGTTATTGTTCCCTATTGGCCTGGTTTAAACCGCAATTATGCCCTTGACAGGAATTTATTAATTACTGAGCCATTAATCACCACCCTCCGGTGGTGGTGTAGTACAAGCCGTCTCCGTAGAGTTTTAAACAAAAAGCCATTATTGATGTGGGCAAGAAACCACTTCCGTAACATTCATTATTTGAAGCGAACTTGTTTCGCTGTGGGACTTTTTTGAAGACTGTTGTACTTTATATCAGGTTTATTATTAGATTTATGGTTATGAACTATAATGTAGATTCCGTAAATATTGTCTTCATTGTAAGATAACTACTAATTTTTTTCTGACACAAGTTGTTGTTTCTAAGGTTCTCTAGAATTAAAAAGTGAATTTCCTACTGTAACAGTACATATACAGGGTGGCCAAATGAAAAAACGCTCAGATCCGTCGATTTTAGATTAAAGGGGGACATTATTTGCTGGTATTTTTGACTCCGCCACTTTCACCCCCAAGCAAGGGTAAGTATGACACCAAAATATTTAAATGGCATTGGGGGTTGAGTAATATTTCTTTTGAAAGCTCTTACAATTCTCTTTACAACAGACTTTAAATTTTATAATTCCGCCCAATACTTATTAAGAATTTTGATTTTAAAGTTGAAACTTATGTACAAACAATTAGTAACGGTAAAAATGTCAGTCATTCGAGTTAAGTACGCCAATGGTATAAATTTAGTATTTCTTGCGTTACATTGGTTTTTGGCGATTTGTTATCACTTTCGTAAAAAAAAACACAATTGTAAAAAACAGAAATGAATGCTATACACACACAATGAACGTAAAATTAGTGGATTCCAAATTATTTTCTAGTATTATTTGGAAGCGTTGGTTGGTAGTTTATTTAATTGTGTTTTTGAAAATTAAACACTATGGTTTATTCCATTGCGGAAAGGGTAGATATCATTTCGCTTTACTTTATGAACAATAAATGTGCGAATAGAACAGCTCAGCTATTTAATGAACAACATCAAGATCGACATGTCAGGAGGAAGTATGTTCTAGAGTTAGTAAAAAAATTTCAAGAGACAGGGAACGTAGCCAATAAAAAACGAGAAATTGAAAAACCTATAGTTAATAAAGCTAGTGAAGTTGCAGTTTTGGGACAAGTTCATCTTGATCCTACATTTAGTACGAGGCAGCTGGCATCTGTGTCTGGGATCAATCGAACTAGCATACAAACCATTTTGAAGAAGAATAAATTCCATCCATACAAAATACACTGATGGATCTGCTATTGGTATACGGTGAATGTAGACAGAATGCTGAGGTCGCAGAAAGAATGCAATCTGCACTTTTGGCAGGATTTATAATAAAATACATCATCGGACTAATCCAAATGTAACGGGTAAATTTTCGCTTATAATATTTTACATCAAGAAGCCTCCACTTTGGTGTTATGAAGTTTTCGATGCAGGTAATTGACGTTCCTCTGCCTCTTTGACGCCTCGGTAATGGATGGGCCCAAGTCAATCGTCGCACCGTTTCACCCCCCGAGTGCGTTCGGCACTTTAGCACAGAGTGGAAGTGTTTTTAAAACCCATAAGTAGTTTTAATGCAAATTGATGCACACTTTAGGGCTTATCAGAGGCTTTATGAGCGGCCCCGCGGCCTACCCCGATCCGATCGCATCGGATCGGATTATTGATTATATGGGCGAGGCAGGGGCGGAGGTGGGGGAGAGTTTTAATACGGGCTTTTACGAGGATAATTATTTTGATAGCCCATCTGGCTAAATGGAGAAAATATTGAAAATTGTTATCTACACGGGAAAAGTGTAGAACATACAATTCACACAATCATCCCTTAAATGGGGACATGTACAAATTGTGTGAAAATTCGACGTTTACGTTGTCATTATTTTTACAATTATTGTGAAATTATTATGAAAAATTGCAGATTCTTTCAAATTTTCAAACAATATAGTATGAAAGTTTTATAAAATTTGCTGTTATCACGATTTTAGGAACAATTGTGTTAATTTTCATGACAGAGTTTTCTATGTGTATAATTTTGGAAATACGAAATCTGTTCAGAAAATAACATAACTTGAATTTTTTAACTTTATTATTAATTTTATGCATTATTGGTCCATGTCCCTTCAAGGTACTATCCTCGGCGTTTTCATTTCGCGATAACCCCATTTGAAATGACCTTGTCTGTGACGAATTTGCCTTGATGCCATCAATAGTCTGAAATGGCGTCCTTTCAGCGCTAATTTTAATTTCGGGAATAAGAAAAAATCGCAAGGAGCTAGATCTGGCAATTAAGGAGGGTGATGGAGGACAATAATCTGATTTTTGGCACAAATCTGACGAACTGACAAAGCTAAATATCATGGTGTAAGAACTATGAGTTGTCTCGACATAACTCTGGTCCCTTTTTGCGGATTTTTTCACGTAACCGTTATAAAACTCACTGATAGTACACACGGTTCGCTGTTTCACCTTTAGGCAAGAACTCAAATTGCACAATTCCATTAAAGGCGTAAAAAACTTTTGTCTCATTACCGCAGCCGCAAAGCCAGTCTTCGTCTCCCGTTATGATCCTTGAATCTAGTTATAATATTCGATTTTCATTTAAATTTTAGTTCTGGACAGAAATTGTATATTATGTACTTATTTTTAATTGTTACTGTCTTTGTTAATTTAAACCTGTTGTGTCAAGTTTTCAGTATCCCAATATTTTGTTAACTAAGGAATATGGGTAAAATTTATTCCTATTTTACCTTCCTTTAGGTAGGTCGCGTCGTATCTTGCTACCTTGGAACAAATTTAGATACCTATCTAAAAAAATATATTATATGAAGAACGTAATAATTCACAAATTTTTCTCTATTCTTAAGTATACTTAGGTCAGTCTCCTTGTTTCTTAGTAAAATGGCACTTTAGGTGTCGTAAATATACGAATGTCGATTTGTAAATTTACAATTTGAGTGAATTACAGAAAAAGTGTAAAGTTACACGCTTCTTATAACTTAATGGACTAACTAAATTAAGAAAATAAATCCACATAGCAAGTAAACAAGATAAACTATTCCTTACCTCTCAATACCAGATAATCGTGGGTGTCTGTACTTTTTGGATAAAAGAAGTCCTCCGCCCCAAGCAGCCTGTAAAAAATTATTGGTATTATGAAACGAAATAATATTCTTAATTCGGCTTAACGTTAAATATTAAAATAAAGTTGGTGCTTATTGGATAATGTCGGACCTTAACTTTCTGCCGAACTTAAAGAAAGCTAATAATAGTGAAATAATTAGCTAAGGAAGAAAACTGGCATGTGGAGTAACCACTACTTTACTGTGAGTAGGCTTAGTGCACGTACAGAGTTTAACAGAGTCGGCGCGGGGGTCGGTGGCCTTCACAGCTGACTCGCGTATTGAACTGTTCAGTTATTTACGGAACCTTGGTATCGCGTCGATACCTTTCTTTTTTACGTCTGCTGTAAATTGAATTCTCCGTGTGTATTTAAATAACTATTTATAAATAGTAATATAATTTACATTAACAACTATTAATTGGGGGGGGAAAAGTGAAGTAAAATGCCAAAAGAGAAAATAAATAGACGGGAATAGACGGTCCTGTTAAAGTCCGCGCCGTACTAACGATAAGCCTAACTATAAGAATTACCTCAGTTCTCGATGGATCCAAAGTTTTTGTAAAGTTACCCAAGTTAGTACAAAAAAATTTGCAATTTGTATCCGTAATTACACAACAATATTATTTGAAATTTGGAATGGTACCAATGAATATGTAGTTCTTAACATTTCAGATATAGTACAATAAATGAAAATGGTAAAACAATAACTTAAAAATTAGGTTAAGAAATCGGTAATGTCACATAATAGGTACATGATATTGGTTTCTAATATTAAAATTGGCAAAAAGTAATGACTGAACTTAGTACACTGTATTATACCAGTATCCATAACTTTTAATACACATTGAATTTTATTTAGTCGTCTTTGGTTTTGGTAACTCTCATTGGCATACAAATTTTATAAATTTTGACAGTGATCCTGCTTTGTTTTAAAATTATGGTGATTATTATTTTCTATCGAAGCCTTCCTTTAATTTTTTGGTTCAAACCGGAGCTAAACCTAATTCAGCATTCAGTATTTGTCTGTAATATAAATTTTCTCTACAGAAAATATATCTTGGAAAAGTTGTGACAAGAAATATTGTACTTTTGTTTTAAAATAGGGAAATCGCGAAAACGGGCCCCAAAATTGCTTTATCATAGTCCAAAATTGATTTCGCTCTAGGTATAGATATAATATCTGACAAATTTTATCATTTTCGATGTTTTTAAACAGAGATGAAGAACAGGGTGAAGAACAGAGTGAAGAACATGGCGAGAGATTGTATCAGGATCTCAAAGAAATGGAAAAGCTGTATCAAGATCGAATGTAAATATGTTAGCTGACTATGGTTGGAACCTGAAACGGGATATACCGAAAACTAAAGACAAAAAAAAGACATCTTTGCAGATCATTTGAAAGAAAAAGAGTAAAATATTCTACAAACAAAGATTAACCATAATCTCGTTAGTTTGAGTAAAGCGGAAACTCCTTCTTTGGCTAAATTTAGTAATTATTGGGTCTATTTTCACTCTAAATATAGATTTTACAAGATACTGGCCAGTCGTGCATAAATTCTGAGTTGGTATCGTTTTGAGCTGGTCAAAATACGTCGGAAATGATATGTCAGATATTATGTAGAGCAAAATCAATTTTGGACTATAATAGAGCAATTTTTGAGTCCGTTTTCACCCTTAATATAGATTTTACAATAATTTGAACTAAAAGCGTGTTTTATCGATTATTGGCATCAAAATGAGTAGCACTATCGGAGTCTTCATCTTCGCATCAGAGTTTTTTTGGTGTGTGCCGGTGTTATTAATTTATTGCGGGTATAAACCAGAGAGTAATTGTTTTCTACAATATCATTGGCAATACTGTAATCTTTCATAAAACACTTACGTCTACATGGAGCCACATGCCGTACTTCTTGCAGATGTCCGCAATGTCATTGATGGGGTCGAAGGCACCCAACACCGTAGTTCCAGAGGTGACTGCCACGAAGAAGGGGATGTGACCCTTGGTACGGCGTTCCACTACCAACCGCTCCAACTCCTGGGGTATCATTCGACCGTTCTCGTCCGACGGCACCATCACGCAGTTGTCCGTGCCCAAACCGCATATCGACGCACACGACTTCACCGAATAGTGACTCTGGAAAGGAAACGAAAAGGAAATTACGTTTCTATTGGATTGGGGATCAACTGATGTGGACTACGCGATTTGCAGTCGAATGGAAAATGAGAAATATTTAGTTCTTAGTTCTATATCGCTCTTATTAAGATTTAAACACTTTTTTGTGAAGTAGCAAACAATTAATTAGCTGGAAACTGTTGTAATCTTAAATTTAACATTTTTAATAATACATAATTACGTGTCTAAGTTTTATGGACTTGATGCATAAATTCGTAGCGTTTTTATTGAATTTAAAATGTATTTCCTTTTAATAAACAAAATATATGAACTATTAAACAAATTGCAAGAACTAATCGAGGATATATTCTCTTCCATTGTTGCCGACTGCTTCGCGACGATCTGTCAGTTTTTCTATTCTATACTTGAATATATTCCATGGCTTGAAGAATTCACCAAGCTGATTGAAATGCGAAACCTCAGTAGAGATAAATACTTCCCTCAGCAGCTGTTCATAGTAGACGATGCATTTTTTGATCTACCAAATGACCCATATCAACTTACTCAGATGGGTACCAGTTTTTGCTCTGGTAGTTGCCTCGTGCTAGGGCTAACTCATTATTTTTTATTCTTGGCGTTGTGTAGAGGCACCATTTTTCAGCATCAGTAACAATCCGAGACAAAAACCATCGATGTTTTTGAGAAAAAAAGGAGCAAATGTTGAGATACTGATTTTTTTCATTTTCCTTCAAAACTTGTACCCAATATTTGAACTTTGCTCATGTAATGCAAATTTTGTGTAATGGTCGACTGATCACAGTCCATCGTACTGGGCAATTTCGAGGTTGATTGTCTTGAATCATCATGAATTGAAACGTTGAAGCGATCTTTGTCAAATCCAGAAGGCGAAGGATCATTTTTATCAAAATGTCTATTTGAAACGAGAAAGTCGTTTTCGTGCTATACTTTCTCCAAAGGCGTTCTCTCCATGATTCTAGAGGCATCCAATATCTGATCTCCTCTGTTGAACTCAAACAAAGTGATGACACTTTTGCAAACTTACACAATATCTGCACAAATTTTGAGACTACTCAATTTAACAATTGTATGGCATTATAACAATTTTGATGCAAGTCTAACATCGATTTTCAAGGTATTTTTTCCACGGAAACCAAAAAACATTACGAAATTATGCATTGTCCCAATAGTACAATTTTATAACGTTTTACCTGATCTGAAGTGAACATAACAAGTTGACCCTGTATAGTCGCTATTCCCTTCTCCTTATAATTCGGGAACATTTTATGTCTGGCCGCCAGAAAAGCGTACAGATTAGAGATGGATCCACCTAAAGACAAAAGAAAATTTTAATAAGTAGAACCCAACTTTGTGAGTACAGGTATGTTGTGCTAAAACTCATATGTTCAGAGTTTTCAGAGTAATATAGTAGTAATAGTAGTAATATACAGGGTGTTAAAAAAAGAGTGTAAAATATTTCAGGAGGTAATAATATGCAAGAAAACGAGGGTCTTCAGCATCATGACGTAGAAACCAGCGGCAAAAAAACAAACGTACTTGATGATCATTTATTGGATTTAAGGCCTGTACTCGTTGCACATGGTATGGATAAAGCAGTTGCTCGTGAAGGATTCTCCAAACAAGAGGACCACTAATTCCTACCTCGGCTGATATTCTCCGCACACTCGTACCTGGATTCTGCTCTACCAGTGCTAGAATTTCTTCTTCTGCTCTAGGAGTGGATACCGACCTTGGTCTTCCGGATAAATGGCACTGTTTGCTCAAGGAACCGGTATCACGCAATCTTTGGTGAATTCTTCCAAACATGCGTTGTGAAGGAATCTGGCGATTTGGATAAGCGTCAACATAAAGACGTCGCGCTTCGGTGGCGTTCCCATTAGCACGACCATACATGAAATGCATGTCTGTTAATTCTGCGTTAGAGTAACCAGCCATAGCGAAAGAAAACTTGTGCACTGAGAACAACTGTCAAATACGTACTGTTTATTTCACTAAACATCAACCAACTATTATAAGAAAATACACAACGTTTTTGCAAAATAAAAAAAGGGGCTAAAAAACATAAAACATTCCATATCTCCGCAACCATTACTTTGCGGACCCATGTTTATTGAGACTTTTCTGCTTATTTTGGTTCATATTATTACCTCCTTAAATATTTTGCACTCTTTTTTTAACACCCTGTATAAGATTAGACAAATTAAGTGTATAAAACTAAATCCTAACTAATCCTTCTGATCAAAAAATTAGTTTTTGAAGGGGCAGAGCGGTGCATTGTGTACAACACTTTTTGTCTCAAATCGTCTGGTGAATATTTAATTTTGCATAATCTCCCGAGGTACGCATGCAAATCCCCTAATTCCAAACGTCAACAAGCAAGGTATTTGCAATTTAAAACGCGGGAACAAACTCTGGCCAACACCTGTTCCAGATTAAATAACAATTTACTTAATTTCCTTCCTCGTCAAAGAACGAAAGATTGAATTGGCATAATGGTAAAAATGGAAAAAAGATGCCGTACCTGGTGCCAAGATGGAATCCCCTTTCCTCCAGTTCTTGCCGATGATCTCACGCATGTGGGTCATGATTACGTTTTCCATCAGAATAAAGACTGGAGCGATTTCGTAGGTGAACATGTTGGTGTTGGCTGTGGCTGTCAACCATTCTCCTGCCATGGAAATCAGATCCAGGCCACAGGAGAGTTGGTTGAAGAAGCGGGGATGACCTGAAAGAGCAGAAGAAGTGGATTTAAAATTCAAGTAATTAAAGAAATTTTAAATTAAACTGTTAGACATAGGTAATTATTCTATTACGTTTGTAAATACAGAGTATTGTACAAGCTCTATTTACAGACAAACTTTAACAGATGGTAGCTGCATTAATTTCAAACATTTTTTCTTATATGAACAAGGGTCCTTTTCGTTTTTGCTTAGAAGTTACAAATATTTTAAAAATAGTATAATCAATCTCATATAAGCAGTCTTTTAATCACTGAATCTTAAAATATAGTTATCATGAGTATACAGGGTGTCCCACAGGGAACTGCATCGATCGATATCTAGGAAAGTACATACTCCTCCGGAAATTTTGAAAATTTGGCAACATGGCAATGTCCCTGGGGCAAACAACTAAAATCTAGAACTCTCCAGCACCTCTGGTTATGCCGGAAGTCAACACCAACTTCGTTATTTTAAATGGAACACCCTATTTATTATTACATTTTTGGATTCTACATGAAATTTGATGGTCACTTTATTAAATATTCCCTATATTTAGGAGTTATAGATTTTGAGATATTAATTTTTAAAGAAAAAATTTGACAGATGCAAGGATTCGCAGAGATGCTAGTAAGTCTCTTCAGGAGCGTGATATCAAGTGTATTTTTGGTACCTGTAAAGGGCATAGGTAACACTACATTATTGTATACCAACAAATTAAAACATGTAATACTAAGTGTTTCATTTTTGCTGTTACATTTTGATAACTTCGAACAGCTATAACTTTGTTAACTTAAATGGAACACCCTATATTTTTTTAGTCTGTCGTATGCAGATTGAAATTTCCTTTCGAGCCATCATTGTTAGAGTTGCCATTACTACTTTTAGAGATATTTGCAATTTTTTATTTTTTAGACAGTTTTTCTCGTTACAGACCTATTGTCGAATTGGCCATGACCAGAAACACTCCAAAAACAATTGAAATTACATGACATTTGTCAAGTTAGTTGTCAAATTATTGTTGTATCTGAATAGTTTTTGCCGAAAATTTAAATAAAAATGCATGGGCATCGTTTAAATTACACTAATGATGATCATTTTATTTTGTTTGTTATTTGTGGAAAATGTGATAAAGTAATTTCAGGAATATGTAGAGAATCTGCTGCTTTTTTCCATAAATATCAAACAAATTTAAAAAATCCTAATGAGTATAAATTAAACAATCCCCAGGCATTTTTATTTAAATTTTCAGTAAAAACTATTGCAGATATAACAATAATTTGAGGGGTAGAAAAATGAGCTTTACTGATCTCTTTATTTTTTTTTAGTGTGACAAAAGGTTTTGCTTCTTGCCTTTTGTATGTTTACAAATACTCGCCTATGTCGTTTTTTGTAGCATATTTGAAGATTAATTTTCTTTACTACAGAAAACAAGAAGATACTTTTTTAAATAGACGTTACTGGGAAACAATTTTAATTTGCATGCTCTACAAACGTTACACCCTGTATATACACTGCATTCAAAGTCGGCACAGGATATGACTTTTTTGAACCAGCTATTTCCGGAAAGAAAATCGACCCCGGTCTGCTGCCTCGCGTAGGGTATCCTCTGTATAGTCCGCCGAACAACAAACACATCCATGCTATCAATCTGCCATTATCCCGGGCTATTGCTCAGAATAATTGAATGTCAGTGGACTTGAAACAAAGACATTACTCCCGGCCTCCTTCCCTCGCGTCACCGGATGGCACGTGACCTATTGGATTATCCTTAATCCCTTTCGCAGGGATAAACATCATACGGCGGCGGATGCAGGATTCTTCAGTTGAGAGGATCTCGTGACGGTGATTGCCGTAAGATGTATACTCTTAAGATATTCGCATAAAGCTTAGATGGAAATCTTTAATAAGGCCTGTTTTTTTTTTATAAATCTTTATAAAAGAATGTATCGGAATTCGAAAGCACGTAATATATTGAAGATTGATAATATCATTCTAAATTAGTACTAATATAATTAAAAATATAACCTGCTCCATAAATCCTACTAAAACTGGTATTTTATTAACGTTGCAAAAAGCACTTTACCAAACAATTAGAAATTTGCAACAGTAATGTTTTTAAGGTGACAATTTCATAAATATAATTCAGTTTAATCAACAGTAGAGGGCGCAAACTTACTGGTGGAGTAAATATAACCTTAACATTTCTTTTATCTTCGCATTTGAATGAATTGTGCTATAAATAATGAAAAATATATTAAAAATAAATAGCAAAATAGTTTTTGTTTTATTAACCGCTATATTCAAGAAAACTACTTTTTACTTCAATTTTTACCGTCATTATATCACCAATATGTAAAAATATCGCCAATTTTAAGTGCACTGTTTCCCTAGAAACCTTTTTATCTCATCTCTGTATATGCCTATATTTACTTTGATTCAAAATACCTAAGCTGTATAAATATTTGCCAAACACTCGGGAGCGTACCATGAAAACATATGTAGCTTTTGTGTTTTAATTGCAGTCGTCTGTAGAGTTAATTGAGTCAGNTTCAAGAAAACTACTTTTTACTTCAATTTTTACCGTCATTATATCACCAATATGTAAAAATATCGCCAATTTTAAGTGCACTGTTTCCCTAGAAACCTTTTTATCTCATCTCTGTATATGCCTATATTTACTTTGATTCAAAATACCTAAGCTGTATAAATATTTGCCAAACACTCGGGAGCGTACCATGAAAACATATGTAGCTTTTGTGTTTTAATTGCAGTCGTCTGTAGAGTTAATTGAGTCAGTATTATTTATTATTGCATACATACAGATTATCTCTGGTTATCTAACAGGTTTATCACGCTCGAAAAAATGTTACGTCGATGAAATTCGTGTTTGATATAAGTATATTTCTGATTTTGTAACATCGCTGTTACAAAAAGGTTTAGGTAGGTATTTAAATTTTTGCAACACAGAAAAAATAAAGTATATTTTTTAATATTGCACAAATAAAAAAGACAGTTTAAAGTTGTTATTTTATACTGTCTTACTTAAAAAGTAAAAATTATAAACCGTAAAACAAATAAATCTAAAAATAAAAACGTACAATAGGCATGATGACAGTAATCAAGAATTATGTATTCATCTAATAAAATATAATTCATGGACTATAAAAACCGTATTTATTTTTATATTATGAGCGAGATTGATAATATTTTTGATAAAATGCCATGATAGGTTGAACACCAATCAGAGAGAATTACGTCACATCTATGTAAATGTCATCTTGTGTCATTTGTACTTCGACAATATTCGCAATATTTATCTTCGTTTAAATATTTTGTGTTTTCCAACTATCAGTTGCTTAGTTTTGTGATGTTATCAAAACCATAATCAGGAAACGTTAGGTACTTGAAAAGTTTCTAAAAGAAGGAAAGAAAATAAAGCTCAACAACTGCGAGTTAATAAAATATCAAAAAGACTATGTTTGTGATCAAAAGTTTATCCATTCATAAATTGATGCTGAAATACAAAGAATGGTCCTGCTACACATTTTTGAAAAAACTCGTATTGACTGATGAAAATGATATGAAAGTTGAAGAAGAGACGAGACCAACATCAAAGCTGTTTTTGGCATGAGTTAAGATATGTGCCTCACGACCGTTTGAATTTAGTCGGTGCAAAACCAATGATGCAACTCTGATCACGTTAATAATGGGAGGAAAAATCTCAAACGCATCAACCATGAAATGCGATAGAATGTTGGAAGATGAAGTCACTAGTCAGGAAAACTGTATGTACCAGTTTGGTGAAAAAAAATTAAAATATGTGATATAATGCTTTGCAAAAACTATCCCACGATAGCAGGATCGCCTGATGGAACCTGTGAAGACATTATTATTGAAATTAAATGTACCACGAGTATGAAGACTTTTAAAGATTATGTGGAAAAAGAAAAACCGACCCAGAAGTTTTATGTGCAGATGGCAGCTACAAATTTATTTAACAGGACTTCAAAAGGACTATTTCGATGTAGCTGATTGCATCTACAGTACAAATAAAAAAGTAGAAGTAATTAATGTTACATTTGATGACAACTATGTATAAGATTTTCTTAATATTTTAGTCTCTTCATGGAAATATTTTTCCATGTGTATCCATTATTATACCATAGTACAATTTAAGGGTAAATAAAGTGCATGTACTATTATGGTAACTTTGTATTTTTAACTAATAAATCTTACAACACAAAATATTAGCACCTCATGTGTACCGTTGACAAATATAGATGTTACGTCGCGAAGACGCCATGACACCGGCGTGAGTTTAGACTTAAAATTAAAATGTCAATATTTTTCTACTAAACCTTTTATTTTCTACAGAAATAAGATATTTTTTCGAAATAGTACATACTTCCGAACATCATAGAACAGTTTTTCATAATCTGTCATCATGCCTATTAAATTATGTTATAAAATAAATCTTATAACTGTTTTCTATATCAGATTTGATAAATTTACACTATTTTTACTTATTATTGTTTGTATGATGACACAAACATACTGTCCTATGGGATGGGACGCCATAACTTCGTCCAAATGTCATGAAATTTTGACAGTACATCAGTGAAGGATCTACCTTCATGTAATTGCCAATAGATGGCATTACTAGAAATAACTATTTTTGAAAAGTTCTGTTTATTTTGGAACGCATCTTATATAATACTTTCTCCTGCCATACCGCCACTTTTTTCTGCTGGAATTAATGTGCGTATGGGCACATACAAAAAGCGCATTCCTGAACCGCCCGCACACGTTTCACACGCCGGGGGAGGGTGGTTTTTAATCCCGCTCGGGAGCTCTGACGAGGCGCTTTGAGTGCCCTTAATTACAGCTGCCTGCTGCTGCTGGCGGGACCAAACTTCGGTGGTGTTTATATTGAAGGGTATGGGGGTACGACGACGGATGGGGTATAGCTGCGACGTACGTCAGTGAGACCGGCTATAGTAAGTAT